AACAAACAGATCACAAACAAAAAGTTCAGAACGAGGTTATAGATGACTGAAAAATGCAGATCCATTTACTCACCAAGCCTGTATGAGCTTTGCAGAACACAAAGGATGATTTTTTAAAGAATGTTGGTAACCAGATAGTTGACATCGACTTCCAAAAAATATGCTATGAATGATGATCTCTAATCATAACTGTCTACAAACATTCCTCAAAATACCTTCAACAGTAGAAAGAAACTCATACAGGTTTGGGACAAAAGTAGGTTAAAATAAAATAGGCATTTTTGTATGGAGCCAAATCAGTCTCAGAAATAATATATTATATATACATAAATTTAAAACAAAATTCATAACTTCAAATCGTAAATTCAAAACACAATTCATCAATTCAAAAGCAAAAATATTTCCCAAACGCTCAAACATATGCATCTTACATTTAAAATGTTTGCACAATTATGTATATATGAAGTTCTTGGATTACTTTCCTCACGCATTTATGAATTATGTTTGATGTATTTATGGACCACTGAATTTGCATTTGAAAATGCTCACACAAGTACGGAGTGTGCAGTATTTTTGAGACCTTCTTGGCAGGACCAAGTCTGCACACGCCTGCTTTTGAGTGACGGTTCCTGGGGGCTGGCAGCAGTATAAGTCATAAAGCCCACCTCCTCCGTGTTAATGAACGAGACTTAAGTCCAAATTAAAAAAAGTTATTACACTTGCAATAAAATGTCCCGAAAGATGGTCAATTAAGGCGCTGGTTATCATGCTGATATAGGTGCAGATCATCATTTTTGTAAAAAGTATGTTTTTAGCCAGTAATTTAATGCTGGGTGTGTCATCGTGATTGACAGTTGTGATTTACAGTCTCTTAAAGCAGACCATTGGAGCTTCGGGAGAAGATTAAAGTGTTATCATTACATTTCTGTGTTACATTTCTGACCAGCAGTACACTATACTTTCTGACCTACAGGATCTAGTGGAACACTTTTTGTTTGGTAAGGAACTCTAATAAACCAAATGAAAACGGTGGCAAAAAATGACAAATATACAAGCGATGTTGCAGCAGCTGATGGACACTTATACTGCTAAGTTTGTTGTACAAATTGACAAGGATTATTTTATATAGTGCAGGAATGGGATGTGTAAATATCCTGTTGATATTTAGAAATAATGCTGTGTTTATCTTTTAAACGCACGATTTTTCCCACATGGTAAATCGTTATCTATGGTGTGGTAGGCTATATTTTGGGTTGTGTGGATTGTTAATTAAAAATAAAAACATTTCTAAAAATGTAAGTGTTGATTATATGTTGTTGTTCATATTTTACAAGTGTTAGTTCTACCCCTATGCAAATAATAAATACCAACAACCCTGAAATATTTTTGTCTAACTTTTTTTTTGTCTATTTTTTGAGTCTGACTCAGGCTAGAGTGTATGAAAGATTTCTAGTATGTTTATTTCTGCAGTCCAACATGTATTGCTTTTTAAAAATTATTTAAACGGCTTACATCACACAGTTTTTAAATCGTATATTATTGTGTGTTTTTAAATGTAAGTGCTTATAATTACATCAGCGAGCCTTTGTTATAGTGCAGAAACCAGTGGTCAAGTCAGAAGTTCGGGGGGCGTGGTTGATTTGACGTACAAGCGTAGTCCCTTAATTAATCTGGGGTCGCCCCAGGGAAATGGATCGCCAACTTATCCAGCATTAGTTTTACGCAGCGGATGCCCTTCCAGCTGCAACCCATCTCTGGGAAACATCCACACACACTCATTCACACACAAACACTACGGACAATTTAGCTTAACCAATTCACTTATACCCCATGTCTTTGGACTTTGGGGGAGTGCTGTCGCCTCACAGCAAGAAGGTCGCTGGTTCTAGCCTAGGCTGGGTCAGTTGGCGTTTCTATGTGGAGTTTGCATGTTCTCCCCATGTTCGCATGGGTTTCCTCCAGGTTTCCCCCACAGCCCAAAGACGTGGTACAGGTGAATTGGGTAGCCTAAATTATCCGTAGTGTATGAGTGTGAGTGTATGAGTGTGTATGAGTGTGTATGGATGTTTCCCAGAGATGGGTTTCAGCTGGAAGGGCATCTGCTGCGTAAAACACGTGCTGGATAAGTTGGAGGTTCATTCCGCTGTGGCGACCCTGAATTAATAAAAGGGACTAAACCAAAAAGAAAATGAATGAATGAATATACTTTTTCCTGTCTAGCCGTTTATGCACAACTTTTAAAAGTGACATTGATGTACAGTTCCTGCTCTTTCTGGCAAACTTCTACTTAAAGTGTAGCTTATAAGTGTATTTTAGGAAGGCCCTTTTGTTCAATTATTTTGAATTAAAGTGCTTTTTTGAAAATGCTTTCATTATTTTAAATAATCTTAATCATTGTTTAAGACTTAATCAAGTTTTTGGTTTTACATTATTATATATTGGGAAGTTATACATCTATAAATGTAAATAAATGTAAACCCCTTTTAAGCATATTAAAACAAGATTTATTATCCTAAAGAGTAATGTTTAAATCACCGGCTCTAGGCATGTTTTAAGTCGAGTGAACCTAATGCATTCTATAGCAAATCTTAAAAATTTTTGACAAAAACTGATTCAGATAAATCAGTTAAATAAATGACTAGTTTAGTAATACAATCATTTGCTGCCACCTACTGACATTCTCAGAATGTCATTTTGTTGATCACCTTTGTGGATTTATCAGAATGTTTTGTTTAAATTGAATCCCACAAAATGTTGCCGCTTCAATTGTTATGTAAATGCATTTAATATCTAATTCATTTTAGATGCAGACACTTTGCCACATATGCAGCACAATAATGCTATTGAAAAAACTTATTAAATTGTTATCAGCATATATTATTCTTATTGAATTAGAAAATTTAGCTTTAGAGATATAATTCTTCTTAGAGTCAAGAGAAAAAATCTAAACTCTTAATTTAAAATTGTGTTTTGAGTTTATGAATTGGAGTTGTGGATTTAATTTATGATTTGGAGTTGTGGATTTATAAATTTTATGAATGCAAATGTATTATTTTTTAAACTGATCTGGTTTCCATATATTTAAGTGTGCTAACACATGAAGCATATGTTTTTTTTCCATATACATTATTAATTAAGTAAATAGAATTTAAAAAAAAAAATCACTGGATTATATGTGACTATTAATCTCTATGAATGAAGAGTTAAAGTGATTATCTATATGCAGCATTCAGGCAGGGTCATCCAACAGAAAACAGTGATAGCAGTAAAGCACAACTCAGAGTGATTAAACAGAAAAGAGATCAGGCAGGCAGCAGGCAGTGTAAAAATCAATTCGTGAGGCAGGCGGTCATGGAACAAGTCTAACAAAGTAATCGGAGAACAAGAAGCCTGGGCAAAACAAGACTTTGTAAGGTGGGTGTTTGTTTTAAATAGTCCAGGTAGTGTGAAACAGGTGGAACAGTAATAAGGACAAGGTGTTATGAGAAATGGCATCCAGGACATCCTGAGTCAATATTCAGGCCTTTGGTGATGAATGGGAGGAACCACAAGACCAGATTTGTTACACTTTAAGGGTGTACTCACACTAGGCATGGTTGCCAAGCCCGGGTGCAATTGCCCTCCTCCCCACTCCCCCAATGGTCCAGACACTGTTTGTTTGTGCTTAACAAACGATATTAATTATGTAGGCAAATGGATGTATTCAGTGGAGTGCACACAACACAGTTTGCTTATGCTCAAAGTAAAGGTGTAAAGAGTAAAAGTTAAGTAAAGAGGCCGAATGGAGAAGGCTTGTTTCTTATCGTCATGCAGATAGTCTGTTTAACTGTTTTCTTGCTAGTGAAGCATTAAGTTGTTTTACTTGCAAAGTCCGCGATGTAAATAAGAATTTCGCCATGGTGCGATGCTACAAACTCTTAGAGGAAAATGGGAGATGAGACCAAACTCTGATTGGTTTAATGCACGTTATACTCATAACACACTCAAAACTCATTAAGAGAATAAGCTCAACTCTGTTAGACCATGCGCCAGGAACCCAGAACATTGTCAAAATAGTGCATGTGCATATCTTATATAATATCATAATCATAATATAATACATTTGTGTGTGTGTGTGTGTGTGTGTGTGTGTGTGTGTGTGTGTGTGTGTGTGTGTGTGTGTGTGTGTGTGTGTGTGTATATATACACACACACACACACACACATACATACATATATATACTTCAAGAACATCTTTGTGCCCTAAAAACTGTAACATCTTTGTTTGCCAAAGTTTTCTCTTCCTTATCAGGTTGTATGTTTACTACCAACAACGTGATGCATTGTCATTATAGTCAGCAGCACAACACTCAAGTGTCATACTGCCTGTGTAGTAAACATGCACTGGACCTAACGTGGCTGAAGAGAGGACATAGGCGAGCAAAGGCATTTTTACAGTTTTTTTTGGATACACGGAAGTGTTCTTGGAGCTTCATATGATTACACTTGTCTAATGGAGATAAATGAAGGTCTAAAGGGACGAGGAGATTTGAATGAAATAAGAGTTTAATAACAAACAAAAAAAAATTATTTTGGGTGAACTAATCCTTTGAAACAGCATATTTCCAAGATTACTATGCAACATTTTAGCAAAACGGTTATTGTAGTCATACAAAATGTAACGGAACTCAAATAAAAATGCAGCTTAAATGTGATTAAAAATGCTTCATTGCTCATGTGAAGTTTAAACTTTGTACCTGGCACCTGAACTCCATACACACTGGCTTCCTGAATGAAATCTACCAGTCCTAAGATCTCTGTCACCTCAGTGGTCGCCACATTTTCACCCTTCCATCTGCAAATGGCAGCATGAAGATTATGTTATATAATTTCACAATGAGGCAGTTACTCGTATGTATACATACTAGACAATTAATATTTCATTATGTTAAAATACAGTGTACGCTCATTTCTACCTGAAAGTGTCCCCCACTCTGTCTTTGAAGCTGATGAAGTTGTTCTCATCCTCAGCCATCAGGTCACCAGTGTTGAAGTAAGCATCTCCTTTGACAAACACATCTCGCAGAATCTTCTTCTCAGTCAGCTGTTTGCTTCCCGCATAACCAAAAAATGGACTCTGGCTGCAGATTTTAGACAACAGCAGTCCCGTCTCACCTGATCATCAATATACAAAAGCTACGTGAGCAGAAAGTACATGCATTTGCTCTCAGTGATTATGTGATGTTGACAGGACATGTGACTGTACAGTGAGTCAGCCATTGCAGAAAATTAAATAAAATAGCCAGAGAGAATGAACAGATATGAAGCAGAGTGGATGTAGGAGAAGCTGATCATTTCCTTATGATAACAGATGAAATTTACACCTGTCTATGTAAGGACTTACAGCAAAAAAAGTCACAATAAACATAAAAGTTCTTTATCAGGATCTACCAACCCACGCTCATTCTGATTATGTACCCCTATATATATTTCTGGAGAGAGCAAAATATGTCCCAGGAGCTAAGTTTTTTTTGCAGTTTTTGTGTTTGCGAATCATCCAGAGGCCGCTGTGTAAGTTTTTCAGATCCCATATTTTTCTTGCGAGTGCCATTTGCGCCTGCTATTCTCACATAAATCCACCAGAGGCCACTGTTGACTAACTGACTGACCAACCGAACGATTTCCTCCCCCTACCCTAAACCCAAGCAATAATATTTTAAAAAGCACAGATTCACACACTTCCCTAAACCCAATCACAGTGTTTTAAAAAGCAATCCAAAAAAAGAAAATCCCCGATTTTTACCACGTTTTCAGATTTTACCACATTCTCACCCTGTTATTCATTCAATCATTTTCTTGTCGGTTTAGTCCCTTTATTAATCCGGGGTCGCCACAGCAGAATGAACCACCAACATATCCAGCACATTTTTACGCAACGGATGCCCTTCCAGCTGCAACCCATCTCTGGGAAACATCCACACACTCATTCATACACACACTCATACACTATGGACAATTTAGCCTACCCAAATCACCTGTACCACATGTCTTTGGACTGTGGGGGAAACCGAAGCACCCGGAGGAAACCCATGCGACTGGGAGAACATGCAAACTCATACAGAAACGCCAACAGAGCCGAGCCGAGCGGAGGTTTGAACCAGCGACCTTCTTGCTCTGAGGCGACAGCACTACCTACTGCGCCACTGCGTCGCCCTCACCCTGTTATTTACTTGTTTATTTTTCTTTTTGGTTTCGGTTTTTGTCTTGCCTGCTTTTTGGAACCGGACTCGTTCTTTGCGGTCAACTACGCTCTGCATCTCAAGTCTGCCGAAGTACGTGTCGAGCTACCGGACAAGCTGGTAACAGCAGAAAAGCTGTCCACATACAGGTAGGCGGTCAGCTGGTAAGTGAGAATGGCAACAGCATTTTTAAGAGAAAATGCAGCCATAAGTAGCTCTGGCTACATAATTTGCGATCTTCAGAGCTGTATATACGGCTACATTTTAAGAACGAGGCTATCTTGGGATCTACAGTATGGTTCAATGTAAAACTGTTAAAAGAACTCCACTTTTTTGGTAAGTGAGAAAAGGAACGGCATCATACCGCCACGTAGCATTTATGTTAAAGACGAATTGCAGCCATAGGTATCTCTGGCTACATAATTCGCAATCTTCAGAAACGTATATAGGGCTTTGTTTTCAGAACGAGCCTATGTTGGGATCTACAGTATGGTTCAATGAAGAATTGTTAAAGGAACTCCCCTTTTTCTAAAAAAATCTACAAGAGTTTAACTTCTTTTAAATCCATTCAGCTGATCTACGGGTCCGTCTTAGCCTAAATCACTGATTTCGATTACACCATTATCATCAAAAATCTCAAATCTCATTTTATCTTAAAAATGGCCAAACATTTTTATAATTTGCTTGACTTTTCTGTTGTTACATCGTGTACTAAGACCGACTCAAAAATAAAAGCTGCCGCCAACAAACTATATTCTTATTCTGGAGAAATAATCAAGGAACTCTGCTGCCATACTATTATTATTATTTATTATTATTATTATTATTTCAGGCAGCACCTGAAAAAGTCCCCAAGTTCAAACACATGGAATGAGTGCCACTTGCGCTGTGTAATATCATAGTGGCTGTTGTAGAGTTCCTTGTTTATTATTCCGGAATAAGGGTAGTTCTGGCCTTTTTTTGTTTTGTTTTTAAAATGGAATGTTCATTTAAAGGCTCCTCATTTTGGTGTAATCACACTTACATACAGTTGAAGTCAGAAGCCCTCCTGAATTATTAGCCCCCGTTTATTTTTCCCCCCAATTTCTGTTTAACGGAGAGAAGATTTTTACAACCCATTTCTAAACATAGTTTTAATAACTCATTTCTAATTACTGATTTATTTCATCTTTCCCATGATGACAGAAAATAATACTTTACAAGATGTTTTTCAATACATTTAAAAGCTTAACTAGGTTAATTAGGTTAATTTTGACCTTAAAATGTTTTTAAAAAAATTTTAAACTGCTTTTATTCTAGCCAAAATAAAACAAAAAAAACTTTCTCTAGAAGAAAAAGCATTATCAGACATACTGTAAAAATATCCTTGCCCTGTTAAACATCATTTGTGAAATATTTAAAAAAGAAAAAAAATTGAAAGGGGGGTTAATAAATCTGCCGTCAGCTGTATGTTATGCACATTTTTGTAGGCAAAATTAATCTTAACAGGAAACTACAAATCACTACACTGAAATATAGTACAAGGTTATTTGTTGTAACAGAGAGATTTTGGGTTGTGCCAGGTTCAGTCTTAAAATTTAACAAACTCAGTAGGGTAGGATCAAATGATGTTGGGTACTAAAGGACTAGTTGTTCAATAACCTCAGATGCTTTTACCTTTTTGAACACGTTGGCAGAATCCATTATGGTCTCTCACAGGTTCATCTCTAAGCAGGTCATACTTCACCAGGTCATACTTAAAAATCAGCTGCAAAAACAAACAAATAAAAATCAACAATCATTTACACATCATTATCATGTCACACACACACACATACAGACACAGACACAAAAAGTTTATTAGAACTGTTGCAACATTCGGGCTTGTCATATTACATTATTTCTAAGTACTTTTGAAATCACACACTTCATCATGTAATGTCTTAAAAAAACATTTAAGATAATATCATAAAAAACAAAACAATTCAGGCATAATAAAAATGTGTTTTTTATTTAGAATAATATGTCAGATTTTGCATATGTTGTGAGACATATTTTGTGAGTTTTGTAATCTGAAGTGTCTAAGAAAAGCATGGTGAGGATTACAGGTAAATGCTTTTAATAGCACTTGCCAGCTCCTACTGATCTTATTTCATGGCAAGCACTCTAGACTACACGATTAAGCAACCGGTTGGCAATGTGCCAAGAGTGCAAGTGTCTTTATATAGAAGCTCACAGACAGGATGTGTCTGTCTGTAATGGTCATTAATACCATTTAGAATAACTAGTGTTGTTTGGAAAAGCAACCCCCCCCCCCCTTTTTTTTTTTCTAAAATAGTACTGTTGCTTTCTTAACAAGAATGCGAGGGCACTTGCTTGTACTGAAGATCAGGTTAAGCAGTAAGTTAGATGTTAATGATATTAAAGCTAATAATAATAATATTAAAAATAATGTTTAATTTCTTACACAAATTGATTGCTTGACTTCATAAGACCTCAGTGTGTTATCAGGAGCAATGGCTATTGATTTGGATTGATTTTAATCCAAATGACCAATCACTATTCACTGCAATTACAACCCCAAATCAGTTAAGGATGGGACCATATGGTGAACACAAATTAAAACAGAATGTGGTGATTTCTAAATGTTCTTTGACTTGTATTTCATTGCAGACAATAGAACAAACATTATCGTATTCCTCATGATGTTTATTATTTATATATTATATATTATTTTTATAGTTATTTATATTATATATTTATGTTATATATTTTTATATTATATATATTTTAGATGTTTTGCAAGAACCAAAACTGGAATACTTGTTCATTTTGAAAAAAAAAAAAAAAAAAAAAAAAAAAAAAATAATAATAATAATAATAATAATAATAATAATAATAATAATAATAATAATAATAATATATATATATATATATATATATTCTTTTTTTTTTTTTTTTTTTTTATAAACAAGTATTCCAGTTTTGGTTCTTGCAAAACATCTAAAAAAAAGTTGCAACAGTAAAGCATTTATCGTTCTGTATTGTTGCATTATTCATATTGACCTAACTTTTTCTCATTTGGGATTGTAAATAAAGGAAAACTTGAATATTCTCTTTAATATTCTACTAAAGCACACCTCACACAGACTATTCCATACCCCTCACTACTGTCTATTCGATACCCCTCACTAATGTAGTATTTTGCACTGTCGTTGTATTTGCACTGTCTGTATTTTGCACTGTCTGTATTTTGCACTGTAGTTGTATTTGCACTTTCTGTATTTTGCACTGTCGTTGTATTTGCGCTGTCTGTATTTTGCACTGTAGTTGTATTTGCGCTGTCTGTATTTTGCACTGTAGTTGTATTTGCGCTGTCTGTATTTTGCACTGTCGTTGTATTTGCGCTGTCTGTATTTTGCACTGTCGTTGTATTTGCGCTGTCTGTATTTTGCACTGTCGTTGTATTTGCACTGTCTGTATTTTGCACTGTAGTTGTATTTGCGCTGTCTGTATTTTGCACTGTAGTTGTATTTGCGCTGTCTGTATTTTGCACTGTAGTTGTATTTGCGACTGTCTGTATTTTGCACTGTCGTTGTATTTGCACTGTCTGTATTTTGCACTGTAGTTGTATTTGCGCTGTCTGTATTTTGCACTGTAGTTGTATTTGCGCTGTCTGTATTTTGCACTGTAGTTGTATTTGCACTGTCTGTATTTTGCACTGTAGTTGTATTTGCACTGTCTGTATTTTACACTGTAGTTGTATTTGCGCTGTCTGTATTTTGCACTGTCCTTGTATTTGCACTGTCTGTATTTTGCACTGTCGTTGTATTTGCACTGTCTGTATTTTGCACTGTCCTTGTATTTGCACTGTCTGTATTTTGCACTGTCGTTGTATTTGCGCTGTCTGTATTTTGCAATGTAGTTGTATTTGCACTGTCTGTATTTTGCACTGTAGTTGTATTTGCACTGTCTGTATTTTGCACTGTAGTTGTATTTGCGCTGTCTGTATTTTGCAATGTAGTTGTATTTGCACTGTCTGTATTTTGCACTGTAGTTGTATTTGCACTGTCTGTATTTTGCGCTGTCTGTATTTTGCACTGTTGTTGTATTTGCGCTGTCTGTATTTTGCACTGTAGTTGTATTTGCACTGTCTGTATTTTGCGCTGTCTGTATTTTGCACTGTTGTTGTATTTGCACTGTCTTTATTTTGCACTGTTGTTGTATTTGTACTGTCTGTATTTTGCACTGTCGTTGTATTTGCACTGCCTGTATTTTGCACTGTCGTTGTATTTTGCACTGTCTGGAGCCAGCACCTAAGCTTTTCACTCATCATAGCATACATGCTGCTGATGATGTGACAATAGAAGGGATTTGATTTGATTTTGATCTGATTAAAGTCACACATCTTATATCACCTGTGGGTGAGTAAATTAACAGGAAAGTTACATTTTTGAGTGAACTATCAAAAGTCCCTGATATTTTATGACTTCCAAATAAACTTTGGAACAAACTTCCAAACATGGATTCAATTCCCTCACTTCCAAAGTTTGAAAATTACCTTTCAAAATTCGATATTACAGACATTTCATAACCCACAGGCACCCTGCTTTTGTTGAGCTTTAAGAATCAATATAGTTTTTTTTAGAATGCTTAATATATCATTTGTAATTTTATGTATTCATATAATAATGAACCTTTTCATATTTTAAATTTCATGTGCATCTCCGTCAAAATCTGAATGACCAATTTTTATATTTAAAACTTTAAGACTGCTTTACATTAATGTACAATATTAATAAAATTGAAAACAGCTTTATCACCAATTTGAACATAAAGCCTTTGCCCTAAACTATTCGGAGTAAAAACTGGAATAGAACCTACACACTTTTGTCTATTAGTAAACTAGCTATCGCAAATTAATGTCTCATGCCCTCTACATTACACTGTTGGTATTCAGGTCATCTGCTGAAGTTGAAAATTAAATTTAAGACTTTTAAAGACCTGAACAAGTGAAATCATACATGTGTCTCCTCTGGTTGCATCTCCAGTATTTTGGTAACAGGCACAAAAATGTAAGAAGCATACACCTAACTGCCACTTTATCAGGTATACCTTACTAGTACCGGGTTGGACCCCCTTTTGTCTTAAGAACTGGCTTAATCCTTTGTGGGATTCAACAAGGAACTGGAAATATTCCTCAGAGATTTAAGTCCATATTGACATGATAGCATCAGACAGTTGCAGCATGATTAGTCATTTGCACATCCATGATGCAAATCTCCCATTTCCACCGCATCCTAAAGGTGCTGTATTGGACTGAGATCTGGAGACTGTGGAGGCCGTTTGAGTACAGTGAACTCATGTTCAGAAACCAGTCTGAGAGGATTTACACTTTATGAAATGGTGTGTTATCCTGCTGGAAGTAGCCATCAGAAGATGGGTACACTGTGGTCATGAAGGGATAACAATACTCAGGTACAGTAGGCTGTGGCATTAACACAATGCTCAATCGGTACTAATAGGCCCAAAGTGTGCCAAGAAAATATCGCCCACACCATTACACCACCACCCCCAGCCTGAACAGTTAATACAGACAGGATGCATACATTCTTTCATGTTGTTGATGCCAAATTCTGATCCTAACATCCGAATGTCACAGCAGAAATCAAGACTAATCAGAACAGGCAACATTTTTCCAATCTTCTATTGCTCAATTTGGTAAGTCTGTGCGAATTGTAGCCTCAGTTTCCTCTTCTTAACTGACAGGAGTGCCACGCTGTGTGGTCTTCTGCTGCTGTAGCCCATCTGCCTTAAGGTTTGACGTGTTGTGAATTCAGAGATGCTCTTTTGCATACCTCATTTGTAACGAGCTTTAAGTTACTGTTGCTTTTCTCCAACCGGTCTGGGCATTCTCCTCAGGCCAACATCAACAAGTTATTTGCACCCACAGAACTGCTAGATATTCACTAGATATTCAGTGTAAACCTTAGAGATGGTTATGCCTAAAAAAAACCCAGTTGATAAGCAGTTTCTAAAATACTCAAACAAGCCCATCTGGCACCAACAACCATGCCGTGTTCAAAGCACCGTAAATCACCTTTGTTCCCCATTCTGATGCTCGGTTTGAACTGCAGCTGATCGTCTTGACCATGTCTACATGCCTAAATGCACTGAGTTGCTGCCATGTGATTGGCTGATCAGAAATGTGAGTTAACAAGCAGTTGGACAGGTGTACCTAATAAAGTGGCCAGTGAGTATATGTGAGCTGTGTATACAGAAGATTTCTACTAGTGATAAGATTCAGGTCACATGGACGGGGACACAAACTATATACTTTGGGCCTAAATTAGTTAAAATGCAATCAATTGTACATTAATTTTTTGACCTGGAACAGAATGAAACATCAGCACAAATAAACAAACTAAACAAAAACACTTTAAACACACAACATGGATAATATTTCTACTCTGGTACTGATGGTCATTGACCCTGTGCTATTGACATCAAAGCAAAGAGATGCAAGGAAAAAATTCTGCTGCAATCACATGTTTTTTTGGTGGCAACTCATGTTTGTTGAATATCTGACACAGAGACGCAACCCTATGCTCTCATTCAAATATTTATTAGGACTTGCTGATCTATTTGTTGTTCTTTAAACCTGTCCTTACCCTGATTGCATTTTTGTTTAGTTACTAACCTACGAAACTAACCTTGTAAAAGAAATTGGAACGTCCAACCGCTCCAATTTTGCCAATATGGTTCATGAAGCACAGGTTTCCCTCAGTAGAGCCATATATCTCACACATGCGGATCTCCCCGAAACGCTGAAGGAATTCTCTCCATACGTCCTGCCGGAGTCCGTTCCCAACACCCATGTGCACCTTGTGATCCTTCTCATTTTCACCCTAATCAACACAAACACAAAACAAAGATTATAATTCATCTTTTTAAAATCCGACACACACTTGTGTTGGAGAATATGACAGTCAGAAATGCCTGAATAGGACTCAGCAAACTGGTATATTGGTATATCGTAGTTCAGGACAGTTTCATAAACAGTAGTGTATTAGTTTAAGTCAGGTGTGTAATTAAAAGTTTACCTAAAAATGATTATATCTTGTTATTTTTACATGCCATGAGGCATATCATTAAACATTACAGGTGCCATAGAGTGCATTGATTCACTATGTTACATTTTTCTATTAGCCAAGTTAAAAAATTCTCCCTAAATGTTGCACACACAGCACGATGTAGTCCGAAGTACATGTGTAAAATCAACCCAGGCTCATTATTGACACGTTTCGCTATATACATTTCTGGAGATTGCAAAATACATCCCAGGAGCTGCGTTTTTTTATTTCTGGATATTGCAAAATACATCTCAGGAGCTACGCTTTTTTATTTCGGGAGATTGCGAAATACATCCCAGGAGCTGCGTTTTTTTTTTTTTTTTTACAGGTTTTGTTTTCCGCCATAAGAGGCTGCTGTGTACGCTTTTTCAGATCTTACATTTCTCTCGCGAGTGCCATTTGCTCCTGCTGTTCTCGTTTAAATCCAACCACGGCGACTGTCAACTGACTGACCGACAGTCTGACCAATCCCCCCCACCCATTCCCTTTCCTAAACCCAACCGATAGTGTTTAAAAAGCACAGATTGAGCAGATCACCTCCTTTCCTTAACCCAACAACAGCGTTTTCAAAAGCAATCCAGAAAAAGAAAAGCCCTCACAGCCGCCTGATTTTTACCAGTTTTTTTTTTTTTGTTATTTGCTTGTTTATTTTTATTTTTGCTTTTTGTTTAACCTGCTTTCTGTCAACTTTTCTCTGCGTCTCAAGTCCGCTGATGTACATGGCGAGCTACTGGGCAAACTGGTAACAGCAGAAAAGACATCCACATGAAGATAAGCAGTCAACTGGCAGCGCGAAAAGAAACAGAAGCCATCGGTGGCGACATATCGCCCCGTAACATTTTTTTTAAAAGATGAAATGCAGCCATATGTAGCTCTGGCTATACATACTTCGCGCTGTATACAGGGGTATGTTTTCCCAATGACCCTATGTTGTGTAAAATAATAATATTTAATTTGTCAAAAATAGTTTTAAAAAATTATTATGTTCCTTGTCAAATGATAATTGTTTAAACTGTGTCCCTATGTTTAACATGTTTAATAGAAGTTAGGAAAAACTTTATAAGAGAAAAACAATTATCATTGTTGTAATCTCACTTTAAACAGTTGTGGCCAATCATACGCAGCCTTGTTTATGCACACTGTTAAAAGTGATTAGTTACTTTACTTTAAAAAAAGTAATTAAAACCATTGACTTAAAGGTGCAGTATGTTAGTTTGACACCCAATGGTTAAACTAGGTAGGTTCAAAACACACGCAAGTGCAGGTTGCCAGATTGACAAGACCAAGAGGAGCAAGCCTGACTATCGAGCCTTAAGTCCTCATTCATTAATTTTCTTTTCTGCTTAGCCCTTTTATTAATCTGGGGTCGCCACAGCGGAATGAACCGTAAACTCATCCAGCACGTTTTACGCTGCGGACGCCCTTCCAGCTGCAACCCATTTCTGGGAAACATTCATACAGACTCATTTACAAGGGACAATTTAGCGTACCCAATTCACCTCTACCGCATGTCTTTGGAATGTAGGGGAACCCGGAGCACCCAGAGGAAACACACGCGAACGCAGGGAGAACATGCAAACTCCACACAGAAACGCCAACTGACCCAGCCAAGGCTCGAACCAGCGACCTTCTTGTTGTGAGGCGACAGCACTACCTACTGTGCCACAGCTTCGCCCGCCTTAGGTCCTGTTCTAAATAAAAGCAACGACACGCAATAGAATTGAATTTGTGCACAAACAACTGAAATTTATATTTCAATACTGAAATATGTACTTTCTTGCAGTTTAACAATAGGATAAACTGTGATCACCGCAAGGTACACCTTGTGTGCTTTATTCAATGTTAAATGCTAATAATGTGAGTTTGAATGCCATTTTACATGACATTTATTGGCATACTACTAAAAGCAGCAGCAGATAATTCACCTCAGATCTTAAAAAAAAAAAAAACGTTTCATATAAACGTTTGAAATTGAACTTTAGAACTGTGAACTGTGTGCAAGCCAACACATATCAGTGATTCAGCATGTACATTTAATAATGTTAAAGAGGTTTAATATGTATTCGATTACAAACCTTACCATTTTGTTGGAGTGCAGTAAGTGCACAATTTTATGCTTCAGAAATTTGTGTGGTCTGGTACAAAGTGCCAAATAGGGTATATGCCGAGCTAGTGCAGCTCCCATGCAGATACACTTCCGGTGACCTGTTATTATGAACTTTTTCTCATTTTATACGGTTCCTTATACAGCATCGATGTTGTAATGTCATTAAAATACATTCAGTTAAATAAACTTTAGCATTTATTAAAAAGCTGTTTACTCACACACGTCCGTCAGAATCGGCAGGCTAACGCAGAAGCTCCATTGAATATACTGGGGTAAAATAAATGCTCATATTATAAAGATATGGCGGCGGAAAATTTAATTTAATGCAGTGCTTCTTGTACAATCTGAGACCCACTTTAAATCGGATATCACTCAGCTAGTGGAGATCGCTGATTTTTAAAGAAAACAGACCTTGAACGCACCGGATTTTGCATTGGCATTCAATTCGCCGGAAGCGCTTAACCTAGGTTACTGGCAAATTAAAAGTCCTATTAGCATGCTTCGGCATATACCCCATTGCTTATCACTGCGTATCTCCTCACATACCGTGTTAGGACATAGAGTTACAATGTGATCTGCACACCTAAAATTTACTTTCGTATTATTATTATTATTTGATAATTAACATTTATTAATAATTAATAAACAATTTAGCAATGTTTTTCAGATAAACAAGAATGTTTACTTAGCATGTTTCTTAAATATCTGCAAACATATTAAGGTATTTTTTTGATTTAGAAGCGTCAAAAACGTACATACAGCACCATTAACTTATCTTTTATAATTATACATAATTAAACATTACATTATAATCATACATAAGTATACATGTAACGAGTTTGCCCTCTTTTTTAGTGTAGTCAACATACAATGTATGTTAATAATCCCATGAGCAATGCAACAGTCCGTGTTTTTTTCTGATTGGCCATATTTCAATGTGGGTTTTACACTCACAGGATTTACATGAGAATGAGAAATGGTGTTTGAGGCTCACGGTATGTCATTTCTATATACTGTAGACCTTTTAATCAGCTGCAAATATTTTCATTCAATGGTACCTTTAATTTAAAAGTGCAGTTGGTGATTGTCTTCAAAAGTATTTTTTGTTGTGCTGGTTGATAGTCTCTTCACATGTAATCATAAGTAATTCACAGTAATGATTAAAGTAAATGATCTAAATGTATTTATATGTATTTTTATATTTTGGGTAATGCATGAAACAAAATGTTCATCCAATTAAATATAGTCGGGTCGACATCTCTCATAATTCCGATAAGTAGCCCAATCTGTCTGTCAGCAAATGCAGATTTGAACAACTGCGCAGCCGTTTGTACGCAGCTTCGCCGACCGTTGCGCGTTCACGAGAGAGAGCACGCGCGCGGTCAAAACCTGCTGAATCAAAACTTTTTTTAAAAACCTGAATCAATATTGAAGTTACCTTTGCAAGCTGGAGAAAGGATGACACTATGTCTGACGGATTTCTCTTAGACAGGTAATGTTCTGTTTTAAAACCACGCAAAGCTAGTGTAACGTTGGATGTTGTTGTTACAAATGGGTTATATCTTCACAGAAGTGTTGTTCAGCCACTAATATCTTCCATTGAAAGATTGATAAGACTATTTTAGTTTCATAAGGGACCTTTTGCAGCATCGATGATGTAGATTTTAATTAGTTTGACAACAAAACACAAGTAAATATCGCTATTCCGCCTAGTCTCTCCCTATATTGTTTACCATGCAAATATTCAATCTGAAATAGCATGTCAGTTTGGCTTGCACGCCCCAGACAAGCACTAGTCGCTTTTAACACAAGAGAGAGGGTTCTTTTGCTGTGCTCGTGTTTAAGGAGGCGTGGCTCTAGACGGCAGGGGAGGGACAGTGATTCAGAGATTTATGCTAAGCTGTTAGCATTGAGGAAGATCACCTACTGCACCTGTAACTGCCTTTAAAATTTACCTGAAACCATGGTGATTAAACCTTGGTGATTAATAAAATGCAAGTCAATGGCTACTGAGTACTGACACAATAAAAAAAGCAAAAATTAACACCAGTGATTCAGCAAAAGTTCTAAGCTTGTTCACAACACTCACAGAGAAACATTATTGCATAGTCTAAATACTGTAAATAAAGTTCAGTGTCTTTAACAGAACTTTCAATACATCACCAGGATTCAAGGCTATTCATTTAGTGCTGCAATGTGAGTGATGTTTGTCTAGGCAAAAATTCAATGCTAGGATAACCTGAATGGATGTTACATGCTTTCTTACTGCATGTCAAAAAGCACACTCTCTGTCTCAAGTCAAGTGAGACAGTGTGTGTGGGTGAACAATACAACCCAGTCAGACCAGCAGAACAGCTCTATGTTCACAACAGCCTAGTGTTTGAGTGCACTGGCAGTTAACACTCATCACTGGACTGACAAACATTATTTCTTGATTTTCCACGAGACGTCGCATTTTAAAGAAATCATGTTTAGAATAATTTGAGGGTTCTTCTATTGCAGCATGTGTGTGCTTATTTGTTTGTTACTGTAAAAGTTTGTGTGTTTGCTCAGCTCGTGTAGCAGTGTGTCTGTCTTGACCACATTGATGAATACGGTGTGACTGCCCAGGCCATGTTAGAGAACGGGTACAAAGAGATCTTTGACAGACTGTAGGGCACGGTGATGTCCTGACGCACATGAACCATGAATGAGAACCATTAACAAAAGAGTTGTCTGTCAGTCAGCCATGAAAACGCGACACAAACCAAAAAGTTCACTTTCATAGATTCACCGAGGATTCTTTCATTACAGAGTCTGTCTGCGTGACCAAAGACACACTCTGCAGTGAACTCCTGCATAATGGAGTCCTGGGTCGTTGGTTAAAGTAATGAGGCATGAAGCATAATGAAGGCAATAATGTGGAGTTAACAGGACTATGACTGGTCTAATTGTTATGAGACAAAACTAAAATCAAGCATTTCTGACTTTAAACTGAAGGACTCGAAGTTGGATGTCAACAAAAGCGTCACACAAAGTACATGCATATGGGTCAAGAAAAAGGGGACAGGTTAGGGCTAGGCAATAAAATCGGTATATATATTTATTGACCGAACACCATTATCAATATTGATAAAAAAAAGATATGGTATGAAGGCTACAGTTTTAATTAAAATTTGTCTGCTGGGCCCAAAAAAGCTAAGGGTGTAAGTTTGTAATTTCCAATGGCATGTTGCACATGGACGCAGTTGAATTTTCCAACCGCACCTAGTTGAAAACATCTCAACTTTTCTGAATGCCCCGAGCGCACCGTGATTCAAGTAAGTAGAACTAACCAATCTGCTATACACTTTGTATGGAATATACACATTTCAGTAATAACGGCAAACTAATCACCCCAGTCAAATGCAGTGCATCCAAACACTGCAGCAGTTTTTACTTTTCTCCATAAACTTGCAACGGAGCGGCAGCAATGGTTTCTCCGTTCATCATATTCTGTGAAAATAGTTGATGGTCACCAAGTTACGAGAGACGCTAGGGGAGCGCATGCGCAAAGCCCATAGTAAACTGTTAAGCCAATTACGTGTTCATGCTTGTTACTTCAGGTCAAAATAGCAACACGTGAAAATAAGTGCCGTGTAGCAGCAGAGAGGAGATTGTAAATACAAATAAGATGTATCCATCTGAAAGACTTATTATTTTTTTATAAGACTTTTATTTTATTATAAAGAGAACAGATATCTTGTTTAAACAGGGCCGGCGCGTCCATTGAGGCGACCTAGGCGGCCGCCTAGGGCGGCAGTATAGAGAGGGCGGCGTCCTCGATACCTCCCTTACCACCCGCATCCTCAGTTATGTCCGCGACACCTCCCTCACCACCAGCGTCCTCAGATATATTTGCGCATAGACGACAGAATAGAGAGGGAAGCGTCAACGACACCTCCATCAGCACCCACGTGTCTTCATTTACATATCCGCGCATAGGGCGGCAGTATAGAGGCCCGCCACACCCGCGCGTCCTCCGTTATATCTGCGCATAGGGCGGCAAAATAGAGAGCGCGGTGTCCACGACACCTCCCTCCCTCAGCACCTGCGCATCCTCAGTTATATGCGCACATAGGGCAGCAGAAAAGAGGACCGCGACACCTCACTTTATGACCAGTCACTTTCGTTTTCACATTGGGGTTGAGGGCGGCGTGATAGTCCTCTGCCTAGAGCGGCAGTTCAGCTTGCTCCGGCTCTGTGTTTAAATATTTCAGTTTTTGACTATTGACCTTATTCTAAAATGTGGAAGAGCGCCTGTTTTCACGATTGTTTTAGAGTTTTCGATTCAGTTGCCTATGGGAGAAATGACTACGAATAATAAACAGCAGAAAACGGTCAAACTACTTGCTCTACAAACAAATGTTTGCATGACTATACAGACCAAGTAAAATATTATAATAAGAAAATATCAGTTTGCAACATTAAACAGCAAAACAAGCAGTTTTTAATGTCTAAAAATTATTAGAAGTGAATGAGACCGGAAGTCTCTAGCCAAAAAGATAAAAAGGGCTGCGCCTGCTTGTCGGCTAAGAATAAGGTGAATTAAATTTATTTGCCTTGGTATTGTTGGTAAATGAAAATAAATTGGTTAAATAAATAAAAAATCCTGATATTCCTAAATATATAGTTAAAAAATATTCAATAATTATTGAACTTATTGAAAAGGTTGAAATAATGCAGAGCTTTAGTACCAAAAATGGTCAGAATGTTCTACAAATGGTTAAAATTTTACATAATTTCAATAAAAATGAAACAAAAATAAATAAATAATCTGTAAATAATCCAACAAAAGTGCCATTGTTTACTGAGAATGACCCAAGTGCATCGAATTATATGAGGAAACCATTTAAATGAAGAGAGAGCAAGCAGTACTGTACCATAGGCTGATTGCACAGATATCGGCACAGCTCTCCTATGTACTGAAAAATGGTGACGTTGTATTTCCTGCAGTCATTCCAGAACTGAGAGGCAGAAAACTTCTTCTTTAGAATACAAGTGGCACCTAAAAGGCAAAAGCATAGAGACAGATATGAACTTGCTAAGCAAATAAATTCAAACATCCAGTTTGATACAACAAATGTGAAAGTTCAATTGCTATTACAGATCATTAAAATGTTCATTCATTTTGGAATCGGTGAACATGAAATTAAGTATGTTGAATGAAATGTTTCAGTTGCAGGCCCGTAGCCAAGGTGGTTCGAAAGACTGCACTGACAAATGTCCAGAATTTGTACCATTCATGAGTTAATTTGTCGTATTTTAACGTTGAAAAAGTAACCCGTGCCGCTTTGTTTATGGATTTAAATGCATTTGTGAGCTCGCGTTCCAATTTGTTATTGTTATGGCCACTGTCAGCTGTTCCTACACACGTGCAACAGTCGTGTTCGGGGGTGAGATGTCTGAATAACACCGTTAAGAACCGGATACTGTGTACTGCGGTGTTAGTAACTACTACGAAACGAGCCACCGCTGCGATCAGATCCTATACCAATGTTGGTGACCCAGGAGTTTCACAGACCGTCCCAAAATGCCAATGGGTGGGGGGCTGGGGTAGGAGTGTTGGCAGGTATGTTTACACATATACTACACACTCTGATTACTTCAATATTGTTGATAAGCGGTGGTAGGCATTTTACTCTGTCAGATTAGCATCGTGCTAAGAAGGGGTTTGAGAACCAATGAATTGCAAAACTAATCATATAAGAGTTGTTGGGATAATTAGGTAAAAAATAAATGCATATTAAAAGAAAGTGAGTGTTTTTCGATCTTGCATGAATATCAGCCTGTTGTTGGGAGACCCCCAAAACCCCCAGGGGTTCTTTAAAGTATCATCTGTATTACAATGCTAAATGAATGAATCCAAACTCATTAAAGTGAAATAATCTTCATGATCATCTAAGGTCAAATGTAAACAAACTATGTGCACTGACTTTACAAACAGCTGCATTAGGCAATGACAGATGTACACTTGAATCAGACCGATCAATGGTATCTAGAACAGGGGTCTGTGTTTTGCAAACACTTGGCAATCACTCAAACTCTTTAAATCCAGTACACATTGTTAAAGGAACACTCCACTTTTTGAAAATAGGCTCATTTTACAAATGGTTACATTCATTCATTCATTTTTTTGTCAGCTTAGTCCCTTTTTTAATCCGGGGTCGCCACAGCAGAATGAACCACCAACTTATCCAGTAAGTTTTTACGCAGCGGATGCCCTTCCAGCCGCAACCCATCTCTGGGAAAACATCCACACACACACACACATTTACACACACACTCATACACTACAGACAATTTAGCTTACCCAATTCACCTGTACCAAATGTCTTTGGACTGTGGGGGAAACCCAAGCACCCGGAGGAAACCCACGCAAAGGCAGGGAGAACATGCAAACTCCACACAGAAATGCCAACTGAGCCGAGGCTCGAACCAGCGACCCAGCGACCTTCTTGCTGTGAGGTGACAGCACTACCTACTGCACCACTGCTTCACCACAAACGGTTTCATTTGACTATTTTTTCCAAGAGTTCACACTTAGCTCATGACTTACGAAAGCTTATTTGGAATGCTGTCCCGGGAGAGAGCCCTGAGCTCAAGGGATCCTCGAGTGCAGGGCTCCCTCCCTTTGTGGGGCGCGGGGAGATTGAGCTTAGGGCGATCTCAAACTCCCCCGCAGCTATGGCCAAGGTGAACTTCCTAAGAGCGAGACGACTAGTAAAAGAGACTTGGGTTTAAGTGGTCTACAATGCAGAGCATATTTAGGCTTTGGGAGAGAACTGAAACCCCAGGGGAAACGTGCCAGCTCCACGCAGAGACACAAGAAGCTCAAGTAAGGAGCCGGAGCCATTGGAATTCCTGCTGGTTGCTGGGCCGCCGAGCCACCTATTTTGGATAAAGGTGGAAGAAGGGGGAGGAGGGGGGTTCTTTAAGACGAAGATAGTTGTAAATGGAAAAGGAGGATATATATAAGAACTCGGGATCCTTGATTATAGGATCGTGATTAGCTAATATGAGCCAGCTGGGTTAATCATGAGCGCGTACTCCTCTCGAAATTAGTTTAATAAATTAAACTTCACTTAATCCATTCTGATGATCTCTGGCTCTGGCAGGAGCATTTTTTGCTTAGTTTAGCATAGATCATTGAATCAGATTAGACCATTAGCATCTCACTCAAAAGTGACCAAAAAGTTCAGACAATTTTCCCGTTTAAAGCTTGACTCTTCTGTACTTTGTCAACTAAGACTGATGGAAAATGAAAATTTGCAATTAGGCATGCGTAATATTGTTCCCACTGCAGCCATGGTACCACAGCAAAGTTTCTTGATTATTAGGCCAGAATGAGAGTATAGTTCCAAGCCATATCAACACAGAAAACAGCCAAATTTCATTTTTTATCAGCCTTAGTACATTTTAGGCAGCGTTGCTTCACTAAGTACAATATATTATCACCCAATCAGTGTGCATCTCGGTTTGTTTTAGCATATCTCTACAATTTCAAAGCTCACTATACTGCAGGAGAAGACTTCTAAAGTTGAATGATAGGACAAATTGAATCGAAAGTGAAAGCAGGTAATATAGTAGTGTTGTGGCCATTTCTGTGAATGCGAGAGATGATTGAAGTATAGAATTTTAAATGCGTGTTATCCAACTTTAAAAAATGAAAAAGAAAAAAATTATATATCCAAAACAGTGAAACAGAACTGGCTCACATAACATTCTATAATTTTCCTTAAAGCTTAGTCCCTTTATTAATCAGGGGTCGCCACAGCAGATTAAACCGCCAACTTATCCAGCATTTGTTTTACACAGCGGATCCCCTTCCAGCCGCAACTCAGCACTCTTGCATTTACACTCATACACTACGGCCAATTTAGCTTATTTAATTCACCTACAGTATAGTGCATGTCTTTGGACTGTGGGGAAACCATAGGAAACCCACGTAAACTTGCAAACTCCACACAGAAACGCCAACTGACCCAGCTGGGGCTCAAACCAGCAACATTCTTGCTGTGAGGCGACAGTGCTAACCACAGAACCACCGTGTCGCCTTTCATACTACATGTGTGTGTGCGCAGAAACGCACTAGATTCATAGCCTCCATTCAAATAGTGACTTGTGCCAGGACAACAGCTTGGATTAATAAGGCCAAACCTGTAACCATTGACACCTGGCAATTTTTTCTACCACTTTCCCCAATTATATTAAGGAATTAAAGTATATTGCAATCCTGCTACTTAGTTTTTGTTAGTATATACCACCCCTCCTTTTTTCCCCTTTTTTCTGACTGTCAAGATGCCGATAATATCTATTACACATTCTTATTTAAACATTTGTTTCATGTTATTTGTCAGTGTCTAATACAAAGTTGATCGCAAAAAAGAGGTTATTATATTTTCTTTAATTGTTTGGAACAACATGAGAGCAAGTGAGTGAAAGAATTAAAATGTTTGAATGCTCTTCGAAGTCACAATCTTTTGCCCAATCTTTGAGGCCGTACTCACACCATGTACAGTTGCCTCGAACCGGGCCAAAGCACGCTTGTCCCAATCACATTACAATCAGGCATGGGCACGCTTACGTCATCGATGATGCGCAGGTGGTCAGAAGCGCTCTCGCTCAGCACAGTGGGGATTTCTTCAGTTATATTGTTTGGGATGCAGTGACACACAGTCAGATATTTTGCCGAACAGCCACTTTTGACACTCATAAACAATCATAAAGCCCTCGTGCTGCAGGAATTAGGAGGTTTGCTAAAGGTGCAGCTGTCATGCAGTGAGGGGCTTGTGACTTTAAAAAACTATGGCATTTTGCGTTCACTGAACAGTTAGAATGATTAATAATCCATAAGAAACGTCCCTAAAAAGTCACGTCTCGCTTTCAGTTTCGGCTTTGGCGTGTTTTGCACTCACACACAAGCGTACCGCACCAAAGCCCAAGTGAACCGCGCTCAGGCACACCTCTTCTAATCGAGCCAGGGCTGGCCAAGTGAACCAGGCCTGAGCCCGATTCAGAGCACTCACACTTCTCAAACGATCCGGGAAACGGGCCTGGGCACGGTTCGGATAGTATAGTGCGAGTAGGCCCTGAATGAATGTAGATTACATCAAAGGAATGTCATTTATTACATTATCACAATATTGCTATATTGGTCACAACTGCAGTTCGAAAAGGTTTAAATAAGAGACTTACCTAATTCAATGGTCCCTCCAATGCCTACAAGTGAGGCAGCACTGTGATACAAGGGAAGTGGGGTATAGATTACATCCTTTTCTGTACCGCCATATGCCCAAAATCCACCTGCTGCCTTCAGGGACTGCAAATGAGTGATGACTGCAGCTTTGGGTAGCCCTGCAACAGTTAACACACCATTACAATACAGAAAAACCCAGTTCATGCAATTTTTCATTCATTCATTCATTCATTCACTTTTCAGCTTAGTCCTTTTATTAAATCATGGGTCGCCACAGCGGAATAAACTGCAAACTTAATCAGCACATGTTTTATGCAGCGGATACCCTTCCAGCTGCAACCCAACACTGGGAAACACCCACACACTCTTGCACACACTCACATACACTACAGCCAATTTACCTTATTCAATTTACCTACAGCGCATCCGGAAAGTTTTTTATAGCGCTTCACTTTTTCCACATTTTAAATTTAACAGCCTTATTACAAAATGGATTTAGTTAATTTATTTTCACAAAATTCTACACACAATACCCCATAATGACAATGTAAAAAAATTTAAATTCTTTAAAATTTATTAAAAATAAAAAACCTGAAATCTCACATGTAGAGAAGTATTCACAGCCTTTGCAGTGCAGCTCTCAATTGTGCAAAGGTACATTCTGTCTCCCCTGATCATTATTGAGATGTTTCAGCAGCTTAATTGGAGTTCACCTGTAGTGAATTCAGTAGACTATGCATGATTTGATAAGGAATACACCCGTCTATATAAAGTCCCAGGGTTGACAGTGCATGTCAAAGCACAAACCATGCATGAAGACAAAGGAACTGTCTGTAGACTTCCGAGACAGGATTGTCTCGAGGCACAAGGCTGGGAAAGATAACAGAAACATTTCTGCTGCTCTGAAAGTTGCAATGAGCACAGTGGCCTCCATCATCTATAAGTGGAAGATGTCCACCAGGACTTTTCTTAGAGCTGGCCAGCCATCTAAGCTGAGTGATCAGTGAAGAAGGGCATTAGTCAGGGAGGTGATCAATAACCCGATGGTCACAATGTCTGAGCACCAGCGTTTTTCTGTGGAGAGAGGAGAACCTCACAGAAGAACAACCATCTGTGCAGCAATCCACCAATCAGGCCTGTATGGTAGAGTGGCCAGACAGAAGCCACTCCCCACCTGGAATTTACCAAAAGGCACCTGAAGGACTCTCAGACTATACGAAACAAAATTCTCTGGTCTAATGAGACTAAAGTTTTACTCTTTGGAGTGAATGCCGGGCGTTATGTTTGAAGAAAACCAGGCACTGCTCATCATCAGTCTAATATCAGGCTAATACCAGACCTAAATCCTATTGAATATCTTTGGAAAGATCTGAAAATGGTTGTACACCGTTGCTTCCCATCCAACCTGATAGAGTTTGAGAGGTAGTGCAAAGAGGAATGGGCAAAAATTCCAGAAGACAGGTGTGCCAAGCTTGTGGCATCATCTTCAAAAAGACTTGAGGCTGTAATTGCTGCCAAAGGTGATTTTTCAAGTGTTTTACTTTTAATAAATGTGCAACAATTTAAAAAAAAAATTTTTTTTCACTTTGTCATTATAAGGGTATTGTGTGTAGAATTTTGAGGAAATAAATGAATTTAATCCATTTTGGAATAAAATTTGGAACAAGTGATGCACTATGAATACTTTCTAGATGCACTGTATATCGCATGTCTTTGGACTGTGGAGGAAACCGGAGCACCCGGAGGAAACCCACGTGAACAGGGAGAGAACATGCAAACTCCACACACAAATGCCCACTGACCCAGCCGGGGCTCAAACCAGCACCTTCTAGCAGTGAGGCGATCGTGCTACCCACTGCGTCACCGTGCGCCCACTAAATGATTTTAGAAGCTAAATAAAAAATATGTGTTTGCACAAGGGCTTATGAAAGCTTCTCTTGAGAAAGAAAAAAAAAACATACTTCTCTTACACGTTGTGAAATGACGCTGTTGAATAAAGCCATAAATAAAGTGTTCTCGTAGCTTTATAAAATTATGGATAAACCACTGATGACACAGGGACTGTTTCATAATGTACACAGTACTACAGAAGAGAGATCTTAGATTTCATAAAAATATCTTAATTTGTGTTCCAAATATGAACAAAGGTCTCAGTAATTTTCATTTATAGGTCCTTCAAACAAAAAAAAATGCAGTAAATATTTTGAAATAGCTCAATCAGAGCCCAGAGAAAAACAAACATACAAACAAGGTACACATGAGATCCTAACACAAGATTGGGAAGTGACCATCATAAGCAAGAATTAGTTGAGACATCAACACACTTGTGCAACCAGGCTTTTCACTGTTTATTTATGGTTTGTTCTCTGTCTTTCAAGTTTCAACTTTTTAGACCTTCTGGACAGTACTAGTTTTAAAGGGAGTCACCTGAGAAGTTTCACAAAAGTACTACAAAAGTAGAGAATTTAATTTCATCTGAATCTGCCATGTCTGTGTTTTTCTTACAAAGCCACTGTAAAAATTACAGAGCAAATTACGTCCAAAACACAGCAAAGAAATAAAAAATGAAATGGACAAGAAGAGCCCAATCACCTAAACTGTTAAGACTGGCTAATGCAATGTCAGGTAAGTGCAAGTTCATTTTTGCATTCAATTACATAGCAAATAATTAGGGCCAGACGGAATCTGCGGACGTTTTTTGCCATTTCTGCAGAGAATTTTGGTAAAAGTCTGCGGATTTCTGCTGAATTATTTTGGGAGGATCATAACTAAAACCTTATTATATGAAATAAAAAATATTATCTTTTTAACTTTTCTTTAATGTTTAAAATGCAAATCCAATTATTCACTTTATTCAGTAAATAAAGCAAGTTTGTCATCATATATCTAGTAAAAGACTGAACATATTACTTTACAAACTGCATTGTACATTAATCAGATGAACATTTTCACATTAGTCAATAATATTAAGTAAAAAACTGAATAAATATAGATTTACACACATTTACTCAAGTAAATGAACAGAATTAATGATGGGCTAAAAATCTGAGGAAAATCTCCAGAATTCTATGTACACAGATTCCGGGTGGGCCTACATATAACTTTTACATTTATACATAAAAACATTTGTTTCCAATGGGTTTATTATATTATATGATATTTTAATATTATATTTATTATCACAAGTTTACATTTAGTTTTTTGTTATATATTTTTAATCAAATGATTACAAAACAATAAATAAGAGGATGTTTTACATACTTAAATGTGCTGAAATGTTATTTAATCTTCAAATACATTTGATCATATTTCAAAAAGTGTGTTCAATCAGCAGGTTTTAAGTGCGACCATGTAAGCACAGATATGGTAGTCCCAATCAAATTCGTATAATTTGATAAAAAGAACTGTAACTCAAATATTATTTAAAAAACTAGTCTTTCACTAGGCCAGGGTTGCCCACCCCTGCACCAGGCTCTTGTCACTTTAATTTTGCTGTTTTCAATGCACACTTTAAAAAAATAACTCAAGAGGTCTGTTACCACTGCATAGTTTAATACTTTATTGTAACTTAAAAATTCTAAAATGCTGATTAGATTAAAACTTTTAAGGTGCCAGAATAATTTTATTAAGTTTTCAAAACAGGAAAATATTGATAATTACATCAATTTAAAAATGCTGCTAATTTAAAGGTAGATATATCTGTCAGTTGCTTTAAAACAATATTTAACTTGTAGCAACCCAAAGAAATTGGGTTGATAACTCACACTAATGGAGTTTTGTATTTTTAAGTCCACACACTAATGTTTTTTGTTATTTTTTTTACGCTGTAAAAAGGACAGTACATATTTTTGTTTTGTAAAACAATAAAAAAAAACTGTGGTTTAATACAAATAAAAAACTAAAAACAAAAATGTTGTTGTTAAATGTATTTCTTACAAGCATGAACAGTAAGTTTGAAAACAAACAAAAAAGTAACAATTTTGGATACTTAATTTATTTGGGGTACTTAACTTATAAATGTGCGTGTAATTAAGTACATAACACTAGATTTGTTTTTAATTTTAAAACAAAAAACTAATCGAAACAACATTTTTGAGTACTCAACTCAACTCAAGGTTTTTGCTATGTAAAAATGCTTCTGATTGAAGAGAAAAATATTTAGCTAACATAATATAGTTTGTTATCTTATCATAATCAAAAATATCATTCAGCTATTTATTGTTCAGAATCATTTTTTAATATAATTTTCCAGTATTGGGTTGCAGCTGGACGGGCATCCGTCATGTTAAAAATATGCAGAAATAGTTGGTGGTTCATTGCACTGTGGCAAATCCTAATAAATAAATATCTGAACTGAAGGAAAATTAATGAATTATAATATAAATAAATTAAAACCAATTAACTAACAGAGATTGGAGAGAATGTACAAAATCATTTTGGGTTTTTCAGATCTAGCAATATTTCAAATTATTGTTCACCCAAAACTGAAACTTTAAATGGTAAATTTACAATTATTATTTTTTGGATCATGAAAGTTTTAACTAAAAAAAGAGGTCTTTGATGATTCATGAAATGCAAGTCAAAGCATTTTAGCACTTTGAGAGTCAGGCAAAAATGATTATCTGTGGTTACTGAAAATACTGAAGTAAAAAGATCAGTCTGTAAATTAAACTGAACAACCTCTGCAAAAGCTTTGGAGTGTGTTCTGGGCAGTCTGGAGCATTTACAGAACTGTGTTGTTACGTGTATGTCATTATGTATAAGAAATCTTGCACTCTATATTTTTATGAAACATTTTCAGATGCTGTGGATTAAAGCTAACATTGTACAAATACTTTTTGTTCTTAGTATATCAGTACTTGCTGCAGGTATTAATTTTGTTTTGCTTGCATGTGTTTTTTGACTCTAAGGGCTCTATTTTAACGATGTAGGCGCAAAGTCCAAAGTGCAGGGCGCAAAAGAACGTACAAATTCACTTTTGCTATTTAAAAGACAGGAAAACACGCTCTGCGCATGGTCTAACAGGGTTGAGCTTACTCTCTTAATGAGTTATAGGTGTTTCTTGAGAACAGTGACGTAGCGGACGGGCCCGCAGGGGCCCCGCATGATTAGGGGGCCCTGTTTCGTCGCCATATTCAATAATTGAAAATCCAGCAACCGCAATAATCAAACTCTTGGGAACAACTGTGGTCGGAACCAAAGTTCACAGGTCTGTGTTCTCTGCGGTGGACTATTTCATTCTGATTGCTTGTCGCCGAACCGCGTCATAGATCATACAATAAAGTTAATTTGATTTCAACTCTTCTCGACACCCACACCGGAGAAGACACGCCGCTCTGTTTCTCGCCGCCGGTTCTCATTGAAATGAATGACTTCTGGCTACTTTGACGCTCTCGCCGCTTTCGATTTGTGATCGATCCACAGTTTGTGAAGGCTATCCGCGTTGTCGCTCCACCCCGCCTCCCTTCCCCGCTCCTCAATTTGTGTGCCCTCTCCCCACCCGGAAGCGAAGACAGGAAGTCTTCCTCTCCCAGTGATCCCTGCAGAGGGGCCTCCGCATTTTGCGCTACGCCACTGCTTGAGAATAAACCAATCAGAGTCTCATCTCCCATTCCCTTTAAGAGTCAGTTGTGTCACTCCATGGCGCATTTGCTATTTACATGTTAGACTTTGTAAGTGGAAAAACTGAACATTTCAAAACAGTTAAAGAAAACAGTTAAACAGCATCTGCAGCAAGAGGATAATGAGTCTAATCCATTTGGCCTTTACTTTCACTTTCCCTCTTTCGTGGATAAGGAAATGAAAATAAAAAGGAAATGTTGTATGCTCTCCACTAAAGACATCCATTTGCCTACATAATTAATTTTGTTTGTTAAGCGCAAAGATTTGTTTCAAAACTATTTCTAAATTCAGTTCTAATTTCCAGCAAACGAATAAATGAACAATAAAAACGAAGTGTGATCAATTAACTGAGTTATATTCAAAGTCAGTCCTATGCCTCACATGGTCAAAGTGGACAAATCTAAGCTTGTTTTTAATAAAACAAATATAAATATGCATTTAATAAATAATACTAATGATAATAATAACATTATACAAAAGCAAGTTGTTGTAAATAAACTGAAAAACCCCCTGAGGTGAAGAAGGCATGGAGGAACTGGTTTTTAGATTAATAGAAAATAATAATTCTCGCAACATTTTAATCCTTTAATACTTTTTCATTTGTAAAGATATTTCTGTATTGCTGTACATCCTGCGTGTTTTAAGCAATTTTTAAAGAGGCGCACAACTGACGTGCTCTGCACTGGACTTTAGACCTACTCTCAGCTGGTCTATTGCTCAGTCTATTTTAGTTCCTCAAAATAGCAAGACGCCAGAAATGCGCCTCAACACACCTTCTTTATAGACCAGAACGCCTATTGGGGCAAATGAGTGCAAATGCATTTGCTATTTAAAGAGCATGTTGCAAAACGTCAAAATGACACTTGTGTCGAGCTGAAACTAGCAAATAACATTTGTGTCGCCCCTTGCGCTGCATTGCGCCGGGTGTATAATAGGGCCCAAAAAGTGCCACTGACTTGCATTTTACAAATTACCAAGGACCATAGTTGCTTTTACAAATTCTCTTTAATATTTAACTGAAGAAGGAAAAAATCTTAATGGATGACCTTAAATTAAAAGCAAATTTCCATTTTGTGTGAACTACATCTTTGAAAATAAAAGTCCATATAATATAGAGAATTGACCCTGCATTGGCCTCGGGGCCATAACCAGTCGACTCTGAATTCTCCACCACTAATCATGCACTGAACCAGCTCATCAAGATGTTTGGATCCTCCTAAAAACAGAGCTGTGAAGAAATGTCCTGATACAATGGAATTCACACAGAAGAAAAAAATAAAGCTTTCCACATACCAGTTGTGCCTGAAGTGAAGATGTAGAGAGTGGGGGTTTTGAGACAGGAGATGGACCTGCGCTTAGCTGCAATTGGCTCCTGTGAAGATTTCTCAATTTTATCTAGCAGGCTGTGGACCCCAGGATGAGAATTTCCATGACCCAAAGACCAAACTGTGATATTGTCCTCCTGGAGACTGGGAAGAATGTCCTCTAAATTGTCCAGAAGATCTACAAGAACAATAAATGTGTCATATATAATTGGAATTACCATTCAGTATGATCATACAGTATTTTTTGCACTATACACTATTTTGCATCTGCACAACTCTGGTTTGCACTCCTTGCCATGTCCCCTTGGCTTAAGTGTAATTGTATTGTTTACAAATTTGTATTTTTTGATTATATTATATATGTAATTGTATTTATTGTAAATTCTTTTTAAAATTCTATTTTTTGTATTAATATTATATGGGTCTTAGAGCAACGTAAGTTCCATTCTCTTTGATATAACACAAACTATTACAAATAATAATCACTTACCTATTCATAGTTAAGGACTAACCTTAATAAATGTATTTAAGTCGGTGCAATAGCCTAGTGGTTAGCGCACTGACATTTGGTGCAGTAGCAGTAGCACGTGTCCAGAGTTTGAATCCTAGACATTTCACGTTACCCCCTTTCTTTCTCCCACTTCGCTTCCTGTCTGAAATACTGTCCTATCCACTTAATAAAGGCAAAAAGGCCCAAAATAAATCTTTAAAAATTTAAAATAAATGTATTTAACACCCAATTCCAGCTGTTATTCCATGTGCTGTATACCACTAGACTTAGTTGGCTTTACTTAAAACAGAGAGTAAACTCTTTTGCTTGTAATTATTGTGTAAACAATCTATTTGCATAATTATAAAAGTCAAGACAATAGGTTTACTGAATTTCTCAAGTAACTAATTGCATTTTACAGTGTTAATAATAACACAGTTTTATTAATAAATTAGCATCCTAACTTATAATTGTGGAAATATAAAAGGCATTCAGCATTGATGATATCTTGAATGTTTGAGAGTGTTTATAATAATTGTGTACAGTAATTGTACTGTATTCAGCCTGCATGCCTTAAGACAAAGCCTTTATCCAGCCTTATCCACTGACCTGCAGACCTACTTAATAAAATAGCCCAGCACCTGTAGACATAACCAGTGTCATAAGTCAAAGATTAAAAGGTCTAAGTTCATTACTAATATATAGATATATAATATTATAGATAAAATATTTAATTTATTTTCTCTCAGCTGACGTCTTCAGTCATCTGAGGCTAGTGACAGTCATTCATTCATTCATTCATTAGTGAGTCTGCATTTATTACTGTTCTTTGTTTGTTAAGTATTAGTTATTGAGGTGTTTGTTTGTTTGGTAATTTGTGTTTGTGTAGGCGTTTATGTGACATATCAGGACAAACATGTGCATAATGAAATTGATATGACACGAGTAGCCTATAAGAAAGGGCTTATATATACTGAATGTTGTGATGTTGTTTTTTTCCCAGAAAATAAAAGTGTAGTTTCCTGTAAGGGGTAGGGTTGTGTGTAGGGTAGGGTAATAGAAAATACAGTTTATGTAGTAACAAAAAATCAAATCATAAAATGTCCTAAAATATCTGAAACATTATAACGTTACTTGTTTGTTTATACTTTAATGAAGTTGTCTCTGTCCAAAAATCAAGTTACCTGCTCCGACCACCAGTTGTTTGGCCCCACAGCAGTTAAAACAGTGTAGCAGCGACCTGGATTTGATGTTTGTGTTGAGAAACGCCAAAGCACAGCCCAGTTTACAGAACCCGAACCAGACCGAGATGAAATCGGGCTCGTTGTTCATGAGGAGCGCGACCGTGTCTCCTTTTTTCACCGTGTCTTGAAACAAGCGCGCGACCCTGTTGCTGCGCGCCTCGAGGTCTCCATAAGTGTACGTCACTCCTTCAAAAATCACAAACGGTTTTTCAGGAAACCGCTGTGCTTGTTGAACAAACCGGTCTACGATCGTTACGATCAGTGAGGTCCTTTTGTAAATTTCCAGACGCGCTCCGTATCGTATGACTTTCATTAAATAAAGAGCGTCTTTCCAGAAGTATGGAAAACACAGGCGCTGTGCGAGATGCGCGGTGAGGATTCCTGTCAGCAATGCCGCGATCCATGACAACATCTCTGGAAAAAATAAACACGCAGAGACCTGGTTAAAGCTGTCAAACCGTTGACATTGTTATAGTGGCTCAGGGTAAGTTCTTCAATGGATGTTATAAAACGCATCAGACCACTGTCATCCTAATTTATGCAACGCTCTGTGTCACGTGACTGTTGTTGTACAACCGCCCTCGTTGGTGGGCGTGTCGTCTGGGCCACGCGCTCGGTCCTGTTTATCAGGCTGTCTACCATACGAGTTACTATAGTAACAGGGCGTGGCGCATAGTTTAGTAGTTCCACGCCCATCAGAGAGAGAGAGCGCGCGCTCGGATGTTTATTTACTGTACCCGCTCGTAACTGTGGAATGTGCAGAGACTAGAATATCCTGGAATACAGTAGAGCATGTGCTACAACTGTATCACACCCGCTTCATAAACACATGAAAATAATGTAAAGTGTGTGGATGTTTACCACATTTGCCCATTGTTTAAAAATAGACCTAAATCATTTAACAAAATAAATAATTTAGCAATATTGTTTTGACATAGTTGCAAGCTAGGTGTTAGCATTTAGTTGATTTTTGCTGAATATAGCCTACAGTTTTAAAAAGGTTTGGTAAAAGAATAATTGCAAGTATTCAAATTTTTGAAATGCTTCTGGGGGATTGAAAAATAAAGATTTTCGAGCACAGATGAGTTAGAGCTTATCACGTTTTTTCAAGTTTAGTGTCATATGAATATGTAGCCCACTGTATACTATGGAATAAAATTAAATATTTATCTGTATTTGCTGAATTTACAAAGTATGTTTGTAATATTGGTTTTATTCTAGTTAATTTCATTTCAAATGTCAAATAAAATATTAATTTTATCAAAGAGAGAGTTAAAAAAAGTAATAATATAAGTAATATTTCCTTACATTTATATAGCGCTTTTCTAGATACTCAAAGCGCTTTATATATTGAGTGGAATCTCCTTATCCAGCACCAGTGTGCAGCATCCACCAGGATGATGCAACAGCAGCCATACTGTACCAGACCAGGGCTGGACTAAATAAGGGGCATTATGGGCACAGGCCCAGGGGCCCATGCGAGTGGGGGAAAAAATGCAGATTTTCGACTGTCTATTAGGGCTAAGTGCAAATAGCGCACCTCACTGGAATAAGCTATTTGAGCAATTTTCCACCCATCACTGTTTGATTGACAGAGACAACATAACTAAAGAGCGCAATTGACAGCAGAGTGAGTGACGTAGCTTGTAAAGCGCAAGGTTTGAATCCAGCGTCTTATGAACTCATTCTTCTTTTTTACCCCATTACACATCAGATTGAAAATACATTTATTGTCATTCATTCATTCATTTTCTTGTCGGCTTAGTCCCTTCATTAATCTTGGGTAGCCACAGTGGAATGAACCGCCAACTTATCCAGCACGTTTTTGCGCAGCGGATGCCCTTCCAGCCTCAACCCATCTCTGGGAAAACATTTATTTTTATTAGAAAGGAAATATTTTTGTTTTATGGAAATGTGATGTAAAGTCACAAGTGGCTCATGGGTATTTAATAAGGTTTAGCCTATTTCATGTGTATAAACAGCATCTAAATAGTGATTTTGAAATATTCTTTAAACAGTTATTTTCCATCTGGTGTTAAATGTTAGCAAAATCTTAATATAGCTAGTTTGTATTTACAACAAATACCCTTTAAAATATATATTTTTACTGCTTCAGTGAACTTAAACAAGTATACTAAAAGTCTTTAATTTTTACTAATTTTAATAATATTTTTTTTTATCAAAGCGTGCTTTAAATGCTTTAAAAGTAAATAAATCTGTGTAGACTATAAATATATGTACTATATATCATTTATTTTTAAAATGTGGGCAATACAATATAGATTTATTTTATTAAAAAAATAACACATTATTCTTATTTTTTAATTCAACTATAGGGGTGCGGACAGGTAGGGGGCCCAACAAGACAATGTGCCCAATGTGAAGCCAATTATGTCAGGATGGCTAGGAGGCCATAGACAGAGGCCAGTGAGCAAATTTAGCCAGGACACCCTACTCTTTTCTGAATGACATCCTAGGATTAGAAAATCAGCATACCTAGTCTTAAAGACGGCACTCACTGAGCAGTATAGAGTCACCATCAATATACTGGGGCATTAGAACCCACACAGACTACAGATTCAGCGCCCCATGCTGGCCTAACTAGCACCACTTCCAGCAGCAACCAAGCTTATGGTCTCCCATCCAGGTACTGAAAGAGCACAGCCCTGCTTAGTTTTAGTGCAGGGGTTTTCAAAGTGTGAGGCGCGCCTCCCCTGGGGGGCGCCAGAGCATGTCAGGGGAGGCGCTGGAAAAAATATTATATAATTAAAATATAATTATTAAGTTTAATTATTATATGTATTTTTTATTATATTTAAACATTTTAATTAAACAAAGCAAAAAAAATATATATATACGTCAAAAATAAGAAAACCTTTTTTACCCAGAAGGCCATAGCTGTGAATTCGCTTCTGTTTGGCAAGCCCGCCAATACAGGTATATGCCTGCTAATACAATGGATCGGTTTCTGAGACCCCCCGATTTAAGGCCTTTAAGTTCAGGGCTTAAACCCAAAAGACGACGATAAGATGATCAGTATTTGAGTTTAGGATTTACGTGGACAGGACCAGCTGATGAACCACGACCTTTATGTGTGGTTTGTCAAGATATTTTGGCTAATGACAGCATGAGACTCGCTAAACTTTGACTGTTTTGACTGGGATGGACAGTTCTTGGATCTGTTCTATTCATATTGAACCATCATCCTAGTTTTAAAAACGTTATAATAAAATACTTGTTATTACTCTGTAAATAATTGCACTTTCATGCAAATGATGATAAAAGTGAGTTAACAGTCTGACATCTGTCTGTGTCTTTATATATACTGTATGTATATATATATATATATATATATATATATATATATATGTGTGTGTGTGTGTGTGCGCGTGCGTGTGCGTGTGTGCTTGCGTGTTTGGGAGGAGGGGGGCGCCAATGGATAAGTTGTGTCAAAAGGGAGGCCCACTGCCTTAGACTTTGAAAAACCCTGCTTTAGTGGATGGTTGATAAAGTACTGTTATCATTTACTCATTCTTTACTTGTTTCAAACCAAAAACTATATAGTCTCTTAATTCTGTTAAACACAAAATAAAATATTTTGGAAAAATTATGGAAACCTGTAACCATTGATGTTTATTTGTTTTTCCTACTATGAAAATCAATGATTACAGGTTTTCAGCCTTCTTTAAAATATCTTCCAGATGAATGAAGCATAAAGGTATGCAAGCACTTGGGGTGACCAAATAGCGAGTAAATGTTTGGGGTGAACTAAACTTTAATTTGATTAATTCCTTTTCTGAAAGTGAAATACTCGAAACAAATAATTTCTTAACTTCTTGCGCTATCTAAAACAAAAATAAGCATGTCTGAGAACACAGCTTTTTATTTCTAAAATTGAATATTTGTCGAAAACGGTGATGACCCTCTTATTTACATTTTTTTAAATAAAAACTAATGTTTTACCTGTAAAATACCATTAAAATGTACAGTTTTAGCCTACATAATGTAGATTTCAGTAATTTTCTTAGCAGATAGATAGCAATTCATTATGTCTGTAGTGCTGTTTAACAGCAGTAAAAATATTTAAGTAAAATATTAATTTCTAGTTCCAACCAGATTAAATTTGTGACCAGTTCTTTTGTGGACACACAGCACAGATGGAAGTTTTCTAACGAAGTTTCTTCTTTGTGACAGCCTTTGTTTTTGTCCTTTATGAATGGCATTTTGTTCGCATCCAAATGGGTTTTGTGTTACAATCAGCCAAGGACTGCAGATTGTTATCATGCAAATGACAGTGTTGCAATGGCGACCCTGTTCTTCCATTCATTCAAAAGAAAGAGCTGCAACCGTGCTCTTCAGATACACTCAGAGAGTAGATTATTTGTAAAGTAAATGTACACTATGTTGTCCTACAGTAGGGTAACAATGCTTACTTCTGACAAACTTTTTTCTAAGTATTTAATTTTAATAAGATTTCATCCTATAAGAAAATATCTGTTACTAAGAGGTCAGTAATGTACCTAATAGGATGAAATAACTTTATTTTAAAATCCTTCGTAATGACTATCCCTAAAATGTATCTAAATTTAATATAAACAATTTTTCCCAATGCACATTCTGTAATTCTTATCTGGAAATGATGGCACATTTATTTTTAGAATGCAATTTTGTAGAAATTTTTTGGATTGAAATATCTTGGCTTGTTTTCTCAGCATAAAAGTTTAGATTTTTAAGACAATTAATCTATTGTCTTTGATTTGGGAGTCATTTTGTAAGGAAGCGGACAATAATGTGTTTTAATTTTTAACTCTTTGTCGCCTGTCGAATGTATGCCTAATTTTAGAACATTTTGTATTGACTTGAAACTCTATTATGAATCTTTCTGCTTATTGTTAAATAAGGAAGCTGCCAAAATAACTGTACTACTAGAAAAAAATTGTGTTTACATTATAAGCATACTTTTAAATGATCAGATCCTTTTTGTTACGCCCATATAACACTCTAATAATTTAGAGCGTTTTTATTTTATTTTATGTTCTTTAAATATTTATTTTTCTTTCATGTATTGGTTTTTTCTTTATCCTTTGAAACATTTGTGTAACTAGCTGTACAATGAATATTTATCATTTGTATTCAAGTCACACAATATCAGTACAAATTAATGTTTTATGTATCCTGTTGATAAAAAAGGATGTCAGTGACGTTTCTCTTTAGGTTTAGCTCCATCAAGTGGACGTCGACATAATTTTGCATGATTTGCTTCCGCTCTTTTTCTGAAACTTCCATCTGTTGTTGTTGATAAACTAGAATCCATTTGTAGTTTTTTTTTATAAAACATCTCTGCTCATAAAAACAATATGAACCATTTCATAATTTCTAATGGTTCCCTTTAAAACATTACAAACAATCGACTTTTAATCATTAAAAACTAGGCTGTGTGACTCCATTAGGATAATTTTAATATGAAACAAGACATGTAACCCAGAGGAACAATTATAGTTTCCATTATGAGCATTACAAATTCAATTAGTGTTTCTATTTTTTTCAACAGGAGCATCACTAAAATCCTTGTTCCATACACGATGACTAAAAGTTCTCATATTTTCTAATGTTTTTGAAAAAAGCCTCTTCATCTGCATTTATTTGATTCGAAAAACAAAGCTGAATTGTCAGGAGTCACTATTTTAGTCTTCAATGCCACATGATCCTTATGGAAGGAAATACTTTTACTCAGAAATAATGCATTGAAAGTCACTGCCCATATAAAGTTATGGATATTTGAAACTGATGTAGCCTATTTTTAATTAATATTAATAAGAGGTATTAATAAGCATTATTGACTTCAGTTTTGCTTTACATTTTGGAAATTCAGCTTTGCTTTACATTTTATTTAAAATATATATATTTATATTTGTTACCTATAGAAATACATAAATGCCTTATAGGGACTTGATGTTTGTGTTCTGTGTAATTATTATTCATAATATTATTCATCATTCATTTTCTTTTTGGCTTACTCCCCTAATTAATCCGGGGGGTCGCCACATCGGAATAAACCTCCAACTTATTCAGCACATGTTTTATGCAGCGGATGCCCTTCCGGCTGTAATCCATCTCTGGGACACATCCACACTCATATACTACGAAAACTTAGCCTACCCATTTACCTATACTGCATGTCTTTGGACTGTGGGGGATATTTTTTTAGTTCAAAACTTCTGTCAAAAGCAATAAATAAAAAATCTGAATTTTTACCAATTTCTCCAATTAAGTTGTTCTTTTAAAATATTTTTTCCCCATTAATAAGCACAGGTATACATTTTTATATAAAAAATAAAACATAGAAAGAAATAAACTAATTAGCATCATCAAAATTAAATAGATGTTTTCATTGTTGCAGTCTCACATTATAGCCTACCTGGACAGACCTTTTGGGCACTTGCTGACTGCCCATTTTTTAAGGTTTGGACCAATGGTGATGTGTTCCCTGTTGATGACTATATCTGTTTCAGTATGATGGGATGGGAGACGGAATCTGTAATGCTCTGTGAACTCTCTGGGCGTGCTGTTTGTATTTTAGGATAATGAAAGGTTGAAAACCCATGCCTTGCGCATGCGCAGTAGCGCGCGAGGCTATTTAAATGTGGGGTGAAGATTCCTACAACAAACAGTTCTCATCAGTGAGAGTTACGCATCATCACGTCGTGATGAGTTGGGCCATCAGCACTCTGGCTGTCGGGATTGTCACACTTTTGATTATCCAGATGAAGTTTTACCCTTACTTTTGGGATGATTTAATGTATTACGTTAAAGTTCGGCGAGTGGGGTGGCGGATGATGGCGAGGATGAAGCGCGGGGTTGTCACATATCTCCAGTGCTTTGAGCTGCAAGCCACAAACATCCCGGATAAGCCTTTCATTGTTTTTGAAGACCAGACTCTCACGTATAGAGACGTGGATGTGCGGAGTAACAAATTAGCAAACGTCTTGAAATCTCACCGTGGTCTGAAACACGGTGACATTGTGGCGCTTCTAATGAATAATGAGGCGGATTTCATCTGCGTTTGGCTCGGACTCTGTAAACTGGGCTGCGAGGTCGCGTTTCTCAACTTCAACATCAAATCTCAGTCTTTGCAGCACTGTTTGGACCGCTGTGGAGCTAAAACGCTAGTTATTGGTTCAGGTAAGCGTCACAAGACAACACCGCAACACTCAGGTTTATTCAGCGAAACATATTTTATGGGTGCTCTGAGCATACATTTACGTTACTTTATGGAAACGCAGTTTATTATTTTCTTTGCTACAACGTAAGAGAGGTTGGGACACTTTCTTTCCCCGTCACAGCCCCATTTCACTGGCCAACTTCCCCTGAAACTAAAGTGAACGTCAACATGTTGCGTCTTGTGAAAACAGTGTTCGATGTAAATGCAGAGAATTTTGCTACAGAAACGGTTTGTGAATATGTCATCATGACACACGACACATTCTCTTAAAAGAGAGTCTTTAATGTTTATTTGGAGTTCGTATATAATTGTGTTTTGAAAACTGTTTGTTAAAAACTTTTAAACACAAGAAAAGTTTGTCAAGTGGGGCTTTTGGGTCAAAATGTTTGTTAAAACAAACAAGAAACCTTTTTTTAGGCCAGCAGTATGAAAAGTTATGATTATTTTACTATATTAAAAGTGTAGATCACTCAAATTAAAATTCCCTCACCATTTACTATTCCAGAAAGTGATTTCAAACCTTGTGTTTAGTTCCTCTGAACACAAATAAGCTATTTTGAAAACGTGTAACCAACCATTGTCTTCCATATAAGGAGAACAGATGTTATGGAAGTGAAAGGTTACAAGTTTTCAACATTTTCTAAAATAGATATGGTGTTTCACATAAAAAATAGACTCCTAAAGGTTTGGAATCATATGAGGGAGAGTAAATCGTATGTTTTCATCTTTGGGTGAAATGTCTCTTTAATGTGGTAAAATAATAACATTTAAATATTCTTTCATTCATTTTCATTTCGGCTTGGCGCCTTTATTAATCAGGGGTCGCCACAGCAGAATGAACCAAAAACTGTTTTGGAAGGCAGATTGCCTTCCAGCCACAACCCAACAATGGGAAACACCCATACACACTTTTTCACATAAACTACAGCCAATTTAGCTTGTTCAATTAATCTATAGCGCATGTCTTTGGAGCATGTTTTCCGAGGCACCCAGATGAAATCCTCACGAACACTGGGAGAACATGCCAACTCCACACGGAAATGCCAACCGATCTGACTGGGGCTTGAACCAGCGACCAGCGATCAAGCTACCCACTGCGCCACTGTAGCACTAAATTTAAATGTAACTACATGTATTAATTTTGTTTGAGACAAGTGAAAAAAGGAGTAAATAATAACTGAATTTTTTAGTTTTGGCATCCCTTTAAATGTTGTTATTTACTTTGATTGCTTGTCAGACTTTTTGTTACATTGAAATAGGGCTGCACAATATATTGGAATTATCAAAATATTGCAATTGTATCTTTGTAAGACTTTCAGCACAGTTTTTTGAAATCAAACGGAGTGGACATGATGCAAAAATCTGAAACCGTTTTAGTATGGATATTGAAATGTAACCAAGGAAGCAAGCCATGATAAGAAACAGTGAGGCAGCTAAAAAGTAGTCGTTTCAAGCAGTGGTGGAAACTGACAAATCATACTTTGAGTATCATACATAGTCAAGTAATGTGAAAAAAATCTAGCTCTTTCAATATTTTACCTTGTTACTTACTTTGAACTTGGACTAACATGTCACTAGTGTCCAGCACCATAATCCTTGCAGCACTAATAGAATATGTGAAAATTATCAATTTATTTGGAATTGTAACATTCTGTTGTTCATTTAAGTTTTGTTTAAGGCGGTTAAGGCCATTTAATAATTTTTTTTCAGTCTTTTTTTTCATCATCAGTGTATCTTTCATATTAATTTCAAATGTTTTAGCATTTTCTTGGCTACTTTTAATGCTGACATCTGTCTGTGACCCTGACCCTGCTTAAAAGTACTTTTAATACTTTTAAGATTGTGACTTGATTGGATGGGAAACACAGGACTGATTATTTTGCTTACCCAATTACCATCAACAAGACAAAATAAACAAAATAATGACTGCAGGTTGAAGGAAAATAGTGAAGCAAAAAAAGCACAGACACAGGAAAACAGTTGACTCTAGTCAAGTTAAAAGTACACCGGCACAATTGTACAATTCCAGAGAAAAACTACTGTTGAGTAGTATTTATAATTAATTACTTTTTTCTTTTCTTGATCGTTTCTGATGTTTTCAGGTTTACATTAATATCCGCACCATGTTTCTCCACTGTTATATATTTTTATTTTTTACCTTCTTAAAAGTGTTTAGTTTTTTGCAACTGTAAAATATGTTAATATAAAAGTAATACGAAACTTGTTTTCATCAATATAACACAGCCCTAGTTTTAGACTTTTTTTTTTTTTAACTCCTGCATCCACATAGGCAAGGCAAGTTTATTTATATAGCACATTTTATACATGATGGTAATTCAAAGTGCTTTACGTAAACAAGAAAATAAATATGATGAAAAGAATCAAAAATGGTTAAACAGATTAAAATGTATTAAAACAGGTTTAAAGTATTAAAAGAGAAAAAAAGGCATAAGTGCGATCTGTCAAACATAGCAGTGCTCATTTAATAAAGGCACAGCTGAACAGATGTGTTTTAAATCTTGATTTGAATGTGCCTAATGTTGGAGCACATCTGATCATTTCTGGAAGCTGATCATTCCAGCAGCGGGAGGCATAGTAGCTGAAGGCGGATTCACCCTGCTTTGACTAATCCTAATGATCTGGGGATCTGTTAGATACTTATTCTATAAGCATATCTGTAATGTATTGAGGTCCTAGGTTATTTAGTGATTTATTGATTAGTAATTATTCCTTAAAATGTATTCTGAATGACCCGGCAGCCAGTGTAAAGACCTGGTGTGATGGGGACTGATTTCCTGGTTTTGGTCAGAATCCTGGCAACTGTCTGACTGTAATAATGACATTTTAGGCCTACTTTTGTTTTTGCAGACTTGGTAAAATCTCTGGATGAGGTCCTGCTGATGCTGACAGATGGTGGAATTGAAATTTGGGTGGCATCGGAGAGCTCCTCACACCAGAATGTCAAGACTCTGTTGGACAAGCTGGACTCTGCTTCTCCTGAGAAGCCTGTGGTTGATGCCCCTCAGCCAAACCTCATGTCCAACTTCCTGTTTATTTTTACATCTGGCACTACAGGTACAGTTCATATCAGGTTTATCATTTCATGAGCACAATTAGCTCCTGAAGTCTTAACATTTCTGTAGGATACATGGGCATAAATCTGATTAAACAGTAGCGGGGGACAATAAATATAAAACTTCTTTCCAGCATTTTTTTGAAGGGGACACAAATAATACAGCCGAATTGTACTAATAATATATGTCCTCGCAGTTAAAAATGGTTTTGTCATTATTATTATAGCATGGAGACTACGTCATTATGATTATTTTAAAAGTTTTTCTCAGGTTCAACGACAAAGCTAATTTTTCTTCAAAACTATTTATTGCATTGTTTGTTGTGTTTACAGTCAACTGACTGACTCCTGAAACAGAATAAATGCAAAAAAAGACATTTTCTATACTCATAATAACTAACTTGTTTACATTACATTTGTTAAAATGACCGATCATATTGTAAATCAGTGAGCCTGTGAGGTTCATCTGCTTAACAGCCACAACTCCGAAAACATAAAAAAAATTGTTCATCCCAAAAGAATTATCATTATCCCTTCAATAAAGCTCAACACCCTCACCTGACACTGTACATATGACTGACCCTGCTCTGCCTGTTCCTCAATCATTTCTTTCTCCTTTGCCAGTGATTGATAATGTTGGGTTAGTGTGTACAGTGTAGCACAGTATTAGCAAATACACAACTAAACAATATGCTAATTGTGGTCGTTAATGTTAAGTTAACATTATGCCAAGTCATCACAGATTAAACAATGCATGGGGAACGGCTTTAGCGTTAACAACAAGCTAACGTTAACTAGATAAGTAATTTTAATCGCTAATACAGCAGACTCCTAGACAATTACATCTGTAATCAGCATTTTTGCCGCAACTAATTCATGAACGAGTCTGCATTAACTACATTGAAGAGAATCGCTTTATTTAAGGTGGATAAAACCCCCTACTTAACACTGCCGCAGCCGCACACCTGACGTGTGCGTGTGTGTGACTAGGTGAGATGAGGGAAAAAGCACACAGTGGACCGAACCACTTTGAGGAAGGGGAAGGGGAACTCAACTGTTTCCAAATGCATTTTAAATGATAAATGTGGTTTTCTTTCTACTTAGACAATTAGGGGGTGGCTCCTGGTAGGATATACTGTCAGCTAAATACTGAAAATAATATTTGAGCGATTGCAACTTTGTCGTAGAAATGTATCTTTTGGATCTCAACAAATAGGCACTGTTGGTAATACAGGATTCTACGCTAAGGATTTGTTCTACTGGCCTGATTGGGGCGGTGGTTTAGATATTTACTTGCCCTGCCAAAATTTTCACTGGCTCTAACAACAACAACAACAACAAGCACAACCAAAAAAAGTTCATGGCTATTTCTTAACCATTGTTTCACTTAGCTGACTTTGCCTAATCATTTGTAATTATTGGTCATTTTATTAAGTGTTAAATGAAACTTGCCACAGGTTGAACGCTAGGTAAAGCCATGGGCTCTCTTTTTTCTCAATAATCTAAAAAAAAATAATGGATTTTTAAATTTTCAACTACACATTATGTACGGCTAGTATTGCATTGTTTCTACTTTGGCAAGTCTAAGTGTATGTAAATGGTCTAGGATCTTTTATTACATTTAAACAGCTGATAAAGTTGACAAATTGTATAAAAATGAATGAAGCTGTTTTATTGACACTGTAAGAGACACTGACACTGACGGGCTGTTCGTTCTTAATGATGTGATATGCCGTGTTGATGAGTTTGTCTATGTGCTTATAATATTAATAAGTTCTGTGGAGCAGATAAAGGGTTCTCTTCAGTCCTTTTAGCCACCATGCACACTATATATTAAATAATTTTTTTGCTGGTCAGTTATCTACAAATATAAACTAGAAAAATGAAAAACATTTGAGGTGAAGTAATGTCAAGACGAGGTCTGATTTGCTTCCGCAGCGAAAACACAAACTGGTTTGTTAAATAAAATAATAATATAGATAAAATAAAAGTGAAATTCACAGTTTCCAATAATTATGATTAAAACATCAAAGAGTAGCCTATATTAAACCGTTTTCATTGCTCAAGACAAAAGCATATTTTGAGAGAGTCAGTTTCAGTTTAAAATAATATGAAAATGGATATTCCTAAATATTAATATTGACTATAGAGAATTGAATAGTGACAATTTTTTTTACCCGTCCCAACACGAGGTCTGTGGGTTATTAGATTACCTACGCCTAACTAACACGTGCACATTTACATGTTATTTAAAATGAAACCATTCAGATGGCGCTCTGTGGCATGGCAGAAATATGAACTGATAATCTGATGTGTAAAGCGCTTTGACTGTATTTGCACGCAATTGACAAACAGTTGCATCTTAAACAATTTAAAACCCGATCATTTATGAGTTATGATCCTGTCCACTGTCCTGAGCATCTCACACACTGGATCTGGGCCATCCGGCAGTCCTTATTGTCGAGCCCTGTAATATCAGTGAACAGTGGGCAACTTCACCACTCGGGACGAAGCAGGAACTTCTCTTCAAAATATGCAAATGTTAATTAAAAGTATAATACGTAAGACTTTTTTATTAAAATTTTGACTAACAATAACTAAAGCAGTGTTTTGTCCAGTCGAGTACTTAAAATAAATAAAAAAATAAAAATAAATTTTCAAATATGAGACATTTTAACCTTGGACAATGGCATCATATATGTTACTGTCACTTTATGGAACTAACACAGATACAATATGATTAGTTTATTGAAAATGTTTTAGACTGGTGCACAGATCTGGTGAAGTGTATAGTAATATAAATGTAGTATTTGTTATAAGCTAATATTAATCAGCCCTTTTCAAATTATGATGGTACATTCACTGTACTTTCAATTGCTGTGAAGACATAAAGCCATAAGGCTTGGTAGTATTGTTGGTAATTGGTAATTATTGGTAGTATTGGCCAAAAGAGGACAAATTTAAATAAAAATTATGTACATGCTTCCAATTTTCCTTTTTGCATCTTAATAAGATCAAAACCCAAATAGAGATTTTGTTAAATGCCTGAGCAAGTTATGGCCTATGGCTTTTGCACAATGCGATGCAAAAACACTATACTTCAGTCAATTTCCATTTAGAAGTTTTTTTATTTTGATTTGAGGTGTACAGTGGTTTAGTATTAGCATGCAATGCAATGCATCTGCTGAAGCATGGGAATCTTTAAATGATCCAACATTTGTTTAACTTAAAAAAAAAAAAAGGCACTAACTGACATTAAAAAAAGTCAAGTAGACTTGGTCTCACTTTTTTCCCCCCTCAGGACTACCTAAAGCTGCTCGAATCAGTCATATCAAAGCTGTGATGTGTATGGCCTTCCTCCGTTTGTGTGGTGCTTGTGCTGATGACAAAATCTATCTGACGTTACCACTCTACCACATGTCTGCGTCTCTGCTTGGCATTGGTGGCTGCATTGAGCTCGGTATGATCTACAAAACTCTACAATTCTACAATTACAATGACAAAAATAAAAGCCCAACTTAAACACTTGCTGTTTTGCCATACATTACATCTACAATAAAGATGTTTAAGAACACCTGTGAACATCCCTAAGGGAAAAGGCTAAGGATTTAAGGCATAATCCTAATACTGAGCATTGAATTTTAGGGGCAACGTGCGTTTTGAAGAGGAAGTTCTCTGCCAGTCAGTTTTGGAAGGACTGTCTGAAGTATGATATTACTGTGTTTCAGTATATTGGAGAACTCTGTCGATATTTGGTCAATCAACCCAAGGTACTGACGTTTGTACTGCATTTTACTTTTTAGTTTGCATTGTTTTGTCAAGCATAAGATATAATTGGGTAAGTTTTATGTTGAAGACATTAACATCATGCTGGCAATATGGGTCTCATCACACTAATGTATTTGGTGTCCTTCAGACTCTAGAGGAAGTAGCTCATAATGTTCGCCTCGCAGCAGGAAGTGGACTTAGGGCTGATGTTTGGAAGGAGTTTATCAGAAGATTTGGAAAAATCCAAATCCGTGAAGCTTATGGGTTGACTGAAGCCAGTATTGGCTTTGTAAACTACACAGATGAAATTGGACCGATTGGGCGAGCCAGTTATTTTAATAAGGTCTGTTTCATAAGATTTGTGTTTTTTATTTTTTATTTTTTTTTAAACAACTTTTCATAATATGAATGAGATCAAAAGATGTATTACAGTTAAATTAGTCTTAGTGTATTTTCATCTGTAATGTGCATGCTTTTGTTTTTCAGCTTAATCTGCCTTTTGAATTTTTAAAATGTGATCCACAAACGTTTGAACCCCTAAGGACCGACACTGGACACTGCATTAAAGTGAGTAAAGGTGAGATCATTAAATTTGTGGTTGTTAAAGTTTATTATTTTCTAAATACAAAAGTTAATAGGGATGGGTAGTATTCATGATACACTTATTACAGAAATATAACAAGCTTCATATGATGTATCAAAAAATACTTTTAAAAAAAATACTGCCAATTTTACCAGTGTTGAGGAAAGTTACTTTACCATTAACATATTGAGTTACTCCTTAAAAAACAAAGTAGTTGCGTTACTTTTTATGGTAAGTAATGCCAAAGACTATAGAACACACAAGATGCGTCACTCGAATCTTTTTGAATGGGGATAAGTGTAACGGTCAATATGGTGAATTAAGCCCCGTATACTAGTACAGGAGCCAATCATCAATCGCTAAAGGCCGACAATACTCGGACAGATGTGAGTTTCTGCAGATTTTTTGTGATTTTTGACATTTGGAAATGAAACTGAAGGGACAGTTGTTTAATTTTACTGATGATTCCTAATATGAAATTCAAGTGTAAGCTTTGCAAGCAATGGAGAATTTGATGTTTCCCCAAAACACACTGTATTACCCACACCTTCATTTACCTGTAAAAATGCATAATAAAAGTAATAATTTAAGATAATGTTATCTTCTGAGAACATCCTGACCCCAGGGGTCCATTCTTCGTACATGGATTACTCAGTTAGCTGGATTTGGATATTGACGATTTGACACGATCCAGGATCGTTTCGTTCTTCAAAGCTGATCCGAGAGTTGTTGTCATAGCAACAGTTCTGCTAGCTTAAACCTGATCGGGAGCAGGTTCAATTTGTATAAACAGGATTAGATCGGCTCAGTTCAAGCGAATATAATACAGAAAGTATGTTCCGAATTCTGATATTTTCTTACAGTAGTAATTATATACACTTGGGAAAAGAGTAAACATTTTTTAAACTATATATATAATTTATAGTTATAGTTATTAATAAAATAAATAAAGTTTTATATATATATATATATATATATATATATATATATATATATATATATATATATATATATATATATATATTATTAATAAAACGTATGCAATCTGCACTGTCGAAATGAAAGTACAAAGACTGCCACCTGGTGGTGCATAGAGAACTTATTGACATGAACTTTTTAGATCGCTTAGTACAAATTGTGTATAATATGAATGCACAATATGTGACTTTTTTTTTTAAAAGCAATAATACATTTATGCAGTCATAAACATGTTTTGACAGTTAATTTGCCAGTGATTTGATGCTTCACAAAAGTTGCAGACAACTTTACCAATATCAAAATGCTTTTGTAAACAACCAGTTATTCTTTACACCGATTAAAAAAACAGCTACTATTATAAAGAAAATCTTTTCTAAATGTAGAACTAAATGCATTGAAATACATCATAAATACTCTTGACACATGAAAATGTAAAGCCTGCAGCTCACAACAAATGTGGAAGGTTATTGCGTCATATTTAACAAGCCGTTTACTGCTAATTTGATGTAATTTTGCTCACATTGATAATTGAATATTAATCAGATGATGTCATTATGCTGCTGTGCCGTCAGCCAATCATGGCATTGCTGATCATGATTTTGAGGATCGATAGATCTGTCCTTCACAACACATGCAGCGATCTCAGATCAGTTTATCCAGACATTCTTATCTGATTTGCGAACTTTTTTGAAGAACCAAATTAGCCAGAGATCAGTTATCAAGATGAAAAGATCCAGGATCTGCCAAATCATCTTAGATCATTTAAGCGAGGTAAGAAGAACGGACCCCAGAGCTGCACATGCTGTGTATATACAAATTAATGAAAGTTTAAAGCAATATGTTTGCTACTTCACAGTAAAATAGTAAGAAAAAAAGTTAAATCACTGTCCATTAAGACAATCCTCTTTTCCTTTTCTTCAATGTGTTCAAGTATATAAAAATTTTCCATCCCAGAAATATAAGGCCGTGGCCTCCGATCTTCGTTTCTGTCTGTTCCTCATTCTCTCAATAGAAATCTTTGTTTCTGTCAGAAGCACATTCTCCCTTAAACATGTAATTTAATATGACTACTTTATTTCAGCATTTTTTTTTTAAAACAAAATTTTCAAACAACAAAATAACTGCTTATTAAATGTTTATTGAAGTAATCTAAATATTATAACAGAATTTTTAAACTTCATGCATGACTTTTCTCGTTTCTTAGAAAATGATTATAATCATGTAACGTGTTACTTGTAAAGCATTACCCCCAACACTGAATTTTACTGCCCATGAAATGGGTGGTGAATGTAGTATTATGTTCTAACTAATAATCTGCATGAAATGGTTTAAATGTCTTTCTGTATGAACTTTCACAAAACCATATTAAACAGGATGAGGTATTGTAGAAATTGACATCTAGGGTCACGATTGACAAATCGATCAATCAAATTATAAATTATTAGTTTCTAATGAATGATTTGTTTGTCTTAGAGTAGGTGTTGCAGGTATATATATATATATATATATATACATATATATATATATATATATATATATATATATATATATATATATATATATATATATATATATATAATACACACACATACACGGGTATATAAATATAATTTATATCATTTTACTTGCCTTTAAACTCAACTTTAAGTCTTTAAGAATTTTAGAAAATCTTAATTTAATAAATTATTTTATAATAAATTTAAGAATTTGCCTGGAGTATGAACAATTTCGGGCTAGACTGTATAAAGTAAATCATGTACTTTGGATCAATGGTAAGTTAAAGTGAAAGAAATATACCATGATGTAAATGTATGTGTGCTTTTACTAACAGTGTAAAACAAAACAAATTGATGTTTGATGGCAAACTAGTTGGATTAAAAAAAAATAATTCAAATAAAAAGAAGAAAAAAATTAACAAAAAATAAATGTGACATTCTGAAGTGTGTTAAGTGGGTATGCTTCATGTTATCCTCAGCCAAGCATCATGTGATTTCAGGGGAAGCAGGGTTACTGGTGGCTCCAGTGGTTTTCACCAACCCTTTTCTGGGTTATGCGGGTGATAAAGCCATGTCAGAAAAAAAACTGCTGAGGGACGTCTTTAAGACAGGAGATGTGTATTTCAACACAGGAGACCTGATGCTTCAGGACCACAGAGATTTCGTCTACTTCAAGGACAGAATTGGAGACACATTCAGGTTTTTATTTCACTGTTTACTCTGTTTGAAAAATTTGTTGTAACATTGATAATCTTTATTTAAATCAACCAGCTTCTCCTCTTGGAGCTAAAAGTTAAAATTATTATCTAAATTACTAAAACACTAAGTACTAATTTATTAAAAGTCATCAGTCATAATGATACCCTTGACAGGATTTTGTGTGGACCACTTCAGCTTTCAATTTTCATGCAGTTTTTGAACCCTTGAGCTCTGGCAGAGAGTCTAGCCAAGACTAACTTAGTGGGACTTCTAAGGAATCTACCTAAAAGTTCAACATTCCTGCAGTAAAATTACAAACCCAGGGCACTTCCTGTCCAGTACTTCCTTTAGGAGTTTCCTGTTTGAGCCCAGTGGTCTTGCATTCACTGAACCTTCACAAAGAAACCTTTGACACTCATGTAAATATGTGTACTTAGAGTTAAGACATTTACATCTGTTCTTTAAGCAAGCATTTTTCCAATTGACAAACATGTACCAACTATAACACTGATATAATAAATTACATGTCTTTATTATTGTGTGTCAAGTCTTTAGCTGCTGCTTTAAAATTCCAATGGTCAGTAGGTCAGATGTGGTTCGCCACACGAAAGCTTTTGAAAACCGACTTTTCAAGTGCTGCATTGTGAAGGAACAAACATTTCCTGCTTGTTGACCACAAATGCTATCAGAAACACACATTAGGGCCAATTCACACTGCTCCGATAAAGGCCTACAAACAAGTTGGCCATTGTATTTTTCCATGTTCACACTGCCTCAACAATTGGCAAACACAATAACTAAACAACTAATTAAATGATTTTCCTCAGGGCCTAAAGACATGTAAATGAAGCCTATCTGGTCCTAGGTCTGATTAACTCTTGGGAAAATCATATCACATTGCGCAGACTTTCCTTCTGTTATTGAGTTCCTGTAGCTACCCAATATGAAGGTTCCTATTATTGACCTTGTAATGGATTTTTTTTTCATATTGATGATTGATAATTCTATATTAACATTATAAATTAAGGTTTTGCTAAAGTAAAGATTTAATCTATTATAATAATTGGGCTATTACTGCTAATACTTACTATTTACTTTAGCAAAACTTTAATCAATTTATAATATCAATATATAATTATGAATTAATAAGTGATTTATCAATATTAAAAACTGGGAGAACGAATTATGGAAGTGTTTCTGAATGGGTTGAGAATCATTATTTTCCCCCAAAAAGGCACTTTTAGGATTAAAACACTAACTAGAGTAAAGGAAAACTTATATGAAGAACTTATATTATACTTACATGAGAAGATGAAGAAAAAAAAACCTAAAAAACAAACAAAAACTTAGTCAATATATAATTTTCAGTCATCAATATATGATCAGCAAAATATAAAAAATTTCCATCACAACGTGTATATATTCGTTCATTAATTTCTTTTTGGCTTTATTCCTTTATTAATCTGGGGTCGCCACAGCGGAATAAACCACCAACTTATCCAGCTTATGTTTTCCCACACAAACGTGAGGAGAACATGCTAACTCCACACAGAAACGCCAACTGACCCAACCGAGGTTCGAACCAGCGACCTTTTTGCTGTGAGGCGACAGCACTATCTACTGTGCCACAGCGTCACCCAACATGTGTATATATACATGCATGGGAACAAAACTAACAAAAGACATCAAGAGAAATATGAAATTTACTTTGCATTCATAGAACCTCTAACTAAAGAGTGGGGTTGAACTTGGCTGACAGTTTAGTTATGATTACAAAAACTTAATGTGGTTAATGTGGCCTGCCTTTGTAGTACCACTTTTTATTGAAAAAAAAAATTAAGTAGTGTACCCAAAAATATAAATTCTGTTATTTGACATTTGTTTATTATAAGAACACAAATTAAGATATTTTTGATTGTATCTAAGAGCTTCTTTGTCTTATATAGACAGATAATGAGCCAAAAAAAATGCCATGTGACTTCAGTGTTTCAACAAATCAATCAAAGCTTGATAAAATATTTTATGTACCAAAACACTTTAAAGGTCAGATTAGACTGCACATTTACCACAGGCAATACAGTACTTGCATGCTGCACTGCAGGCTCTAATAGCAATACATAATACGCCTTTAGTAAATGCGCACACTGGGAACCTATAGCAAATGATCTTGCAGAGTAGAGACCATAGGCCCAAGAAGACAACAAGGGGTAGTCATGGATTCATTTTGAATTTTGTTGTTTGTTTGCAGATGGAAGGGGGAAAACGTCTCTACCACAGAAGTTTCTGAAGTGTTGGGCAGTCTGGACTTCCTGCTGGATGTCAATGTGTATGGAGTCACTGTGCCAGGTGGTATGACTTTGATTATAATCTCAGTCTCACATTATGTCCTATTACTAAAGATTGTATGAAATGCCAGTAAACTAAAATATTTATAAGCTGTTTTTCTGTCAGTTTTTAAAATGGTTTTAAAATTATTATAATTAACCTTTTGTGTGCTATTCAAATTTACTACCCTTTTCTTATGTTCGTTTGTGCCTCATTGACATCCATTATTATGATATTTATGATTGCAAAACCATGACTGCATATAATCATGCATTCTTGATTGTTTGTGGTTTTCCTTGTTGGGAAGAGGTAAAAGGTGTCATTTTTACTGTTGATCATCAGTTGACAGTGTTAAGCCTTTTATATAGGCCTGTGCAAAAAAAAGTTTCTTTTATATGAGGGGAGTTTTATGGAGTATAACAGCAGATTATAGTGTGTGTGCATACATACACTTACTATGTTTACTATGTTTTGATAGCTGAGCTGTGTATTTAAATTTTTTCAGATATATCAAGATAAGTGCATAAGGTTCTCTCTTTCTCACACACACACACACACACACACACACACACACACACACACACACACACACACACACACACACACACACACACAATACACCATATAGAAGGCAGAAACATTTTACATTGCAACAAATAATCAACAGTATAAATTAAAAATGTGTCTCTTTCCAACATGGAAAACCCCAACAATCAAAAATGCTTGATTACATGGTGTCATGGCTTTGCAATTTAAAAATGTCATTATAATGGAAGTCAATAGGGAAGCCACCAGAGGCGATCTTAGGAATTTTTATTTTTGGGGGCTCAGCTCCTCATAAGGTAAAAAAAAAGTCGTGTGCGTGCGTGCGTGCGCGTTGTCCTGATAAGGTGAACGCCGAGAAAACCAGACTGCTCCTCCATGTCATACAGGTGAAACAAGGTTATCTATCTCAAAGAACTGCAAATAAGCTCATATTATAACAATTTATCGATTAACACACACCTTGTTCTCTCGCTGTCCACAGCTGTGGTTTGCTGATCATGTGAAAAACAAAATACAGGGAGGAGACGAATTCTGCCGCTGTTTTCTTATCAAATTTAAAGGGGACTGAGGCCATAATTTAGTGTACAGTTTATGAGCTAATTGCAAAAGTTTTAGGGGGGGCTGAGCAGAAATATAGGGGGGCTACAGCCCCCCTAAAATAGGCCTAGCAACGCCCATGGAAGCCACAAACACAGCAAAGGTGAAATAAATTTGCCCAGAGTTTTTGAAAACATTTTCCTAAAAAATGCATCAAAATAATATGCCACCAAAAATCCTTCTATTTGCTGAAACACAAAGAAAGATGTGGCCTAATTAAGACTCAAAATCACCCCATGGTGGATGAAAGATTCCCCATAAGCATACAAGGGTTAAATAACTATTAAATACAGGGTTAAATACACTTGCCATTTTTACTATAGCCACAATTTTGTTACATTAGCATGCATATTGGGCCATCTTTATTGTCGAATCCTGCTTTTAAGAAAACTACAATTTAAAAATTATTTTTAAATAGCCAAAGTAGCTTGTGGGAGAGGCTGTCTAACCTGCCACAGTAGAAATCTACCTCCATTTGGTGGGTTGGCATGTGTTAACGTCAGGTACTGAACCGTTGAATGAATAACAGCTTATGTTTTTGCAAGGTTATGAGGGTCGAGCTGGAATGGCCGCTGTTGTGTTGAAGGATGGTCATGAATTAGACGGAAAGAGAGTCTACAGTCATCTGCTCCACACTCTTCCTCCATACGCATGGCCATGGTTTCTGAGACTTCAGGTACCTCTCTATGCTCACCTTCATGATCATTATATTTTCTCATCGTTTCATGGTTATATATTCAGATGTTTATTTAAAAAAATGCATTTGATTGTCATTTGTGATGCTTTGTGGAAATGTAGATCTTTCATTCCTTAAAGCTGTTATTTATGACCTTTTACACATAGTCGTTTTTATTTTTAACCTTTTTCTTTCAAAGTTGCACAATTTAATTCCTCGACTTCTGTGAAGAAAAATTAATTTATTTAATCAAGGATTAATCAGGATTAATCAATCTTTTTCTCTTGTATGATACCATATATTGAACAGACATACTACTTTTTTTACCGTGTTGCATACTTTTTAAAGGGAACTGCTGACAAGACTGAAATAGCGGAATAAGATAAAATCTCGTGCGGGGGCCCTTGTTTCAGACTGCTGTCTAATAAGAAGTCTAGACACATGTCACAAGCTGTCATGATGCTTGTAGAAGTTGTGAAATGTATTAAAGATGCACTTAATTGTTTAGTTCTGGTATGTAGAGAAGGGTTGCAGAAAGGAGGAAGTATGTCTGGAGGCAACACTGCAAAATGACTGATAAGTGACGTTACACCAAATCTCCACCAGTTAATATCAGTTGTGTATGTATGCTGGAGTCGAGGAAATGTAAGTTAGTTGCGAACTTCTTGAATGTAATTCTTGTATTGCATTGGGGTACCAAACCCAGAGCTCTGTCATTGAATTAATCATTTGTATCTGATAAATTACTAATATTTTTGGCATTGAAGAAAACCCTTTTCAGACCTTTTCTTACTGAACATGCATGGAATCGGCTTAATATTACAACACTTTTTAACCCTTATGTTGCTTTATGCTGTTGGGAATGTTTTCATCCACTCTGGGGGGATTTTGAGTCTTAATTTGGCCATACGTTTTTCTGTGTTTCAGCTAGCCAAATGATTTTTGTTGACTCTTTGTGATCTTATTTTGACACATATTTTGAGAAAATGCTTAGAAATTCTTCAAAGGCACAATGATACACCGATAAATACTTTTTTCAATTTTCTTTTGCACAAATATGTTAATCAACTTTAGTCCTGATCAAAACTACTAAATGTTTAAAAAAAATTTTATTTTAATTGCCAAATTCATAAATGATGTCACTGATTGGTGAAAAAAACACAAAAAATTACTTTTGATATAAAGTAGTAGGACTGGATTTTTTTACCAGTCTTGGGAATGAGAGATTAATAACAGCATTGCTTTTGATGCATTGTTAGTTTTTTAAGCAGCATAAGATTTTCATTTTCCCCCCCTAGTTTACTGTTTATTTATAAACACATTTTTTGATTGCTGAATTATATGGTGTCATGGTTTTGCATTTTTGATTGTTGGTGTGTTTTTCCCTGTTGGGAAGGATCAAGTTATATGGAGTACAAGAGCAACTTAAAGTGCGTGTATGTGGGTCTGTGAGTGTGAGCGTGACCTTTGCACACTTATAAATGCGTCTGAGAAAATCTAAATATGCATCTACATGGCGTAAACAAAAACAAACACTATTTTTGCACAAAAGGTAGTAAATTTGAACAGTGCACAAGGATTAAATATTTCTATGTTGCAAAAAATTGGAGTTGTGTTGACAACAACACAAATCTTCTTTTAATATAAACATTATTGATGTAAACATTATTGATTTAGAGATGAGGTAATTGGATCGTTTTAGAATATAGTGGCAGTGTCTGTACAAATATGCAGTGTACCAATCCTGGATGAAATCACACCCTGCTGCATGTTGCTTGTGTTTTAATGTGCTTTTCCTGTTTTTGTCTTCGACAGACTTCCTTAGACATGACGGATACATTCAAGCAACAGAAGGGACTGCTAGTAAAGCAAGGCTTCAGTCCAGATACTGTCCAAAAGCCAGTCTACCTGCTTGACACTTCGCAGAAGACCTACACCCCCCTCACAGCCCAACTATATGATGACGTTGTATCTGGCAAGATAAGGCTTTAGGTGCATTATAGTCAATGCAGTGAGAATCTGGAGAATCCTACAGTTACTGGAAGTTATCCCTGTATGTGGCATTTTAGCTGCTGTTTTTTTTTTCTTCTTCTTCTTTTTATTTATTTATTTTTTTTTATTTTTTTTATTTTATTTTTTTTTTAAAGATTTTTAGTTACATAGTTGTGGAGGTGTTGATTAGATGTTTAGCCCAAACTGGAATGTCCATTTCTTTGACATCACAACAGATAATCCATTAATATTATTTCATAGACATTTAATATTTTATAATATTATTACTACTATTAGCATGTTCCGATCACTGTGCTCAATTTGTAACTTCTTACTTGTCTTATTATTAACCGTAATTAAGCACAGAAAGAGTTTTATATTTATTTATAAGAATATAACAGCGGCCTAACAAATGTTTCCTGCTTGGTGATCATGTAAATTCATGAATGGAAACTAAAACCTATGATTCCTTAAACTAACTGCTGCATAATATATGTGATTTATTGTTGAGTATTTACATTTCAGTCATACTTCTACAGATCTCTCATGGGATATTTATGTTAATGCTTTTATTCCAGCGAAGGTTTAAATTAGTCTTGCCATTTCATTCATATGGAACTGCATATACAGTGCATCCAGAAAGTATTCATAGCGCTTTAATTTTTCCAGATTTTGTTGTTACAGCCTTATTTTAAAATGGAACCGTCGCCCTTGTCTAAGGTCAAGAGCACTCTGAAGCAGGTTTTTTTATTCAGGATGTCTCTGTACATTGCTGCATTCATCTTTCCCTATATCCTGACTAGTCTTCCAGTTCCTGCTGCTGAAAAACATCCCCACACCATGATGCTGCCACCACCATGCTTCACTGTAGGGATGGTGTTAGCCTGGTGATGAGCAGTGCCTGGTTTTCTCCAAACGTAATGCCTGGCATTCACTCCAAAGAGTTAAAATTTAGTCTCGTCAGACTAGAGAATTTTGTTTCTTATGGTCTGAGAGTCCTTTAGGTGCCTTTTTAGCAGATTCTAAGCAGGGAATGGCTTCTGTCTGGCCACTTTACTAGACAGGCCTGATTGGTGGGTTGCTGCACAGATGGTTGTCCTTCTGTAAGGTTCTCCTCTCTCCACAGAATAACACATGAGCTCAGACAGAGTCATCATCGGGTTATTGATCACCTCCCTGATTAAGACCCCTTTCCCCCAATTACTCAGCTTAGATGGCCGGCCAGCTCTAGGAAGAGTCCTGGTGATTCAAAACATCTTCCATCTTATGGCCACTGTGCTCATTTTTTTGTTATCTTTCCCAGCCTTGTGCCTCGAGACAATCCTGTCTCAAAGGTCTACAGCCAATTCCTTTGTCTTCATGCTTGGTTTGTGCTCTGACATGCACTGTCAACCCTGGGACCTTATATAGACAGGTGTATGCCTTTTCAAATCATGTCCAATCAACTGAATTACCACAGGTGAACTCCAATAAAGCTGCTAAAACATCTGAAGAATGATCAGGGGAAACAATGTACCTGAACCCCATATTTTTAGGGCTTCACTGCAAAGGCGGTAAATACTTATGTACGTGTGATTTTTTTTTTTTTTTCTTTTTTTTTCCCACATTTTATTTTTTAATGAATTTGTTACAATTTTAAAAACTCTTTATTTCCACATTGTCATTGTGGAGTATTGTGTGTAGAACTTTGAGGAAATAAATGAATTTGATCTGTTATGGAATAAGGCTGTAACAAAAATGTGGGAACATTTTTTTTGGATGCTATGAAAACTTTCCGGATGCACTGTATATGTAATGCAATGAAATCTGTAATATTTTTATAATATTAATGGGTCTGTTCATTCTGTCTGCTATTTGTTTGACTGTACGCAGTGCTGGTCACTGGAAATCCAAGGGGATTGTTTTGGTATCTTTGATAACGTATGACAAAAGTGTGACTGTTATTCTTTTGTTAGCATCTCGCTTACAGTGTAATAAAGCCCTTTGATTATTATTGTTCACTTGTTTAGATTTAGGCTGTTTTGGTTTAAGAGCAGCAATGCTTAAACTTGGATTTTCTCCACATATAATGTTAAGTAATAGTTCACCCAAAAATCCTCAAGGGATTCTAAACATTTGTGTTTCTTTCTTCAGCTGAACACAGAAGTAAGTTATTTGGAAGACCTATAACCATTCACTTCTACAGTATTTGTTTTCTTACACTGTAAGGCAATAATTACATGTTTCTTTTGTGTTCAATAGAGAAAATCATCTCATTTATTCTCCCTCAAGTTTTCATTTTTGAGAGAACGATCACTTTAAATGTCATTAAGTTTGTTAAAATCTTGCAAAGGCTGTTGCACACCACAAGGGGGCAGTACACGTGTATATATGTTGATTAAACAAGTAAGGGATATATAGCCTAATAAATGGTATATATAGAGCATTGTTTGTTACTGAGTAAAGTTACTCAAAATATACACTGGTATTGGGAAATATTATTCAACAGGCAGGTATAAAATCTGCTAGATTAACAAGATGTATTGTGTTATAACAGTTATGTATGATAGTTGATCACATTTAACAGTGTTAATAGTTGTAGCATCATCATTATTAATACCAGTTTAATAAAAAATGTCATTATTGTTATTAAAATAAAATGCAAGCAATATGGAAAGTGTAATTTGTTTAGAGTTTTGAGATTAACGAATATTTTGCCCATTTATCTTTGTCTTCCACATTAATTCATTCATTTTTCTTCAGCTTAGTTTTTATCAGGGGTCGCCACATCGGAATGAACCGTAAACTATTGCGGCATTTGTTTTTATGCAGCGAATGCCCTTCCAGCCACAACCCAGTATTGGGGAAACACCCATACACTCTCACATTCATACACTGTGGAAATTTAGTTCATCCAATTGGTACTGTATGTCTTTTGGACTGTGGGGGAAACTGGAGCACCCAAAGGAAATCCTTGCCAACGTGGGGAAAACATGCAAACTCCACACAGAACTGCCAACTAACCCAGCCAGAACTCGAACCAGCGATCTTGCTGTGAGGCGAAAAGCCACATTTGAAAATGTTACAGTTAAAAGGATGGATTTGTGTGATATTGTTTATTCAGTTCAATGCCTTAAAGAGTTTTTTGCAGGTAATAGTTGTACTTTAAAGTTGACAGTATAATAAAGCAACTTAAAGTTTGACAGTTTAGTAACTAAGGCTTAACTAATTCAAAACGTCAGTTTTAAACTAGTTATACAATTAGATGCTCTCAGGAAAAAATTTAAATATATCATTAATTCATTTATTTTCTTGTCAGCTTAGTCTCTTTATTAATCCGGGGTCGCCACAGTGGAATGAACCGCCAACTTATCCAGCAAGTTTTTACACAGCGGATGCCCTTCCAGCTGCAAACCATCTTTAGACAATTTAGCCTACCCAATTGACCTGTACCACATGTCTTTGGATTGTGGGGGAAACCCATGCGAACGCAGGGGGAACATACGAACTCCACACAGAATTGCCAACTGAGCCGAGGCTCGAACCAGCGACCTTCTTGCTGTGAGGCGACAGCACTACCTACTGCACCACTGCTTCGCCCAATCTATATCTTTAACTAAAAAATGTAAAAATACTCGTCCTCAAGTGCTTTCAAACCTTTTGTGTTTTTTTTTAAAGTTGAACACTATACAGATATTTTGAAGAAAGAGGAAATCCTGTAACCATTGACATCAATAGTAGAAAAAACAAATACTATGGTAAGCGGTTACAGGTGTCCAGCTTTCTTAAAAAAAAAAAAAAAAACTTATTTAACAAGATAAATGTTTGGCACAAGTAAAGGGTGAGTAATTGATGATAGAATTGAGTGAACTATCCCTTTAGAAATAATGTCAATGTTTAAAACCTTAAATTCTTCACAATTAACTCAAAAATCAGTTTGTGTTCAACAAAAGTGAAAACAGTATGTAAACTGATTAATAAGTCAGAATGTATTTGTAAAACAGACAAATATATGTTTAGATTCTGCAGGTGGCATTCACAAGGCCATGGCAGAAGTTTTATGAATGGAAAAGAGGCCACACAGCTGGTAAATCATGAGATAATCACAACATATGGTTGGTTGTTTGGTTGGTTGGATGTAGTAGTAGGCCTACACACACATTCACTTCATGGTAATATTCAAACTAGGGGTTCACACTGAAATGTAGATTATGTATCCATAATTTACGTAGCAACTCGTACTAAAATAGTCACCTTTACTAATGTACATCACTACACATTATTTTATTAAATAATATGATCTAACAATGAACTTTGTTTGTTAACGCACAGTTTCCACTAACCTCAAGTTGGCCAAAGTGATTTTAAATGCATATAATCCGTAATCACCATTACTTACACACAGACCTTTTACTTTTGATCTTTTTATTTTCACTATTTTAGCCATATCTAGCCATTATAACCAGGTTTTAAATTAAAATTTTTACTCACCATCAATTTGACTACGGGGCTACAGGTAATTCAAAAAGTTTAAAAACACTTTTGGTTGGGTTTAGTGAAGTATTTGGGCAAGTAGTTTAATAGATGATCTGTACGACAAGTGCCACCTCTTTGTGGATATGTACAAGAATAATGTGGCTCTGAAACATGTAACAAAACATACCCATATTAACATATTTTAGATTAGCTAAATTTTAAACAACACTGTCTAGTAGATTTGTCATCTGAAACATGCAACGAAACAAATCTGAAGCAAGGTATTTCACAAAAATGTAGGCTGATGCATGCATTTCCAATGTGCCTGTGCTGCACTAGTGGCCTTGTAATGTGCACTAAGGTGTCATTGACTTATAATTTAATTATAATAATAATAACTCATATTATTTAGAAATGGCGCCTTTCTGGACACTTCAGGTCACCTTAAAACAAGCATCAACAGATACACCAAAACAAATTAATAAAACAATTATTAAAAAATAAAACAATGCCAGACAAAATTATATATACATAAACATATTATGCTTCCCAGAGATGGGTTGCGGCTGGAAGGGCATCCTCTGCGTAAAAACGTGCTATGTTGGTGGTTCACTCCCTTGTGGCGACCCCGGATTAATAAAGGGACTAAGCCGAAAAGAAAATGAATGAATTAACATCATGTACAGTTGAAGTCAGAATTATTAGCCCCCCTTTTGAAATTTCTTTTCTTTTTAAAATATTTCCCAAATAATGTTTAACAGTGCAAGGAAATTTTCACAGTATGTTTTTCTTCTGGAGAAACTCTTATTTGTTTCATTTCGGCTAGAATAAAAGCATTTTTTTATTTTTAAGCACCATTTTAAGGTTAAAATTATTAGCCCATTAAAGCAATTTTTCTCGATAGTCTACAGAACAAACCATCATCATACAATAACTTGCCTAATTACCCTAACCTGCCTAGTTAACCTAATTAACCTAGTTAAGCCTTTAAATGTCACTTTAAGCTGTATAGAAGTGTCTTGTAAAATATCAAGTCAAATATTATTTACTGTTATAATGGCAAAGATAAAATAAATCGTTTATTAGAAATTAGTTATTAAAACTATTATGTTTATAAATGTGTTTCTAAACAGAAATTAGGGGAAAAATAAACGGGGGCTAACAATAACTTTAACTGTATATCATAAAACATGAATATAATCGTGAAACATGGCTGGAATTTTTACCAGCCACAGCTGATTTTTGCCCTCATTTGGGAGGTTAATTTTATACTTGAATTATAAATATTTTTATACAATTTAGTCAAACGTTCAAAGGCATGATTTTAAAATAGCATTAACTTTATAAAGTTAGGAAAACCTTATCAAATTATCAAATATTATATTATAATTCAACATTAAATGTGTGTCCTATTTCAGGATTGTTGTTAATTCTCCAGCAATTCAGAATCAGTTGAAAATGTCTAATCAAGTTTAAAAAGGACAAACTTTACCATTTACTAAACTGTACACACTCATTTGAACACTTTACTGCATGTCTTTTGCCTTTGGGGGAAACCGGAGCACCTGGAGGAAACCCACGTGAACACAGGGAGAACATGCAAACTCCACACAGAATGGACCCAGCCGGAGTTCGAACCAGCGACCTTGCTGTGAGGCGATTGTGCTACCCACTGCGTCACCTGCCCATTGTTATTATTATCATTGGTTATTGACACGTTATTTACATACATGTACAGATTTTTCTAAGTATCTGTGCTCTTTATTCTTATAATGATTACATAATTAACAGAATCAAATCCTGCTATTACTAAAACAATTAACAATTAATTAAAAACTAAAACAAGTTGTTTTTATAAAAAACTGTTAGTGGGCAAAACCTGGGCACTGGGCATAACCCCAGTGTCAGAAGAGTCTTCGCATGGATCCTGAAGGGCCAGCCTGTTCACCCGCCGGTGACCCACTCGCACACACATGCAGTTTCTCCACGATGGACGTCCAGCATTCTCCTAGACTGCAGCTCTGCTCAGGAAGTTTGGCCAGAGGAGAAATGGTTTGTGCCCAAATGGGTCTGGTTTCTCTCAAGGTTTTTTTTCCCTTTAATTTCGTCAATTGGTGAAGTTTTGTTACTTACCACTGGCCTGCTTGTTTTGAGACTTGTGGAGATAAGCATGAATGGATTTGCTCTTCAGTGTTTGGACTGCCAGCAGTAAAAATTAAACGTCCTGAACTAAACTGAACGTTAACTCTGAAAACTGACTGACACAGTTTCATTAGGGTATTTGCAGACAGACATTTTAAGTTTAGGCAGCCAGCCTCAGGGCTTCCGGTGGATTGGCAATCCCATAAAAAATTGCTTAGTTTAATTCCGCGCTGAAAAATCCAGCTTAAACCAGCCTAGGATGGTTGGCTCCTAGGCTAAAACCAGCCTGATTTTAGAGGGGTTTTGGCCACTTCCAGGTTGGTTTCAAGTCATTTCCAGCCTGGTCTTAGCTGGTCTAGCTTGACCATCCTGGTTTAAGCTGTACATAACTGGTTTTGGCTGGGCTCCCCGTCTGAATAGGCTGGTCAAGCTGGTTTTAGCTGGTCTCTCTCTACAACCAGGCTGTTAATGGCTGAAAACCAGCCTGGAAGTGGTCAAAACCCCTCTAAAACCAGGCTGGTCGACCAGCTAAACCCAGCCAACCATCCTAGGCTGATTTTTCAGCAGAGATTTGATTACTTTAAAAAACAGCGATCTTCATCTCTTTTTACACTTTTAAAACCAAATGGGTGCTCATTAAGTCTATTTAACTGATTTTTTTTGTATTACATTACAACATAGATGCTGTAAAAAGAACCTTATTAAATTGACAATAATCAACTTTCACCGGGAGTTCAAAAACACTAGCATATAGGCTAATTGTTAGAACTTCTATAAGCTGCTTTTACGCAAAAGCGCTATAGAAACAAAGATCAATTGATTTGAACTGAATAACCTATCGCACATTTCATCGTGTCTAAAAAATATAATAATATTTGACAAATAAGTCAAACAAATAACAATATGTTGAAGTTTAGTGGTGGATCCTGCAGGCGGATCCAACGCCAACCATCAAGTTCAAAAAACAAATCAAAACAAACCAAACAAACCCTCGTTCGGGTAACGTTATGCTTTAAAACAACGTAGCCAATCAGCTAATGTAATAATTAACCCCTTTTATTAATTGAATATTTTATTGCGTTTACGTTTCATCAGTCAGTCGAACAAATATGCGCTATTCATATTATTATTATTATCTGGTTAAATTAAAGAACGATTTGCTATAGCAATACCCATTCACTCAAGAGTGCAGAGAGTTTTGTCGCGTCCAGCTGCTAGTGGGTAACGTTAGGATAGATTGGTGCTGGCTGGCGTCATGATTTTATATCGTTCAGTCAAACGTTTAGGATCCTCCTTCATTCTCTTCACTAAGTGCGCTCCTCCTGTACTTCAATTCTTATTCTTGTAGCTTTACTTTTCTGGTCAAAAACCGGATATGTTATGATTTCCCTTTCATCTCATGGACTAACAGACTGTAAAGGTACACTGGGTTAAATTGCACTAGGATATATCATGTCATCTCAGGGGGACCTCAGGTGTTTATTTGGATTTGTTGCTCTGTTGGGAATTTTAACGGGGAAAATCTCTGGAATTCATGGAAAAGCAACTGTTCATATTGATGGATCACAGAGACGCCAAAAACAAGAGTCCCTGAGAGGGTGAGTCTTATGCCAGGCATTCAAACTAATGCTGATATTATTAGTAGGATATAAGACTGTGTTATGTGGGCTTCTGTGAAACACATTCTGTGTTTTATAGGAGCATGTGTCAAAGAGACATGAACAGTTTCCCTTTGAGCTTTTAGACTAGCTCTTATAATTGTTGGCATGTGGAGAATTATTTTGTTGCTTTGTCTGAAAGGTGAATATACTTTCGAAGCTCATCACAGTTTTCTTTTTTAAGCCCTAATGTGTGTGGATCTCGTCTGCAGTCCTTCTGTTGTCCAGGCTGGAAGACTCTGCCTGGGGGCAACCAGTGTGTTGTGCGTAAGTCCACATCCAGATGTGCCTCACTCTCTCAGTTCATTGGGTGTGCTTTTGAATTTGATTTTCTAAATAAAATAAAATACTCTTTTTTTTAGAGGAAACTACAACTTAAACCATTATTAAGTCTTAATAAATACTGGATATTTCTTCCGAGTCTATAAAACAAGTTTAGTTGAAGTTAAATAAAATCAATATTAATTTAATTTAAAAAAAAGCTTTTAAAAAATACTACTATTAACTATAATATCTTAAATTAAATTAAATTAATTGGAAATAAACAACAGACTATAAACAATATTACAGTTTTTCTAAAGTTCACTTGTACATAATGTAAAATTAATAGTATTTTTAAATATGCAACCTCAAAACAAAATCCGCAGTAAGTAACAACTCAATGTTTACATGAACTAATAACAATAAAAGTGACTTCAATCCTAATTTTCAGCAACAAAAAATCTATATTAACAAAAAATCTATATTAACTTGAGCTCAAACTAAAGTAATTGTCAATTGTACACATTAAAGAAATAAACTGACCTAAAGAGAGGGAAGGATGTCTTATTTAGATGTAAATTCTTTCTTAAGTAAGATCCTTGCAGTTAATTTCAGCAGTCAGTTGTAGTTTTTGTCTTTTTGTTTAGACTGCCAGCAAAAATTTATATTTTTTACGTATCCATATTTTATCTAGATGCATCTTTTAAAGTGTGGACAGCAAAAAACAAAACAGAACAACAACAATAAAATAAATACTGAACCTAATTCCAAGTCTGATTTAAAGCAGATCATAAATGGCATTTAAATTTGACATTTTTACTGTCTTTGTATACAATGATTTGAAAAAGTATTTGCCACCTTTCGATTTATCCTTTTTTTTGTTTGCATATTGTTTTGCACTTTATTGTTTCAGATCATCAAACTAATTTAAATATTAGTCAAACACAAAACACAAGTAAACACATAATGCAGTTTTGAAATGAAGGTTTTTACTATTAAGAGAAAACAAAATAAAAAATACATAGCCATGTGTTAAAAAGAGTTTGCTCTCCTGTTAAAACATAGCTTATTTCTGGTGTATCACACTTGAATTCTCCCTAGCCTGATTACTGCCACACCTGTTCCTAATCAAGAAATCACTTAAATAGGACCTTAAAAAGTGAAGTAGACCAAAAGTTCCTCAAAAGCTAGTCATCATGCAGAGATCCATTCATTAATTTTCTTTTCGGTTTAAGGCTGATTTATACTTCTGTGTCAAGCGCACGTGTATGCTACGACGCAGCATATGCGTGGACACATAGCCTTTTCTGTGGCCGTTGGCGATGCTGACGCGCACCTCTCAAAAAATGTAACTACACGTCGCAACGACGCATATCGCAAGCTCTGTGATTGGTCGGCTTGGTAGCGCTGACAATTGTGGGCGGAGATGAGAGCCGCGCGAGCCCGTTGCAGTGATTGTGGAGTCCCGTGAAGGAGCTCCGGATGGATACTGTTGTCTTTTGTTTACCTTAAGATTAAACTTGTTGCACGTCTGCCAATTCCAGCCTCAAAATGAGCTAGTTTGAGCCACTTGTACATTAAGGACGCGTTCGGAAAAAAACAAAACACCAGCGAAAAAAATTGACACAGAGGAACAAAAACACCTACTGCTAGCTAGTGTTTCAGATGTGTTATTGCAGAGCAACAGAAACAGCACACAGAAGTATAAATGCACTTCTACGCGCATTGCATGCGTCGTGGGTCACACCGATCACTTGAGGCAGAAGTATAAACCAGGCTTTAGTCTCTTTAATAATCAGGGATTGCTACAGTGGAATGAACCGTCAACTTATCCAGCATTATTGTTTAATGCAGCCGATACCCTTCCAGCTGCAACCCATCACTGGGAAACACTCTCATTCACACCCATACTTAGCTTAACCAATTCACCTAAAGCAGATGTTTTTGGACTTGTGTGGGAAAATGGGGCACCTAGGAGGAAACCCACATGAACACGGGGAGAACATGCAAACCACACACTGAAATGCTAACTGATCCAGCTGAGACTCGAACCAGCGACCTTCTTTCTTTGACATCGCTACCCACTGTGCCACCGCGCCACCCCTCAGAGATTCAAAAAAATTAAAAACAATTGAGAAAGAAAATAATCTACCAGTCTGGAAAAGATTATAAAGCATTTTCTAAAGAGTCTATAGTCCCTTTTACACATACAGACCTTTCCGGAAAATTACCTGCAATTTTCCGGAAAGGTTGTATGTGTTAACAGGCTCTTTTTGAAAATACCTGTAAATTCGTTCTGGCTATTTTCCGGAAAGAGAAGTTGTAACATTACCGGTAATTTGCTGGAATGCTGCGCTGTGTGAATGCAGAAGGAAGATTGCCGGAAAGAGTGCGTCCACGTCTAGAACGTGCTGACGTGAGACACCTGCTTTAGCCAATCAGAACAGTCAGACGCATTCACCTGTGCGTGGTTTATGAGAATAAAAGCCTTTGAATATTTTTCCAGACACCTTTAGCTGCTAGATGTTAGTCAGATAACAATTCTATGTTCCTTCTTAATGCTAACTGTGTAAATAATTATCGATAAAATGTTTATGATAATCCGTTGTTTGTTTACCTTCAAGCTTTGCGTGTGCCCGTGAGCGCCCATAGCGCCAGCACACACACATATCATGAACATCTCGACATGCGAAAGTGTTCCTCTATATGTTTTCATTGGAGTTGTACTCAATACGGATCCATCCAAAGAGTTTGTAATGTTGTCAAATGTTTACAAACACAAGCGCAGCCGTTTAGAGGTCATTTCTGGTTAATGATGTCAGAATTTACGGACATTTTGCGATGGATGTGTGAATGCTCTTTTCCGGAAAAATTCCGTAACGTCCTCGCCTGTGTGAACAGCTCTTTTTTGAATTTACCGGTAAAGTCATTCCGGAAATTTTCCGGATATTTACCGGTATCACTGTGTGAAAGGGGCTATTATCTACAAATAGTGTCCGTCAGACCAAAATTACCCCAAGAGTGCAACTCATCCAAAAGGTTACAAAAGACCCCACAACAACATTCTAAGAACTTTAGGCCTCTTTTGCCTCAGTTAATGAGCTCATGACTCCACTATAGGAAAGAGACTGGGCAAAAATGGTTTGCATTTAAAAAAGGTGAAGTTCCAAGGTGAAAGCCACTGCTGAGCGAAAAGAACATAAAGGCTTGTCTCAGTTTTGTGAGAAAACATCTTAAAGATTCCCAAGACATTTGAAAAAATACTCTGTGGACTGACAGGTCAAAAGTCTAACTTTTTAAATGGTGTGCATCCCACTATGTATATTTCAGAAAAAGAACATCATATCAGCAGTAAAATGTGGTGGTGATAGTGTGATGGTCTGGAGCTGTTTTTCTGCTTCAGGACCTGGAAGACTCTGATAATTGGAAACCATTAATTCTACAACAGGACAATTATTTAAAGCACACCAGCAAGTCCACTTGTGAATGGCTAAAGAAAACCGAAGGAAGACTTTGGAGTGGTCAGAATCTTATTGAGATGCTGTGGCATGACCTTAAAAAATTCACCAACTGGCGAAAGTGAAGGATAAAAAAACCTTGAGAGAAACCAGGCTCAGTTGGCCACGACCATATCTCCTATGGCCAAACGTCTTGTGCAGAGCTGCAGTCTAGGCGCTGGGGGCTGGAGAGCGCTGGACATCAGCGAAGACTCGTCTGTCCCTGGAGTCTCACAGGAATGTGTCTCATGCTCTCTACTCCTCCATGATACAGCAGCTGCTCAGGATATGGCTTGGTCCCGGATTATGGAAGTCTTGGGATTATCTCTTTGCAGGTCTTGGATCGCGTCAGTGGTGCTGCATAATCTCTGGGGGCCTCGGAATGAGAATCCCCAGGTGGAAATAGAGAATAAAAGAGAATAATTAGTGTAGCTGCTGTTCATAGTGTATATAAACGAGATGCAAAAACCTGCATGGAGCACATTAATGAATCTTACTAATATGTGATGCAATGAGTATATTCTTTACTAAAAAGATAGGTCTTTAATCTAGTGTTGAACTGCAAGGGTGTGTCTGAGCCTCGGGCATTATCAGGAAGGCTATTCCAGAGTTTAGGAGCCATAAATGAGAAGGCTCGACCTCCTTTACTCGACTTTGCTATTCTAGGTACTACCAGAAAATGCACAAAAATGCATTTGGGAGGCTACAAAAAAGAGTTTAGATTTTTTGTTTCCTCTTAATAATAAAAACATTTATTTAAAACTGTTTACATGCATATGTTGAGATGCCTACCTTGTTACCAACAATGCAGATAACTTGGTTTAATCTGGACAAACAGTTAATTTATTTGCAATTCATAGTTTAGATAGTCTATCTTTCTGTTTTTGTTGTTTTTCTTTCCCCTTTAGATTCTATTTGGTATTCAGCAGGTGTTCATTAATGACATGGTGTGCTCAGAAAGTGTCAATTTATATTGTCTTTGTTAAGGTGGAAGAATACAGACTTCAAATAAATTAAACATATCAAATTTTAATTAAAAATATAAGGTTTTTGACCTGATTAGACAATAGGCATGGGAAGATAACCGTTTTTAAGGTATACCGCAGTTTGAAAAAGTCAAGGTTTTAAAATCGCCAAATTTTTCTGCTATACCATTCTTAAGGTATGCGTGAGTTATTATTTTTTTTACGTTTTGTTTTAAGTTTTTTAGAACAGCATTATCTCCAGCAAAGAATATATCCAATATGCCGTCTTAAATTGAAATGAAATCTGTGTTTTTGGAAACTAATGAAAACAGCAGAATTCAATGATTCATTGAAATTATTTAGCCTGACATGTTTACTGCTTCAAAATGTTATAAATGTTTCTCAAAAATAAAATATTTTGTCTTAAAAATGGAAAAAAGAAACAGATTTTTTTTTCCCAAGGTTATCATACCATAAGAATCTTATACCGGCCCATGCCTATTAGACAATTTGAATGAAAGATGCATAAACAGACTCAAGCTAAAGTAAAATTTGAGAAAAGTATTAACAATGCAGACAATCACTATAGTGTTCAGTAGTGTTTAGTAGATGTTGAATTAATGTGATGTATCTACACTTATGTTCCTTTACTCCTATAATAACCCTGGTGAACTTGAGGTCAACTGACTTCATACATTTGCTAAAATATTTAAAAGAAAATGACTTTACAATGTTTGTTAACTGCAGTGACATGTTCTGTTAATATTTTGTCTTGCTCTTTATTGCAGCTATTTGCCGGAGTGACTGTGGGGATGGTTTCTGCTCCAGACCTAACATGTGCACATGTCCTGGTGGACAAACAGCTACAACCTGTTTTACTAAATCATGTATGTTTTGACATTATACTGTTTATTTTGCAGATACACTAGGCACGGAAAGTATTCAGACCCCTTTAATGTTTCACTCTTTGTTATATTGCAGCTATTTGCTATAATAATTTAAACAATTTTTTCCTCATTATTGTGCACAGAGCACCTCATATTGACAGAAAAATAAATAATTGTTGGTATCATTTTTGTAGATTTATTTAAAAAGAAAAACGGAATTATCACATGCTCCTAAGTACTCTGACTCTTTGCTCAATATTTAGAAGAAGCACCCTTTTGATTTAATACAGCCTTGAGTCTTTTTGGGAAAGAAAGGAACAAGTTTTTCCACACCTGGATTTGGGAATCCTATGCCATTCTTCCTTGCAGATCCTCTCCAGTTCTGTCAGGTTGGATGGTAAACGTCAGTGGACAGCCATTTTTAGGTCTCTCCAGAGATACCCAATTGGGTTTATGTCAGGGCTCTGGTTGGGCTATTCAAGACCATTCACTGAGTTGTTGTGAAGCCACTCTTCGCTAAGCTATGTGCTTAGGGTCATTGTATTGTTGGAAGGTAAATCTTTGGCCTAGTCTGAGGTCCTGATATCCCTGTACTGGCCACATTAATCTTTCTCTTTATTACAACCAGTCTTCCTGTCCCTGCAGCTGAAAAACACCCCCCACAGCATGATGCTGCTACCACCATGCTTCACTGTTGGGACTGTATTTGACATGTGGTGAGAAGTGACTGGTTTTCTCCACACATAAGGCTTAGAATTAAGGTCAGAAAGTATATCTTGGACTCATCAGACCAGAGAATCTTATGTTTCATAATTTTAGCAAACTCCATGCGGGCTTTTATGTGTCTTGCATTGAGAAGAGGCTTCCGTTGGGCCATAAACTTTCTCCCATCTTTCTACTGCATCTCTGGAGCTCAGCCACAGGCATCTTTGGGTTCTTTTCTCACTCTTCTCCCCCGATAGCTCAGTTTGGCTTGATGACCAGTTTTTGGAAGTTCAAATGTCTTCCATATAAGGATTATGGAGGCCACTGTGCTTTTAGGAACCTAAAATGCAGCAGAATATTTTTGTAACCTTGGCCAGATCAGTATAATCAAGCACAACTAGACTCAAATGAAGGTGTAGAAACATTTCAAGGATGATCAGAAGAATTGGACAGTACCTGAGTGATATATATGAGTGTCACAGCAAAGGGTCCGATTACTCAGGACCATGTGATGTTTCAATTTTTCTTTTTTAATAAATTAGCAAAAATGTCAACAGTTCTGTTTTTTTTTCTGTTCTAAATCCCTAATCTAATTATCTCTCTTTTTTTTTTACATTAATAAACAAATCTTGCAATCCAGGTTCTATAAAATGACTTTTAAGAATGTGTGTGACTGGTAATTCATTGATTCTTAAGTTAGGTTGATCAAACCTAAACAGCATAATTTGTGATGCATATGGAAGCTAGTACTCTGTGTAAAAATGTGCTGGATAAGTTGGTGGTTCATTCCACTCTGGCGACCCCGGATTAATAAAGGGACTAAGCCGACAAGAAAATGAATGAATGAATAAAATCTTTCTATTAATGTAAAATTAGTCAGGATAGAACTATAAGTTACAGCTATTTTAAAATCTGCAATTAGAGGGTGTTAAAATAATAATTCTGAGAAAATCCTGTTTAAAGATGTCCAAATTAGGACATCTTACCCATGTTAAGTTATTACCCATAGTGCTGTACGATCTAGTTGTAATTATTCTGTTCAAAATTGTGATTTATCTGTTCAAAAGCGATTCACTATAATTTTATAAAAGCTGCAAGTTTGATGTGGTGGTTTTAATTGCACCAAGACTAAGCATAATCACAAAGTACGCTACACTATGCTAGTCTTTAATTAAACCTTTTTTTCTGTGCCTTTCCACAGTTCTGTCTCTGAGCTCTTTAGGCAGTTCTTTTGACCTCATAATTCTCATTTGCTCTGACATGCATTGTTAGACAGTACCTGAGTTAAATATACGAGTGTCACAGCAAAGGGTCTGAACACTTAGGACCATGTGATATTTCGGTTTTTCTTTTTCAATAACGCTGCAAAAACATAAACAATTCTGGGTTTTCTGTCAATATAAGGTGCTGTGTGTATATTAATAAGGGAAAAATGAACTTAAATGATTTTAGCAAATGTATGCAATATAACGAGTGAAAAACTTAGGGTGGTCTGAATACTTTCTGTGTACTGCATTTAATCTGGCCTTAAAAACCCTAAAATGTACTTGCCTATGTACTGTATGTACATTCATTCTGTATATATACATTCAGAGAAGCAGAGTAGTTATATTTTTTTGTTATACAAATATACAGAATGAGAAATTTGTTCATGACCATATACAGTCCCAGACAAAAGTATTGTCGCTTATCTATTTTGTAGAAACACCTGCTGTTAACCTGACTTTTAATTAACAAATTGGTTTTAGGAAGAGCTCATATGAAAAGCTAAAATCCTCCCAAATGTAGTTTAATACTCGGAAATAAATTAGTTTCACTGAAAGAAGATTTATCATTTAATCTAAAAAGGAAGGTCAAATTATGCCAAGACAAAAGTTCTGTCGCCTATACGGAAATTGAACAAATTTACTGCAGATACAAAAATATGTCAGCAAACTAAGTAGTGGTGCTGTGAGATCCACATTTAATATCTTGTATGACTTCCATGAGCTTGAAGAACTGTATCCATGTGGTTTGGCAAGGATTCATACAACTTATTGATGAAGTCATCAGGAATAGCAAAGAAAGCAGTCTTGCAGGACTCCCAGAGATTATCAATATTCAACACTTTGATAATCAACACTTTAGTCTCAGGGTGAATCTTAGGCATGTTTGCAGAGGTCTAGTTGCAGTTGATGTGAAGGTCTAGTGTACTGGGGTTCTATTTATACACACCTGAGACCCAATTGATCCATTATTAGTCACAGGTGAAGCTCATATGACAAGGTGACAACACTTATGTCTGTGGTCCCCAAACTTGTTCCTGGAGGGCCGGTGTCCTGCAGATTTTAGCTCCAACCCTAATCAAACACACCTGAACAAGTTAATCAAGGTCCTACTAGGTATACTTAAAACATCCAGCCAGGTGTGTTGAGGCAAGTTGGAGCTAAATCCTGCAGGGACACCGGCCCTCCAGGATCAAGATTGGTGACCCCTGACTTATGTCTTTGCAAAAAATGACTCAATTGGCTTTACAAAGCTGGAACTATAAGAATACTTTTTGACAGTTTCATTTTGCACTGAAACATTATAACAAAAGCTGTTGGGATTAAAATGAGCCATTTCTTGTAAAAAACAAATCTTGATTAGAAATATACTTCAGTGACACTTAAAGTAAATTTGCAAACAAGCGACAAGACTTTTGTCAGGGACTGTATGTGGTATAAAGTAATTGTAATTGCGTTCAGCATGCAAAATAATTAGATTATTAGGTTACATTTGACCAAAAATTTCACATGCTTAAGAAACCATGAATTAACTAAGCCTCTCAAAATGACTATATATGAAATAGGGTGTAATTACTCAAATTTTGTGTGCCTTGATACCAAATGATGCATTTTGAATGTAAAAAAAAAAAGACACTATTGCCTGTTTGACTCAAAACCATTATTGTCTATGCCTGGATTTCCACCTTTTCACTTCGGGACCCACTTCTTTTCTGATCAATTTTTGAAAGTCCATGTCTGAGATTTATATTTTTTGTGTAAATTAAGTGCTCATTAAATCTCATTCAAAGCTGGGTATTATTGGGAGATCGCTGACAGGAACAGTGAACAGCTCTGCCAGAGCGCGTCTGAAGCTCATATTAAAGTTTATTTTACATTCTATGGCAGAAACCCCATCGAGCCTCGCTAGATCGTCCGGTATTGGCATGCCTTCGTTATAAAACACTAACATTATTAAATAGTTCATACAAAAATACACAAAGAAAGACTTTCACTTTAACTTAACACATAGTTTGTGAATGAACAGACTGATGTGTACTAGTTGCAGATGCGATGAGGCTGTTTTTGTGCCGAGTCCGAAGTAATCAATCAGAGAACAGGAGAAAGTGCATTTCTTTGATCATTTTAATATAGCATATTAATAATGAAATCCAAAAATTAGGGTATAATATTGAAAGTTAATTTTAAGCTCGCGGTCTATCTACAGGTTCGCTGAGGCCGACTAGTGGGCCGCAGCCCACCGGTTAAGAATCCCTGGTCTATGCGATGGAATTTAGAAGTAGTATTGAATTTATTAATAGAAAGTAGCATTGAGTCAACAATTTTAATTACTTTTTAATGTAATTAGAAATTTATTTTAAGTATAATTTTAATAATGCAATAAGTAATAAGCATTTAGAAATGAATGACTTTTTTAAATAACTGACTCTACACAGGTAACACTTGAGCTCTGATAGCACATATACATTGGAGACGTCTGTTTGCGAGACATATTAATTAGAGCATTAAATAGATGTTATATGTTTTTAAGATGTTTAAAATGTACAATATTCATATAAAAGACCTTTTAAAAGCATTTATAAGGTCATTGTACACAGCAGATATTTTACAGACCTTCTTTCTTACAGATATTCTTATGAATACATCTTGCAGATTTAATGGCTCTGTCTTGGACAATATCCTAACCAATTTTAACATGAACCACCACATTAAACCACTGATTATATTTTTTTCTTCTGTTTTACTCTCTAAAGCCAAACAATGCAATATAAGGTGTATGAATGGAGGAGTGTGTGAAGATGACTATTGCCAGTGTCCAAAGGGATATACAGGAAGCTTTTGTGGACAACGTAAGTATATGGCTTCTGCTTACATCCTTACTGTAAATTGTGTTGGTGACCTCTGCCTGTGTTTATTCCTCTCATGTTGTCACTTATTGCCCACTAATGCTAAAAAATATAAGTAAATAAAGAAATAAAGAAAAAAATACATCCAGTATCATTTGTCCTACAGTATAACGTCTGCAGATCTCCTGATACATGGCCTACAAGTTTGTAATGCTTCCATTGCTGCTTGTTTTGGGCCTAGATGTGAAATTATGTTAAACTCTTGGTATTCTTCACATGATACCTGCTGTTTTAGTGTTTATTTGTTACTTAGCATCTACAGAGTATTGTGCTTTCGATTGCAATTCCAAGTATTTTTGGAACTCAGCTACCTAGCTAACATGAAAACAACTGTCATATTTCCTAGTCTCTCTTAAAGGCCCGCCCTCAAGATGCTCTGATTGGTCAGCTAACATAAAGTGCTGGAATTCGTGGATTGGCTCCACATTATCACGTCACGCTCCTACAAGCGCACACTTTTGGGCTGTGTAAATACTGTCAGTTATAGCAGCTAGCAGCATTAGCTGCTTTTAATCAGACAGAAAAATTAAGAGCACACAATAATATAACTAAAATATAACTCATGTAAGTAAATAAAATTAGGCTATGGTACAATTCTAGGGACTAAGGAGTTCAGTGTGCAGGGGGGAGGAGCTGAACACACAGCGTCAACCGGCACCTGGACTCTGAGGTCTGTGGGATTGGGGATGAGCAATAACAGAATCTGGTTGCACAACTAACACAGTAGGTGGCGATATGTACAAAGAATGCAGTTCGCCAGAAAACTAAGAAGAAGAAGAAGAAGAGCACACAGTCAAACTTTACGCATAGTCTTTTTGAAAAATTCTACACATATATAGGGAATAAGCATGTGTAGTGATATGAAATCTTTAGTAAGTTGGTTAGTTGTATTTTTTTTGTAGTCCCCAAACTTTGTTCACCGTAGGCTTTGCTAAAACTAACTTTGTAAAAATCAATGTCCCCCTTTTCATTGAACTTTGGGAATATTACATTCAGAGATGTTGTTTATGTTCACACAGCTACATTATATATCACCTAAAAGTGAAAATCTGATATCGTAGTGGACCACCTCTTTAAAACAATTATGTGAAAAACTGATTTGTTCACTAAAGCAACATAGTCATATTCTGAAAGATCTTTAAGTTTTTCATAAACTGTAATCATACCAGACCTCTGGAGGCTTTCATGGGTTTTTAGGATTGCAGCAGATGTAAATCATGCCGAGAACCAGTCGTTTCTATAGAAGTTCAAGGGTTTGCTTATAGACAATAGAAGGCAGGCCAAAGCTCTTGGCTCATCTGTTTGGCACTAAGTTGGTATTAAAAGTTTCTTTGATTTTGGTTCTAAAGCCATGGCCTTCTGCCAGTGCTTTGAAATGCAAGATTACAGCAACAACACGTAATGTATTGACATTTGCCTGTTTTTTAAGTCTGCCATAATTGATAAACCTACATTTTCAAATTAAATTCAAATTTAAACTATCATTAAAATGATTTATTATATATGACTAATATGTCTTAAATCCCTGATCTAACGTGATTTAGCCCACAAAACTAGTTATAAGTGGGGTGAGGTCTATGCATTTTCTGAAAGTCAATTAAATATACTTTCTATTGATGTATACTTTGTTAGGATAGGACAAAATTATCTGGAATCAGGGGGTTTTATATATTAAAATACTGAGTAAATCTTGTTTACAGATATTTAAATTAGGGCTTCTTATCCACGTTAAGCTATTATCCATGTATATTATCAATCAAAAATAGAGTATTTAAATATTTACAGTGGGAAATTTACAAAATACCTTAATGGTACGCAATCTTCACTAAACAAATCACAATGTTTTACTTGTATAATTAATTTTTGGCTAAAATTTTACCGGTGCAACAAAAGACCAGTTTTGTGGATCAGGGTCACATATATACAACACAAGAATACAGTAATGTTTTAATGCAGGTGGTTTTGTTTCAGCTGTCTGTGAAAAAAACTGTCAGAATGGTGGACACTGCATTGGACCGAACAGATGCGCGTGTGGATACGGCTTCACTGGACCACAGTGTGAGAGAGGTAAAAAACAAATCACAAAGTTTTCAGTGTCACTGTTACTGTCAGGAGTATTGAAAATCTGTTAATAAATTGTTAATTTAGGGTAATGTGTGGAAAAAAATAATTAGGGAAATGTGTCCAGTGCTACTTTTTTGAGAATCGAGAAACCAGGGTACATTATGGCTGCATTTTGTGTGTAAAATGAATGCTACAGGGCGGTACTACTGACCACTTATTTCCGTACGGACGAAGTATCAGTTGCACAACATTGGGGTGGGTGTAGCGTAATTGACATTGTCAAAAATGTAAAAGGTTCCTCCAGTGCAGTGGTTCAGGGGGATCCCGGGGGGATCCCGGCCCAGAAGGGAACCCTCAGCGAGCTCTGTGGGGGTTGCATCATTCATTCATTTTCTTGTCGGCTTAGTCCCTTGATTTATCTGGGGTCGCCACGGCGGAATGAACCGCCAACTTATCCAGTGTGTTTTTACGCAGCAGATGCCCTTCCAGCCACAACCCATCTCTGGGAAACATCCAAAAACACTTGCTCACAAACACACACACACTCATACACTATGAACAATTTAGCTTACCCAATTCACCTGTACCGCATGTCTTTGGACAGTGGAGGAAACCCATGCGAACGCAGGGAGAAAATGCAAACTCCACACAAATGGCCAACTGAGCTGAGGATCGAACCAGCGACCTTCTTGCTGTGAGGCAACAGCACTACCTACTGTGCCACTGCTTCGCCTCGAGGTTGTTCATAGTTCAAAAATTTCTTAGCAGGGGACAATTAGGAAAATTATCATGCTGCCTTTATTTTATCCTTTAGTTCAGTGGTCCTCAACCACAGATCCCGTGATCATTTGGTACGGGAAATCATCAATTATTTCCGTTTTGTTTATTATCTGAGATTGAACGATCTTTTATTTTGAAAAGTCTTTTATTTAAAAAAAATGACCGTATTCTCTTGTTTACATCTTGGTTACTTAAGCTTATTTCTTTGCTAAGGGGAAAAGGCTCAGTGAAGGATCCACGAACTGCCAAGGAATGGATTCGCAACCCATTTGTCAACAAATCAGTTGAATCCAGCATGTCTATGCAAGAAGATCAACTGATGGAGATCGCAAATGATGGCGGCCTTTTAGGGGCCATTCGCATATCACGTATTTCTAGAGTTTGCACAAGTTTGTTTTTTCCAATGAAGGTGCGCTGTTTGCGCACACAAGCGGTGTGATGCGCCCGCACCGAACCTCGGGTTGCGAGTCAAGTCACGTGACAAGAATTGACCGCTCAGCTTCAGCTTGTATGGAATATTCCCATTTTGGTTAGACAAATTTTCTTAGACAAACAAAGAACACACACTGCAGTGCTTTGTACTTTTCTCCAATAAATAAAACTTGTATCAGAGCAACAGCAATGTTTTGTCAGCTTGCCATCCTCTGAGAAAACGTTTTTTCATTTATAAATGGCCTACTGATGTTTTGCTTTTATATTTTACATTAGTCTATTATTTGTGCATAAACATGTTTATATATAGTAATAAACATACTTTTTGTTTTTGAAAACAACATTTTTTTGTCATCATCACTACAAACTTGTATGAGCGATAATATCATTAAATGTAGAGGGGGACATTACAATATTTTCCAGGGGTAAAGGATTTCTCAGGCAAAAAAAGGTTAGGAACCACTGCTCTAGTGGATTTGTGAAAACCAAAACTAGAAGAAAATGTACATATTTCTCGGTTCTCAAAAATGAAGCCCTTGGCACATATTTCCACTGAGACCGGGTTGAAAAAATCTAACTAATAACTAATGATTAGTGACTTGTACAACAGTAAGAACATTTGGTAGGTTAGATTTGTCAACGTTTTCTGCAGAAAATGCACACAATTGAGAATAAGCTATATATAAAAATCATTCATTAATAATAAACTTATTTCATTGCAGAGTAATATGGGCACACCTAACAATAAGAATTCATTATTTAATGTTAGTTAATGTATTTAACATGACTTAAGAATCAACAATATGTTTTAGTCATTTATTAATCATAGTTTAACATTTACTATTGTGTTAAAATCCAAAGCCGTGCTTGTTGACATTAGTTAATGTACTGTTACATGAGATATGAACTTTGAATTACTTTATTGTCATTAACTAACATTTAAAAAATACGAAAAATTCTGTAACTAATGTATTGTTCATTGTTTGTTTATGTTAGTAAATGGATTATCTAACTTTGACTGATGAAATTGTTGTAAAATATTGTAAAAAATTAAGTAAAAGAAAAAAAAAGAAATGTTTTAGTTAAAAGAAACTCTGAATTCAAATTGTATGCCTTCATGGAATTTTTATGGTTTTGAAATAAATTCTAATACTGGATATGTTCTAATGGTTATAAAGCATTAGTAATATAGGTAAGATCATTATACTAAACATTTACATTTGTAGAATTACACTGAAACTGTGAAACATTCACTTTAAAGAAACAGAGAAAAATAAAATGAGGATAGATCAGGGGGTTTTCAGGATGTTTAGGAGTTAGCCTAGTGGCTCATGGTAAATGGAAGCTCATGGTTGCGTAATGCAGAACACATGTCTCTACAGAGGACTGTCCAGACTACCTGAGCTATTTGCTCTCCAGATGCCTTCCATGTGCTGCAGCTTTGCTAAGACTCTTTTAATCATCATTATAAGACACATGTTTGTTTGTTTGTTTGCTTGATGGAAGATCAATATGGGTTATTAAAATTCTTCCTGTGATTGTAAAACAACAGTCTTAGTTATGCTTCTTATTAATACCTGGCTGGACTTTGTTTCTTTTCTTTTAGTTTTCCGTCCCAAAATCTTTATCTGTTTTCAGATCTAACATGACTTTAAATAACTATTTTAGTTATTTTATTTTATCTCTCATCTCCTCATGTCATTTAGACTGGTCATGTCACCGGCAGCTAACTCTGCAACTTTCACACTGAAGCTAAATTGGGCTGCGCTCAGTCAGTACCTGGATGGGAGAACACATGGAAAAGCTAGAATGCTGCCGGAAGTGGTGTTAGTGAGGGCAACGGGGGGCATCAACCTACTGTCTGTGGGGGTCCTAATGACCCAGTATGTTGATGGGGACTCTATACCGCTCAGTTAGCGGCTTCTTTTGGATGAGATGTTAAACCGAGATCCTGACTTTCTGTGTTTGTTTAAAATCCCAGGATGTTCTTCGAGTAGAGTAGAGGTTTAACCCTGGCGTCCTGGCCAAATTTGCCCACTGGCCTCTGTCCTTCATGGCCTCCTAATATCATAATTGGCCTTATCACTCTCTCTCCTTTCCACCAATCCATAGCAAAAATTTAATTTCAACACCGTTCACCTGATTTGGATGTAAAGTAAATACCCTCAAATTAAAGCTGACAGTCTGCAGATAAAGCACATCTTGTTCATTTAATTTCAAATCTATTATGTTGGTTTATAGAGCCAAAAATGTTAAAATTGTGTTGATGTCCCAATATTTATGGACCTAACTGTATATAATCAGTACATCATAAAATTATACTACATGCACTTTTGCTAACTGAATTGAGTTTGACTGCATTATTGTCTGCGTCTCTCTGTTTATCAGCTGTACTGGATTCTGTATTGTTCTGTAATTCTAGAAGGACAGTTTATTTCTAATTGCCTTTTGTCATGAATTTAAAATATTTGTGCATATGCAACAAATAATAATTGGACAATAATAATGTACAATAAACTACTTTCCTGATAATATAATTTATAATAATAATTGTGCATTCTTTTCTTGTTTATGTAAATCGCAGACTACCGGACAGGCCCATGCTTCATCCAAGTGCACAGCAGGAAGTGTGCAGGTCAGAGCAGTGAATTTGTTTGCAGTAAGGCCTTGTGCTGTGCCACAGTGGGTCAAGCGTGGGGTCACTCGTGCGAGCAGTGCCCACCTATCAGCTCGCCCTGCACCAGAGGGTTCATCCCAAACACCCGCACAGGAGCCTGCCAAGGTCAGCACTGATTTTATAACATTGTTACAGTGATTATTGTACAGTAACATATGAATAGCCATGTTTTTATTTAGAAATTCTGGCCAGAGGAATGTCTATGAAAAAGAGGACATAGGGTTACCCTAGTTACATTTATAACTTTGGTTGAAAACATAGGTCATGTGAAATGCTTAGTAATAGTTTTTTATGAATGTGTTCTTTAATTTAATAGAATTTTGGGGATTTTGTTTTAAAGAAAATACATTGTTCTTGGAATCTAAAGTGATTCTAACAAGTCAGGAATATAAGAATGACAGACTTAAAGGTGAAAGACAATGTATTTATCTCATTATTTTCACTTATGAAATACCATAATGGCGAGGCAGTGGCGCAGTAGGTAGTGCTGTCTCCTCACAGCAAGAAGGTCGCTGGGTCGCTGGTTCGAACCTCGGCTCAGATGGCGTTTCTATGTGGAGTTTGCATGTTCTCCCTGCATTCGCGTGGGTTTCCTCCGGGTGCTCCGGTTTCCCCCACAGTCCAAAGACATGCGGTACAGGTGAATTGGGTAAGCTAAATTGTCCGTAGTGTATGAGTGTGTGTGTGAATGTGTGTGTGGATGTTTCCCAGAGATGGGTCGTGGCTGGAAGGGCATCCGCTGCGTAAAAACTTGCTGGATAAGTTGGTGGTTCATTCCGCTATGGCGACCCCGGATTAATAAAGAGACTAAGCCTACAAGAAAATGAATGAATGAATGAAAATACCATAACAACATGATACCATACAGTGTCTCAAAGTGAAAAAGAATCAGATGATCATAAAAAATAAAATTACTTCCTTAAGGGATTAGTCCAACCAAAAATGAAAGTTTTTGTCTTTAATTACCTTTATTTTGCAAAATTCTTATACCTTCTTTCATCTTTGGAACACAAATTAAGAAATTTTAGATTCTATTCAAGAACTTCCTGATCTTCCAGGAACAGCAGTGGATCAGTAATAATAATTACAATTTTATTTTCGGGTAACTAATCCTTTAAAGTGACTTTTGCATGCATCCTTTCTTGAGGGATCTGTAGGAAGGGATTCAGTTGATTAATGTAACTCGGAATGCCCCTAAACTGAGTCAAGACCCAGACCAGAAGACTAAATTGATGAAAGCTGATGTATAAAATGAGCCAAAGACCAAGAAAATATTGTTTTGAACTTTGGCCTTGACCTTGATTAACCCTCTGTCCTTGAATGCTCTGGATCTTGATGGCATTTCTTGAAAATTTAAATGAATTTAAAAGCTGTGCAAGTTTAGGGAAAATGTTTGTCCCTTTTTGTGTTGGTACCACATGGCATGGCTCACTAACTAAATGCAGACTTTTGGTTGGAATGTAGATTCGGAAAAAGAAGTTTTTATATAAGCTTAAGTGTCTTAAACTGGAGCCAATGGTGCAACAAAAGGAATCTAAAATAAAATCTCCTGGTCTCAAGGTGTTCTTCACCATACATCTGCATGGAGTCTCTTTAATGTGGACTGTGAATTTAAGAAAGTCATTAAACTCCTAAATGAATGGTGGACTGTTTTGAATAGGATCAACAGTAGATGATTCATGTGCAGTTTAGAACGTTTCTTATAAAAAGAATGGTCAAACAGGTAGGGTCAAACAGTGGCAAACAGTAGTGTTCAGGGTAATGTAAAAGGATAAATCCATAAACACAAATGAGAGATTAGGGCTGGCAGCAAACAATCAATTATTCAAATACTAGTGATGTTACTTATGACACTGAAGCTTTGATGAACATATCTTGCATTTGACAGAATTTGCAGTAAAGCACCATATTCACTGTAAAAAATTCTGGGTTCCACACAATTCGCTGAGCCACACCCTAAAACAGCTACACACCAATCGTGTCTTAGCAACTTTAGCTATGCTCAGGAGGTCTGTCAAGATTTCGAGCTAGGGAAACAAGCCAAATCGTTGTGCATATAAATTGTGCAAATCTCATTCCTGGTATCCTAGAAGTTTGGACAGGGTGGTGGATATTTTATTTCCTCGTCCAAAACCTAAAACCCAAGAGGAGAAATGCCAGCGTGGATCAAGCTCTGTGAGGGGCGCTAAAAGAGTTGGGTTAATCTGGTTTTGTTTTCGATAATCCAGACACATTCAGTGATAGACGGCAATAACTCACTCACCTCTTACTCTAAAAAGATCTGAACTGTGTTCCCTACAAAAATACAAACCAGGTTATGTTTCCAGCTGTCCTTTTGTTTTTTCGCTCGATATTATGAGCACTGCTTCGTTTAAGCCATCGCAATAGTAGTCATACTTCTTTTCCATATTCATTTCCATCTTCATTCCATCTTCTTCATTTTCCATCTGTTTCAAGCTACGAATATTTGAAATTACATATCAAGAGACCAAAACCGAGATATGATTGCAAACTTAGCACTTGCAATCAGTATACTTCACCTGCAGCTGTTTTTTATTAATTTATAAATCTCATTGCTATTTCAGAGCTACAATTCACTGATGTTTTCATCAGTCGTTTGGAGTTTTAATCATTGGTGATGATGTTATAGCGGGTTAGCATCTGCTTTTATATTTGGTGTCGGATTAATATTTGCTGGTAGGGAAAATCTATTTGTTCACTTCTGCGATTCATACTTTGATTTCAATTTATTTATCTTTTCCACTTAACTGCAAATTAGAATAGAAACGGTATAAGACGCACACAAACTTTGTTATGGGTCAATTATGCTAATACTTGGCACAAATCTATTAATTTCGGCTTTCTGGGCGTTTTTGTTTCTATGAATGAATTATGTTGAAGCACTGTCCATGCCTGGTTACTCATCGGTTAAAAAAAAAATCACAGGAAATCACGGTTTAATTTGTTGTTAAACCGATTTTGTTTAGCAAGCCCTCTTTGGCTCAGATTGTCAAGTATGTTGATACGAGAGCTTTACTCTCAAAGTTAAACAATATATTACATTTATATAATCATTATTTATTTGTCACTACTTATTTTCATCCAGTATTGTTATTCTACCATGGCCGAGAGAGCTTAATATGCTTAATATTTTAAGAAAACACATGCAGTTACACAAAGCACCTGCAAATTAAGAAAAAATCCTTTCAGTCAGTTTTACAGTACACATGTTGTAAATCCTCACAACACAAACAAATTAAGAAAATACCTGCCTTTCCTCACAGTGGGTCAAGGGGAACCTAAAACGTGACAAACATGAGTGTTTATGTTATTGTTATTTAGGCTAATAATATACAAAAGAAAAGGCAATCATGTAATCAGGATTTTAAAATAAACAAATTCTCCTTTCATAGATTATCTACAACTTCACTGAGCAATAGTCACGGCACAATATGCACATCCCAGCCAGGTCCATCACGTTTTTGGGTCCCCTTGAAACTTTTCCATTGTGTTTCTTGCTGTTTGTCTGTGTTGTTAAAAAAAAGCAGACTTTCCTTAATTTGTTTGTGTTGTGAGAAAATGCAGTGCCAAAATCACTTTTTTAAGGGGTTTAAACACAGTTGTGTGGCAGCAGTGTGTGAATATAGCCAGCCTCTAATGGTAAAATTAATTAATTATATTTTTTATAATCACACTTAAAAACACTTTAATGAACAATCTTACTTTGACATGTTATCAGAGGGGGAAAGCTCCGTCCATTAGTGACAATCTCTCCCTCATTAGCATAAACAGCCCTGAGTTACAAGCAGCTGTCCACCATTGAAGTTTTCACCTGCTGAAGATATTGTCAGCGACTATGAGGATTATAAATGGGATTATACATTTTCAGGTTTTCACAGAGATAACATTAGTCCTGTTTTCAATCTGCTACTATGCTGATGCACAGAAATTTGTAGCTCCACTTTTTTTTTTTTAAAGAACACAATCTCATACAAAGTGTCAGTCTCCAAAATGGCACAATCAAAACCTAAAAGGGTCAGTTTCAAAGTCTTATGAAAATTATTTGTGTGGAATGTTTAGTTGAAACTTACTGTACATATAGACCATTCCAGTGTGGAGATGTCATTGGCCCATGGACATTTCCTAACTGTTGTAAAACTATTTCATATCTGTCACAATCATAACTTAATGTTCTAACAGCTATTGTAACATTATTTATCAATATGTGGAACATTTTGGACTCTCAGAAGCTATGGAAATTTAAAACGTACAACAAGAAATATGTCAGGACCTATGTTATTGTTTACATCGATCAAAATTGTTACTCTAGGGACATCAGAAAAGTATTTTATGTCTTGTAAGAAGAGGTCCTCTTTAATGCATAAATTAAACACAAATGACTTATTTGTACACATAAAGTTGAAACTATGGAATGCGTGGTGGTAGTTTCATATAATTTGACAGGGATTTGACACAGGAGTCAGGCTGCTATATTTTAAATAAGCACTAGATGTTTTAGAGTTTGGAAAACCGTTCTACCTGGATGGAACAAGAGGATTGTTTTTAGATTATTAAAATGAGATGGGGGTTGTAACATCTCTACTAGTTCAGTATTTTAATCATTGTGTGAAATTATTAATGTTCTAACTTTTAAAACAGCTGCAGTTCATTGTTTTGATAATCAAACGGTCATTTACCTTAGATTGTGTTGTGGCAAGCACTTTTGCTGCATTAATATAAGGGAATCGTTAATACAGAAACATGCAATGTTTTCTCTTTGGCTAGATGTTGATGAATGCAAGGTTGTCCCCGATCTGTGTAAAGGAGGAAGATGCATCAACACATTGGGTTCATATCAGTGCACGTGTCCTGTCGGTTACCAACAGCATGTGAGCATTTTGAAGTGCGAGGGTAAGTAACATACAATTCATTATGTAGTGGTAAACATGACACAAAATATTAAGAAAATTTAGAGACTTCAGTGTAAAATCCTGACAATATGGAATTTATTAAACATCACTGTAATAGTCTGAGCACTACTCACTGATGATAAAGAAAATTACAGTTATTTTGTGACCAGGAGGTTAAAATTGAGATGAAACATTTTTCTCCTTTGATCACACACATTCTAGCTGATCCCTTTCATTAAAGCCACTTATCTCATGCTTTTCCCCTGTCATGTAGGAAGAAAATAGCAACAAACCAACTTTAGAAATGGAAATAAAGTGTACTTCAGAATAAATGATACATTTCAATGTGTGAAATCGCTTAGATGTGGATGAATGCTCCACCATTGAACGTGCGTGTGAAGCGGGACACTGCATTAATTCGGCGGGCAGTTTCTCCTGTGTGTGTCCTTCTGGATATGTGCTGTCTGCAGACCGGACTCGCTGTCTTGGTGAGTTCTTAAGCTCTGTATCAAAGACATTTAAGTACTTATAGTCTGTATTTGTGTGTTCTTTGTATAGTATCATGGAGAGCTTGCTGAAGCATGTGATGAATTTTGTGTTTAGGCAGACATCACAAAGATTCACACCTCAACCTATAATTTGCAATCCAACTTTCCAAATAGAAAAAAAGAACCTACCTACCTATCAATCTATCTATCTTAAAATACACAGATTAGCTATAACAGAGGATCCCACACACTTTCCAGCGCTGCAAATCACATGTCTCCTTCAAAAGCTTAATAGTAAAGATTCCAAGACCTAAAAATTGTTGTGTCAGACACAAGAAATGCTAAATGTGCTGTGCTGGAGGTACATTATAAATGTGTTTGGGAATAACCAAGCTACAGTTGAATATTAAAAACACTGACATGTAAAGGAGATAATCACTGATTAAATAAATTAGTACTGTATTTACAGTAGCACAGTACTAATTTGTGTATAACCTTCTGTCCAAAAAACTAAGTTGTCCCTTTTCAAAACAAATGAAATGGTATACATTTTCTTATATACAGGCTTCATATGGTCATTAAAACCTGGTAAAGTCATGGAATTTTAACATGGCATTTTCCAGGCTTGAAAAAGTTTTGGAAAAGTCATAGAAATTCGTTTCACAAATTTCTGTATACTTGAATTAGGGCTGCATGATATTGGAAAAATCTGACTTTACGATAGTTTGTATTTCTGTGATATTTATTGCAATGTGAATACAATTTCACCAGAGGATTTACCAGGTTTATTTGGGTTGATTGGGGGGATTGTGTAGAGGAGTGAATCTCGAGTAATACATAACAAATTAATTACAAGCATAGATAAATAAAACATAGTAAAGACAAAAGTGAATTATAGTTTTCAGGTATTTACTATTCCAGTACAGATGTTGAATAATCAACACTGCATAGTCTTCATTGTATATTATTTAATCTTTATTAAAGTTACCAAAAATTTCTTGTGGCCGGATGTTTTAAAATTTGAAATATTGAAAAGTTCACACAGTCACAGGCCTTAAAGGGACACTTAACTTAAAGATTAAAATGTAATTACTATTTATATATATATAATATAGTGTTATATTTATAACAATTTATATATATATATATATATATATATATATATATATATATATATATATATATATATATATATATATGAATAATATCCATTGGCCAGAAAGTGATTAAATATTTATAAATTGTAAAAATTTTGGTATTTGTGATGCAGCAAGTTAAATGTTGTGTACACTATGGTTTCACTTTCAATTCAATTTAAAGTGTGATCGGACGAAAAAGTAAAAAGGACAAAAAAAACATATATATATATATATATATATATATATATATATATATATATATATATATATATATATATATATATATATATATATATATATATATTGTGATGTGGCTCCCCATACATTATGGGGTATTGTGTGTAGAATTTTGAGGAAATAAATGAATTTAATCCATTTTGGAATAAGGCTGTAACATAAAAAATGTAGAAAAAAGTGAAGCGCTAGGAATACTTTACTGATGCACTGCAAATCAGGTAGCTGGAGGCAGACTAACACTGAATGTCAGAGTGTTTTTTGTGATATCGTCTCCAACAGACAGGTCATTTAAATGTTGTGACTGGCCGATGCATCTGAGGTTGGGCCATTTGTGAGATATTTAGCAGAAATGACTAAAGATTCAGAGCCACAAACAAAAGAGAACCAAAGCTGCATGCAAGCCTTTTTTGTTAACGCGGGCATATGGGCAGAGGAGGAAGTACAGAGAGTGGAACTCTGTGACCTCCTCTAGACTGTATATAACTACAGATCAGCGCCAGAGCATGTGTGGATCTGTCCGTCTCTCCATCATGTCTGAGGAATTCTCCTTTGGAGTATCCTTTGATTTTAATGAAAGCACATGTCCAAACCGCATCCATAAGCACAGATGCTGTGGAATGGTTCTGTTCAAAGCAATTTCCTGTTGCGTACAGTCTATACTTTTATCTGCTTGTAGAATTGATTAATACACAACTAGTCACTGTAGGATCATACATCGATACACTCAATACTTCAAAGTATCTTAGCAGCCTTGTTTGAGCTTCAATATGTGTGTAAATGAAGGATATACAGTCCTGTGACAAAGTTACCCTATTGAATTTTATAATGTTCCATATTAGGACATAATAAAAAGCTGTATGGTCCTCAGATGAACAACATCACATGACATTCCGCACCGTTTTTAATTTTATTTAACAAACAATAAAGCCAAGGTAGAAAAGCTGTGGGGTAACAAATGTATAGGGGGATAGCCTACGTTGCATAATTCAGATGCATGCAGATCCCCTTTTAGCTGTAATTTATTCATTTTCTTGTCGGCTTAGTCTCTTTATTAATCTGGGGTCACCACAGCGGAATGAACCGCCAACTTATCAGGCAAGTTTTTACACAGCGCATGCCCTTCCAGCCGCAACCCATCTCTGGGAAACATCCACACACATTTACACGCTACGGACAATTTAGCCTACCCAATTCACCTTTACTGCATGTCTTTGGACTGTGGAGGAAACCAGAGCACCGGGAGGAAACCCACGCGAAGGCAGGGAGAATGTGCAAACTCCACACAGAAACACCAACCGAGCCGAGGTTCAAACCAGCGACCTTCTTGCTGTGGGGTTACAGCACTACCTACTGCATCACTGACTCGCCCTTAGCTGTAATAACTATTATTATTTACTATTAACGTAATCATTTTTATCTTATCAATCTCTCAGATCATACTAGAAGACATTTGCACAGCTCTCACCACAGCATTTTACTCAGAATGAGGTCTAAACTTGGACTGGATTATTTTTTCAGCTCTTTTGATGTAGATTTGCTGCTTTGTTTGCGAGCAATGCCTTGTTGCGTGACCCATTTTACGACTTAGCTTTAGCTGTGAGATGGATATTGTGTTCACACCCCCCTGAAGCCTCCAAACCAGAAAACTTCTGCTGACAGCCAAAGATGTCCTGATATGAAAAAGATTTAAGTGGCTGCGCCAGCTCGTACGCAAAGAATAAGCCAAATACCTCCCTAACAAAGTGTTCCTCAATACATCTGTGTCTCCCACAGACACGGATACTACTCCAGACAGTAAAGTGTCGCACACAATTGAGGTAACGCTCTCCTCAAAGGGTGTTAGTTCAGCATCCCCTGCTCCCCCGCCTGTTCCCTCCACACTTTGTGGTGTGCTGTTGTTCTCCTCTTAACCTGCACCTTTACATCGGACCATTTCTTTTTTTAATTCGTTCACAGTGCGATGTTCAGACCCCACTGCGTTAACTGCGTCAGCTAAACTCTCCCACTCTATTTTTTTTCTTTTGTTAATAATTCCGGAGGACAAACTTGCAAATAATACTGTTTCACTCCAATTCACATTCTGTGAAGTTTCTCTTCTTGCTTGCTTTTGCCATTGCTTTTTTGTTTGGTTTTGCCAAAATGGAGTCATTACCATATTCATAAGGGGGAGGAGGCAAAGAAGGAATTTGCACTTATGCATGTTGCGCTCAGTTTCACGTTAATTCGGATGTACAAAGAGAAAATACGTGGGATTCAGTGTTTCATACATCTGAATTTTTTACTGCGTACGCACATTTACATCTTTGTCTGTACGCAATGTTTTAGTAATAATTCAACGCAAGTGGCCCCTGGTCTTGAAAAAGAACGAAACTTCTGCAGTTTAGTTGTATTTCAGGTTTCGATCAAACAAGAAGAGAGAGGCAGTAAATACGAACGGGGCAATTTGCAAATTGAGCAACAAAAAGGTGACGGCGAGACATGGAAATAACTCGAACCAAAAGTCACATATAATGTATTCAGTTTATAAATGGTTTAGGCACAAGCTAACAGCTTTGTGATGCTGTCTGAGCCTTACGTCATAATTTTTTTATCATGCATGGTATTACCATATATCGAGGTAAAATATGTAGGAAGTTTGATGGTAACACATTTGGATAATGCCCAAGCCTACTATATAAATACACATTGCACATATCTTGAGTGTTTTAGAATAGTGTGTTTGTGTGTATTTCAGACCAGCACACAGGGATCTGCTTTGCGTCAGTTGTGAATGGACGCTGTGCTCATGAAATCAGCGGACGTTTCAATAAAATCCAGTGCTGCTGTGATCGTGGCCGGTGCTGGAGTCAAAGAACAACTCATGAAATGTGTCCTGTACCAGGATCAGGTGATTATATAACTCTTTTCAACCTTTGCTTTGTTTTTTTGTTTTGTTTTTTCATGTGATGCTACTTTTTTTTTTTTTACATGGGAGAGGTGATTTACAACTGTGAAAACTTGACTCATCTATGTTAAGCTGCTTTGACACATTCTACATTGTAAAAGCTCATAGAAAAAAAGATGAATTGAATGTATGTATTTTACACAAATTCTCTTATTTAAAATGATTAATTGAATTTTAAGAGAACAAATAAATCGATTAATAAAGATTAGCTGATTATCAAAAAGATTAAAAGATTATAAAAATGATTATCACAAAGACATTCTCCATCAATTATTCCATTTGTGTAACTTTCTGATGTTACTGGACACAATAATAGTTCCAAGCAATAAAAACAAACATCTATAGTTCGGTTTAGTTTGACCTGGTTTCCATTGTTCTCATTTTTTCCACTTCTTGTTAGTTTCCTTTGGTATTAGTTAGTTCACACATGTTTTGTGTTATCTTGTTTATGTTTACTGGTGTATATAACCCCTTTTATGTTGTTGTGTAGTTGTTGTCTCAAATATTTATGTTTCAGTTGCTTAATTAAATACCTGATGCTCAATATTAAAAATATGTAAAGGCAAAATTAATAGCCCAAATAAAAATTTTGTATTTTTTTATTAAATATTTTTTAAAGTGACAATTAATTAGGAGTCAAAATTTGTTGATGGGTTAAACATTACTAAAAATATTGTAAAAAGGATTACAATTTCACTGAAGGGCTAATCATTTTGTCTTCAACTGTACATGTTAGTCTGAATACACAGCTGACAAATAGTTCATCTATTTGTTGCATTGTTAGAAGTAGTGCAAGTAAAGATAATATTAGGGTATCTACTTTAAATTGTAGAAACAGTATAGTGTGTTTGTGTGTTAAATTGTCTTATTAATGGACTTTTTTTTTTTTTTTACCGTGGAATACTGTCAACACTGCTGCCAGTTAGCCACTGTAAGAAATATTTAAAAAAAAACAACTAACTGGCAACAATAAGACTATCTGTGTCAACATAGTCTCGTTCTGAAAACATACAGTACCCCTATATACATTTCTGGAGATCACGAAATATGTAATCTGAGAATAGTATGGCTGTATTTCATCTTTAAAATGAACGTTATGAGACTGTATGATGCCATTCAATTTTGGGCTTACCGGCTGACCACTTATTTCTGTGGATTGTAATTTCGCTGTTACCAGTATGTCCAGTTGCACGCCATGTACGGTGGAAGATTTGAGAGGCAGAGCGGATTGTGGGTTAATGCCTAAATCATTGTTTTCTGCCTTAAGATTATTGCACTGCTCTATAAATATCAACATAAGCATCAGAGTAGATGAGACAATAATCAATGAACAGTAATTTAAACTTTCTTTGCACAGTTACTACCTGTGATGGGTACATCAAGTAAATTTCTGCACTTTATTCTTTGCGCTGCACAATTTCAAACAAATGCTACTTGTTTTACAGTAAAATACTGTTTCCTTTGATTACAGCAAAGCGCTGGCTATTTTAAAGTTATTTACCACATAATCTATAGCAAGAGTTAAATTTGCAGTAGGTGATTATCTTCTGAAACATTTTTGTTGTTCTGGTTGAAAGTCTCCTCACATTCCAATATCACTCATTAAAGTAAATCATCTAAATGCATTTTTATGTATTTTTATATTCTGGGTAAGGCATAAGACTAAAAAATGTTTGTCCAATTAAAATGTCCGGCCGATAATTCCCATAATTCTTATACGAAGCTCAAACTGTCTGTTAGCAAATGCCAATTCGAGCTTCTGCACACCTGTTTGTACGCAGCTCTGCCGTGTTTGCGCGTTCATGAGAGTGATAGTGATCGAGAGCGAGCAGTAAAAACATGCTGAATCTAAACTTTTTTTTAAACTCCTGAATCAATATTGGAGTTACTTTTGCACGCTGGAGGAAGGATGACACCATGGCTGAAGTATTTCTCTTACGCCCCATACACATGGGGCTTCAGCGTCAACGCTTCCCATTCACTTTGAATGGGTGACATCAGGCATTGCCGAACTGCATTGTGGATCCGTCAGCCCTGCTTTAGAGTGTGGCTTGCTGCAGAAGTTGGGACTAGCTCAACTTTTCAAGCGCCGACGGAAGCGTCAGCCAATCTGATAGCTGTATGCAAAAACACCAGCTAGACAGTGGCCTATCATTGGCTGACGCTTCTATGACGATCGCTTCAGCCCCAACTTCAGACACGCCTTCAGTCAAGCGTTGACGCTGAAGCCCCATGTGAATGGAGCGTTAGACAGATAATGTTCTGTTTTGAAACTTTTTTTGCAACACAGAGCTGATGTAGACTGGGCGGTTATGAATGGGTTATAGGCACTGAAGTGTTGTTCAGAAACTGAAATCTTCTGGTGAAAGATTGATGTGAGTATTTTCAGTTTCAGAAGGACATTTTACAGCATCGATAATGTAGATTCTTATTTCGTTTAACAACAAAACATCAGAAAATAGCACTATTCCACCTAGCTTGATTTACTGAGCTTAAGATGGTTTTATATTCATATTGGCTCATTTTTTAACAATGACAACCTGCGACGTGCTCCTTATGGTGTTTACCACTCTGAATATTCGGTCAGAAATTGCATGGCTTAGAAATGAGTGTAATAATGAGTGTAATTCCAACAAGACGCCAACCAAGCATTAGCTCAACACATGAGAGAGGGTTCTGCTGTCATTCGGTAAGTGTGCTTTGTGCTTTCAGGAGGCGTGGCTTTGGAGGGCAGGGGAGGGGCGGTGTTTCAGAGATCTATGCTAACAGGCTAGCATTGTGGCAGATTATCTACTGCACCTTTAACAGTGTATATTATTTAGTTAAAGTGAAGCAAATGGATTAACATTTACACAGACTAATGCATAATATTGTACACTCTTTCTCTATTTTTTTAATACATACATTAGTGACATAATGTTACATATATTTTTGGTTGGAATAGTTTGCTGTTATACCTTAAACCCACATTTTTGTCTCCCTTCTGTTCATATAGATGAATACTTGAGGATTTGTCTGGTAGGCTCTGCTCTGAGTGGCTACAATGAGGAGGATCCTGAAATGAGCCCTCACCACCACAGCAGCTTCAGTGTTTCCCCTAATGACCAGATACTTCACCCACATAATGGCAATGGACAAATAAAACCCCAGATTCGCCAAACACCTCAAATTCTGCAGTTTCCACAGATTCCACAGATCCCAAGGCATGACAATGGATTTAAACCACAACGACCTGTTGGTGAGTAAAATCTTATGAAGAGCCTTTGCTGAACTAACAATCTGCTTTCAAAATGTTCTTGCAGATTTGATGAGTTTTTATTTTGTTTGCAGTTAGTGTGAATGAGACTGTGAACAGGTGCCGTTTGCTTCCTAATTTGTGTCTGAATGGACGCTGTATTCCCATGGAGTCTGACTACCGATGTGACTGTAACACCGGATTCAAAGAAGACAACAGAGGAGAGTGCTCAGGTAATTTCTGTCACAGCTCACACAAATTCTTGTAGGGCATTTAGGGTATTGTCTAAAGTCTAGCTGCGTCCCAAATCGCATACATATGCACTATTCCACACCATTTTGTAGTATAGTGTAAGTAGTGTGTTTACACCGAAAACTCTATAAATAATAAGTGCACTTTAATTACCCGGATGATGCACTCATTCAGCCGGTAAAAAGAAGTGTGTAATGATGAACACTTCACGCATTCAACGACCGCAGGTTTGCTCATGTAGCGGAAGGGGCGGAGCCATCAAGCGCACATGTTGGATAACTTTATTTTTTTTAATGGTGAAAGCAAAATTCTCCTACGAGAGTGATTATTGCACCTCCCGATGGTGCATGCGGTTATACTCACGGCAGGTATTATTTGATGATTCGGTTGTTTATTTCATTGATTTCGCAAACGTCATCAGGGAAACGGTTTGAATTTCCGCTTAGTAAAAAAAACGTTAGTGTTCCAATTGGGACGTCACTATATACAGTACATATACTATGCTGTTGAGTGTGTAAGTGCATAAGTATATAGTGCATAAGTGCACTCATTGTGCCTTTTGGGACGCAGCTATTAAGTGTTGTACACTTGTTATTGCGGTGCATTGTGGGATTTATTGAGTGCACATCAGAATGTTGATGGTTTCAGGCACAATAGCTACGTTCCAAACGGCACACTATACACTATGCACTCAACAGCATAGTTTATGAATGTAGTGACGTCCCAAATGGAACACTTATGTTTTTTTTACCAAGCGAAAATTTAAAGCATTTCCCTGATGATGTTTGACGGTTGCCAAAATAGTGAAATAAATGACCAAAGTACCAAATAATACCTGCCATGAGTATAACTGTATTTACCATTGGGAGGCGCTATAATCACTATCGTAGGAGAATTTTGCTTTCATGATCTAAAATAAATAAAATTATCCAACATGTGCGCTTGATAGCTCCGCCCCTTCTGCTACATGAGCAAAGCCATGGTCGTTAAGTGCTTGAAGTGTCCATAATTCCACACTTCAAATTATCGGTTGAATGAGTGCATCATCCTGGTAATTAAAGTGCACTTAATATTTTTTAAGTTTTCAGTATGAACGCACTATTTACAATATTTATACTACAAAATGGCGTAGAATAGTGCATAAGAATGCGATTTGGAACGCACCTTCTGGCTGCTCCCTCAAGTAGAGCAAAAGATCATGTGATAAAAAACTGCACAATGTTTATTTTGCAAGCACATGTTGTTATTCATTAAGTGAGCAATTAATCCATACAAGTTAATCCACAAAAAACATTTTGGTGATCTTCAGTCAATGTCTCATCATTTGTTTCAGCGATTGGAGTAGTGCTTCTCCCTCTTGATGTCAGTTTGACTGCTTCAGCCTTAAAGTTCTTAACCATGTCCTTCTTACTAATTTCTACTTGGAATAAAAGCCACACACCCTGCTTAATATTTAATTTTAGTTGGAAGTACATCAAAATACTAAAATAAAATTCTCAGCAACTTCTGGTTCACATGGACTTTCAGGGGCATGGCTTCGGATACAGCTTAAATTTTAGTTTTTTATGGCTGTTAATGGTGTTCATGTTCTCCTGGGTGTTGGTACTTGAGCTGATAAGCCATAATTAACATCAAGTGCCATCAAGTCACTTTTTTATTGGCACAAGATGGCAGTGTACCTTCTTTTGATAAATGACAAGGAAGTACAGGAGGATTTGATAACTCTGCTTATAAGAAAGGAAGACCGAAAAGTAAAGTAAAGAATTATGAAATGACACCTGAATCCGCGGTTTCATAGTAATCATCCACCTGCCACCCGCCAGCACATATACTTTTATCTGATATATATATCCGCACCCGACCCGCATCCGATCGTCACTTTAATAGTTCTAATTCTTTGTTTTGGGCATAATGATCAGACATCGTGGATATAGCAGATTCAGTGAGCTAATCTGCACATCTCTGATAGCAAAATAATAGCCTATGTTAATCATAAACATTTTAAATGAATATTTATTTATAAAAACAAACGTTTGTCTTTGGATAACACTTTTCTTCATTTTCAAATAAAGAAAGTAAAAATAGGACATTTTAGCTTTTACAGATACAGGAACAAGATAACAAAAAGGGTGCCACTTCAGCCTAAACCGCAGCTATGTGGTGTTTACTTGGCCTTTTTTGCACTGTGCAAAAACAGAATAGCATCTACTTTGCCTAAATTCGGGCGATTCCTCATCGCCTTCAAAACCCAGGCCAGCTGCACTGAATGAGCATTTGCTTTCGCCGCTTGTTGTAGGAATGAATAATATTCTCCTCGCAAGGCACTGCAGTTGTGTAAATAAGCAATGTTGTTTCTCCTTGATTGATAGCAGATTTTCCTCTGATGACTCCTCTAAATAAAAGTACTCTTGCACGTCATCCATTATTATCTGCAAAGCTCACTCTCTGTTTTTTCGCTGGTCCACTGCCATGTCCCACTACATCCACTCGCAACCCACCTGCAATGAATCATAATGTATTTTTTATTTCCCGACCCGCCCGATCCGCAGATTATCCGCAGCGCCCGCTGATATAACCCCCATCCTCGCATCACTAGTGTGCAAGTATAGTGTGTCCACAGTCATACTGGAGTGATGTAAAGACAAGTCTCTTTTTTGCTGTGTGTGTGTGTGTGTGTGTGTGTGTGTGTGTGTGTGTGTGTGTGTGTGTGTGTGTGTGTGTGTGTGTGTGTGTGTGTGTGTGTGTGTGTGTGTGTCTGTGTGTGCATGATCTTTGTAAAGGCATTGTGTATGACTCATCATTGCAGGAAGGCTTAAGTTAACTCCACAACAAATACATCTAATAATCATTGGGAAAGTTCTTACTGTATTATTTCTCACAAATGTTATGTGAGAGCTGCTTTCCCTTATGTCTGTCACTGTGCTGTTTGTCTGACGCAGCCATAGATGGGCGGGGAGGACTAGCATTAAAGGCACAGGAAACAAAATCATGGAAGAAAAGGGAGAGTTTTACTATCTTAATGACTTGGTGGTGGCATTCATGTGGGTTTAACTCATAAATATGATTTATCCGTCATGTTTGAAAGCACCATTAGTTGTGCCTGGATTTTGGTTTGATTTGTGTTTTACTTAAATATATTTCGTATGGATTTCTGTTTGCCATTGCCTTTTTTTAAAAAATCACTATAATTTCTCTAAAACAATTACAGGCCACTTTATTTGTCTTTTGCCTACAGTGTGTATAGAATAACAAAATAATTATAAATGTTTAAGAATCTGAACGAACCACACACACAAAAAACAAAACAAAATGCAAATCAGAAAAAAGTTGTCCACAAAAAACTGCATTCAATGATTGAAATGAGTGATCTGGTGTTTCTTTTCAGATGTAGATGAGTGTGAGTTTGACCCCTGTGCTAATGGAAACTGCATCAACACTCCTGGTTCCTACTACTGCAGATGCCACACAGGCTTTCTTAGGGTTCCAGGCAAACAAACCTGCATAGGTGAGAATATGCAATAATTCTATATTTCATTTTTCATTCCAACCGTCACTCTGGTTATCACAATGTTAAATGTAAATAAACCAAAAAATTACCATATCAGGCTAATTAACAAATTTAACTTAACATAAACTATGACAATGTAGGTAATCATAAAGCTACTTTAAGAAATGCGGGCAGTTCTCCCAAAGATGAAGACCTTTCTGTGATGAAGCTATATTCTTTTATGTGCTCGTATGTAGATATTGATGAATGTCTTCAGAATGGAGTGCTCTGTAAGAACGGCCGCTGTCTGAACACTGAGGGAAGCTTTCAGTGCATCTGCAACTCTGGATTTAAGCTTTCACCTGATGGGAGAAACTGTGTAGGTACGACATTATCCAATATGTCGTCAACACATTTCAATACATAGCATTATATTATAATAATATTTACTTCCAGAGAATAACTTTGCTATAATATAGTTATTGCATTAAACTAATGATTAATGCTTTACTTGAATGAGTGTTCATAAGACTGCCATAAAACCTTTATTATCATGTCATGACACGTCTTGAATATGAATGAAATTTTGCTTACATATGTCAACTGTCATTAAGGGCTCTATTTTGACGGTCTATGCCCAAGTGCAAAGCGCAGGGCACAAACACTTTCAGGGCATGTCAGAATCCACTTTTGCTAATATAAGGATGGAAAAATCCACTTTGCGCGCATGATCTAAAAAGGTTGAACTTATTTTCTTAATGTGTCAAAGGTGTGTTTTGAGAATAAACCAATCAGAGTCTCATCTCCCATTCTCTTTAAGAGCCAGTCGCGTCACGCCATAAACGCATTCGCTATTTACATGACGTAAAGTAAGTGTAAGTGGAAAAAACCGAGCATTTCACTAGCAATAAAACATTTAAACAGAACATTTGCAGCACGAGAATGAGAGATAAGGCATCTCATAATCTACTTTCACTTTCGTGGATAGGGAAACCTTGTACGCACAGATATCAATTAGCCTATAAATAATTAATTTTGTTTGTTAAGTGCAAAGATTTGTTTCTAAACTATTTCTAAATTCAGTTATAATTTCCAGCAAACGAATAAATGAACAATAATAACGAAGTGTGTTCAAAAACCTGAGTTATATCCTAAAACACATGTTGTGCCCCATATGATTTAAAACCTGACAAGTGGACAAATCTAAGATTATTTTTAATAAATCAAATATAAATATGGATATAATAAATAATACTGCTAATAATAATAACATTATACAAAAGCAAATTGTTATGAATGAAGTAAAAAGCTTCCCGAGATGAAGAAGACATGAAGGCAGTGGTTTTTAAATATATGTAGGCTAGAAAATATGCTTTGTAATATTTTAACCCTTTATGTTTATATCCTATTTATATTCTTATTTTATTCTATATATATATATATATATATATCCTTAATATTTTAATTATTTTTCATTTGTAAAGATATTTGCGTATTGCTCTACATCTTGTATGTAGTAAGCAGTGTGTAAGCGAGGCGCATAACTAACGCGCTCTGTGCTCGACTTTAGACTGGCTTTGTTTTGGTCTATTGAAAAATCTATTATAGTTTCTCAAAATAACAACACGCTAGCAATGCACCTCAGAACGCCTTCCTTTTTAAACCAGAATGCCAATGGGCGCACATATGATCGCAAATGCATTTGCTATTTAAACAGTGTGTCGGAAAACGTCAAAACGATTCTTGCGCCAAGCTGAAACTAGCAAATAGCAATTGCGTCGCACCTTGCGCCACATTGCGCCAGGTGTATGATAGGGCCCTAAGTGTCATTCACTCAGTTGTCATTTTAAATGGAAAGATGACATTGTTTGGGATGTCTTTGTTATGACAACTGGACATTATCAAGACAAAATAACTTGTAATAAATCTATCAGAAACGTGATTGTCAAGAGAAAATTATAATTGTGTTATGAATTTAAAACCCCAACTACAAAGGCGGAAAATTAATGTCAATAAATTTCATGTAATGTCATTGAATATTAATGATGCTCTTACAAAATTATTTGATAGAGCATTGACACTTTAACTGAGAAATGTTTATGGCAAAAGTGATCAAAAATAATCATGGAGCAATTATAATGGCATCATGACAATCATGTTTATGACACGTATATGACAAGTTAAAGCTCTCCCATCTCATGATTATAAAGGTGTTATGACAGCCTTAAGAGCACCCTCTTTGAGTAAAGTGTTATTATATAGGTCTAAATTAAATGAATATAAATAGCATAATAAGGGTGGGTAGTTATGAAGAATGAAGAAAACTTTCAATGATGTGCTTTAAGTTTCCTTTATTATTAATCAGATCATGATGAATGTGCTGCCACAAACATGTGTCTTAACGGCATGTGTATCAACGAAGACGGCAGCTTTAAATGTGTGTGTAAACCTGGATTCACCCTCAACTCTAGTGGACGATACTGTACAGGTGAACACTGCTATTCCTCTATTGTTTCTTAAAATAATAATAATAAATTACAATTCCTAAAACATGTTTAGGTATGGTATAGAGCAGGGGTGCTCAATCCTGTTCCTGGAGAGCTACCTTCCTGCAGATTTCAGTTGCTACCCATATCAAACACACCTGCCTGTAATTATCACGTGGTGTTCAGGTCCTAATTAATTGGTTCAGGTGTGTTTGATATGGGTAGCAACTGAAATCTGCAGGAAGGTAGATCTCCAGGAACAGGATTGAGCACCCCTGGTTTAGAGTATATTTTTGAACAGAGTCAGGTTTTGTGTTTCTTCCTCACAGATATCGATGAGTGCCGGACTCCAGGTGTGTGCATGAATGGACGATGTGTAAACACACAGGGCTCTTTCAGGTGTGAGTGTTTTGCAGGTCTTACTGTTGGAATAGACGGCCGAACATGTGTAGGTAAGAGCCAGATGAACATACTTGAACTTCTTTTTCCATTTAAGAGTAAAAATAAGACCTGTGGTTGAAATAACTCAATACTTTTAACTCAACATGAATTACACACATTATTAATAAAACATAAATTATGCAGTTATTTTTTTAAAAACAACATTTTCAATAAGTTACTAATTAAGTTTTTTATTCTGTGAGTGTGTCCAATTTATGTTGTAAAACAAAACATAGACATATTGTAAAGTTACATTTATCAAAGAACCCGTTTAAGTCATTTTAAGGGAATCAAAGTTGAATTAGGGCCTACTCGCACTATGCTATCCGTACCGTGCCCAGGCCCATTTCCCAGATCGTTTGAGAAGTGTGAGTGCGCTAAATCGGGCAGTGAGCGCTGTTCACTTGGGCTTATGCATGTGTATGAGTGCAAATCGCACCTAAGCCCGAAACTGAAAGCAAGACGTGACTTTTAAGGGACTGTTTCATATGGATTTAATAATCATTCTTACTGTTCAATGAACGCAAACTGTTGTAGTTTATTAAATACGCAAACCCCTCACTGCATGACAGCTGCACCTTCAGCAAACCTCCCAATTCCTGCAGCACGAGGGAGTGTCAAAAGTGGCTGATCTGTTCAGCGAAATATCTGTGAACGAATAAAGCGATATAGCTAGATAATTTTCCACTGTGCTGAGCGAGAGCACTTACTGAACAGCGCAGCATCGATGACGTAAGCGTGCCCAGGCCCGATTTGGAGGCGGGGACAAGCGTGCTTTGGCCCGGTTTGAGGCAACTGTGCATAGTGTGAGTACGGCCTTAGTCTTTTTTGTTTTGACATTTGGGTGGCATGGTGGCTCAGTTTTCATGTTCTTCACTTGTTGGCGTGGCTTTCCTCCGGGTGCTCTGGTCTCCCCCACAGTCCAAAGTCATGTGGTATGGGTGAAATGGGTAAGCTAAAATTGTCCGTAGTGTGTATGAATGTTTCCCAAGGATGAGTTGCAGCTGGAAGGGCATGAGAATCCACTGCGTAAAACATAAAGTTCATTCCGCTGTGGAGACCCTAGATAAAGAAGGACTGAGCCGAAAAGAAAATAAATAAATGAATGTTTTGACATCGGGGTGGCATGGTGGCTCAGTGGTTAGCGCTGTTGCATCACAGGAAGAAGGTCGCTGGTTCGAGTCCCAACTGGGCCAGTTGGCATTTCTGTGTGGAGTTTGCATGTTCTTGTGTTCATGTGGGTTCCTCCAGGTGCTTCGGTTTCCCCAAAATCCAACATTTCATTTCACTGTGGTGACCCCTAATAAATAAGGGGTTAAGCCAAAAGAAAATGAATGAATAAATCCAGTCCCCTAGTTAATTACTACATTTATTTTATTTAGTTTGAAATATAAATGCATGAAGCTGTCTACACTCGACATAACAAAATTAAATCTTTAGCTGACCAGATTGTCTCGCTGGCTGTTCGCATGATGATCATAGATGTGCATGATGCAGTGCAGCAAATCACCAGCAGCTACAACAGTGGTGACCAGGCCACAGGTTACAGCACACAGGTCATAACATGCTTTAGGATGGTAAATGGGCTCAATATATGTGGATGGTTGGAAGAATGTGGGCTATTGGGATAACACCAAAACATTTTAGTGTATATAAGTTAACGTAAATATTTGAGCTGTGCAAGGTTATGTTTTATAATCATGTTAAAGCATTAATTAATGCAGACAATTGTTTTAGCCCATTTAAAAGCAGTTTTTTTGTTTTTTATTTTAAAAGTACATTGCTCACTGGGTCTAAATACATACACAGACAAACAATTTGTCACAGGAGGAGTGGGATGTTGAACAGTACTGGCTTTGGATGGATGTTATCATGCGTCTCAACCAGGGAGAACATTTGAAATGGGCCGATTTGCTGGGCTAACACCAAACTTAGTGCATTGACTTTGTCTTTAATGTACAATACTCATGCAAATACTTAATTTTACTTTCAGTCTGAGCTCAGCATATTAAAAAACATTTGCTGTAAGCAGTTGTGTTACACAAAATAATGGTTAGCTGAATGAATGTTCTGAAATGAAGCAATGACTTTCTGTGCTCAAGTTAGTTGGGAGTTGTGAATGCAGACTCAAGTTTAAACACAGTAAAACTTTTATCTATTAGTCTGGTTAACTGAGAACAATGTGGTGCAAGGACAAGAACTGAGAACCACTGATGTAATGATCCCTTAATTATAACTACATGCCCTTCTAGTGGAAAATAGCATTGGTTATACATTTAATAGAATCACATTAATGTTTAAGTTAAGATTCACAAATTATTTGTAGCTGTTAATAAGTAAAGGGAACACTGCTATTAAAAAACAACTCTGATGATATTAAGCGTTATATTACACTTTTTAAATATATCATGATTAAAAAATATAGTCATTGATCAGCACTAGTACTGTTGTTATGATCTTTTTAGGTCTAGGGATGTGACCGCAACAGAAAATAAATGATTGGTGATGGATAATGTGCAATGGCTGGAAAATAAGAGAGGGAACTCATCTCCTCAAACAGATGGGCTAGAAACTTAAACACAAGGTCAAATCGAGAAAAAGAGAAGTTTATTTACATATATCAGAATAAAACAAAAAAAACAGGGTATTAATTCAGAAGGGGGCAAGGCCAAAACAACAAACAATAACAAGCTAACTCCTAATATAATCTCTTGGTAATCTGAAACAATAGAAACACAAAAATACATAAACATAAACTAACTCCCTTTACTAATCAAAAACAGGAGAAAACTGATTTCAAAACAAAATGGCACCCACCTTAGCCACAGTCATGTCACCCTGCAGCCCAAGACCGGTTACTCACTGAAGCTAAGCAGGGCTGAGCTTGGTCAGTACCTGGATGGGAGACCACTAGGGAACACTAGGTTGCTGTTGGAAGTGGTGTTAGTAAGGCCAGCAGGGGGTGCTCAACCTGTGGTCTGTGCGAGTCCTAATGCCCCAGTAAAAGTGAAGGGGACGCTACACTGTCAGTGGGTGCTGTCTTTCGAATGAGACGTTAATCCGAGGTCCTGACTTTCTGTGGTCATTAAAAATCCAATGGCACTTCTCGTGAAAGAGCAGGGGTGTAACCCTGGTGTCCTAGCCAAAGTCCCTCTATCGGCCCTTACGATCATGGCCTCCCAATTATCCCCTTCCACTGAATTGGCTCGATCAATGTCTCTCCACTCCACCAATAGCTGGTGTGTGGTGAGCGCCCTGGCGCCGTTGTCCTGTGGCAGCTGTCGCATCATCCAAGTGAATGCTACACACTGGTGGTGGTGTGGAGAGACCCCCCTCATGATTGTAAAGCGCTTTGGGTGTATGGCCATACACAGTAAATCCGCTATATAAATACACATTACATTACATAAAAAAATACACATTACACCTTCCTACTTAACCCTCATAATAAACAAACATACAAATCAACCAGACTCACTTCTCTTTGGGTGAATTATTAGATGTAGTGATGTGACTTGCGCGGAGGCTTCGAAGCATGTATCAAAAATAGATACATCTCGCAGTGAAGCAGTGCACCGGAGCTTGATTCGTTTTGCCATCATCACGTGATCAGTGACGTCCGAAGCTTCATTTTCGCCTATACCCACGAGACTGCTTCGAATTTTGATTCAAAGGTTTAAACACTCTCTTGGGTTAGTAAAGTGTATAGCAAGAGATTAGGCATTGATTACATACATTTCTACTGTTTGAAAGCACTGCACTGGTCCCACACACCAGTAATTTAACTAAAATACAATAGTAATTTATATTAAAAAAGGTTTTGAACCGTGTATTAGCGTATTTTTTACAACTATCTTTAAAGAAAACCACTGCATATCGTTGTATAGTGTTTAATGGAGAGCTGCTGGTGAGTGCAACCTAAGAGCATCGCTCACATAGCCTTCTCCTTAGAGCATTTGCCTCCCATGCAGGAATCACTTGTTCGATCTCCGCTTAGAACGGGACTAGTTGGAATATGATAAATGTAAATACTTTTGAATACCTTGGATGTTACTACAGTCATCAGTGGTGTAACATAACATTCCTTATGTGTAAAAACAACAGTAATTGAGAAATTAGTTTATATTATTATTGTTGTATTACAACATGAATGAGTTGGTCAGTTGTGAACATTTGACATTATTGCAGCGCAGTGCTTTCCCACACTTTAACCAGAAGAGGTCCTCATCGAGCTCTGATTTAGAAAGCTTCGAGTTAGTGATGTGCGATACCACTGGTTCCCCTTCGGGGGGAACTTCAGCACTATAAGTGGATTTGATTTGTAAAATCCACGCATTGGGAGGATTCGGATCAGAAGCCGCTTGTCTGGAGAGTATTGAACGGGCCAATGAATGAAATTAATTGGCAGCGTAAGCTTGCGCAGGTGTGCGACATCTGCAATTATCTCAGCATATAAGCACACCTGAAGCCAGCAGACGCCAGCCTTTTCGCTTCAGATCCTTTCTGAGTGAGTCGATGAGGGTTCCTCTTGCTGATCAGCACTTCAGAGCGAACGAGTGTGTCTCCCGGTCCAGAGTGGGTCTTCGCGGTGGCAGACGGTCGAGCTGGGTTACTCCCTTGCCTGCGGTTCTTTGGGTCCGGTCCTCCAGAGCGGTGCGTATAGTTGCAACTTTCCTAAAAGAGCAACACAGTCGTGCAGCACGTCCTTTTCAGGATGGCGCTCCGACTGTGCGTTTCTGGATGCAGGGGGTTTCCTGGCTCCGGATGATGGACACGATCACTGCATTGCATGTTTGGGGGTCCAGCATGTTAATGCGGTGCTCGCGGGCGGTTCATGTCGTCATTGCGATGCCATGACCGTTGCACAGCTAAGATCGCGGCTAACTTTCGCAAGAGAGCGAGCCACCCCAGTTGCCTCCTGTTCTAAAAAAGCAGCGGGCGCTCGGGCAGATCTGAGGGTTTCAGCGGGAGATAATCCGCCGCCCACGGGCTCGCGGACCTCTCGCTCCTC